TGTTAATGACAAAAAAAAAAAAAAAGGACGATGACCGACACAAAAGAAATATCTTACAGAGCAGCGTGCAAACAACCCTGCTTGTCTGGTGAAATAACTTTATACAATTGAAACATGCGCGTGTTTATGCAATGTGTAGATTATGTTTGTTTACCTTGTTTGTCTTCTTGCTGGATTCATTCTTAATATCAGTGGAAGACGATCTCAAAGAATTAGAGGTTGTCACACTCGGGGAGGGCTGGCTGGACTGGTGATCCTCATTGGTGGGGGAACCTGTGAGCCTCCTGTGGCCACTTCTCAAAGTAGACAGCTGCTATAAAATAATATCCGTTGTTAATATTGTTATTAGCACGTTAAAGAAAAACATGAAAGCTTGTTTTTAAATTTCACAATAGGCCAGATCTATAAATTATGAGAAGACCACATTTGTGTGTGAATCATAATTCCTGACCATTTTCAAAATTTTAGAATGTGAACATCTAGACTCAAGTCATGTGGCTCAAAGGTTTACTGCAGATATAAAAGATCAATTTCATTTCTGAAAATGTAATAAGATCTAAAATTCCCTGAAACCGACCGCGGGTCCCGAATGAATACCATAATGTACGAGAGACTTCAATAAGGGTGTGAAATCGGGTGTTTATCATAATGAGAACTTAACTTCAAATGACATTTTTATGGACATTTTCTTTTGAGTGTTCATTAGCAGAAGTAAAGATAACAGCGTGACTGACTGCTAGCCTCGGGCTTACAGGTGCTCTGCTCCTCCGTGTCCTCATGCCATGCTTGCTGTTCACCTCTTCTTCTTCTTTAACAGGTTTAAACATGAATGGGGCGCCTGCGCATTTTGGAGCTGGTGGCAGACATCCGTGCTTATTTTCATATGTGCGACAAGTTGTGCACAGCAATGCGTTGTCTCGTCGCCCCTGGTGCCAATCCTTCGAACCTGAATGAGACGAAAAAACACTTACGGCACAAGTTGTACATTTTAAAGCACCGTCAGGTATTTTTTAACACGTGAAAAAGGCTTTCACAAAAACATAAAATAAAACTGAGCCGAATCGGATAAATCACAAATAAAGACATGCACTCACTTGTTGTCCCACAGCGGCTGCAGCTCTTCACATCCTGTTCACTGTCTTCACTGTCGAGGTCATCCTCGCTGGCAGAACTCGCATCCACTGCAAAGGAAAAGATCAGGTTCAAGGAGGTCGTCATTTGCACGAATAGAGGAACCAAAAATGGACACAAATTTCTGAGGAACGTGTAGTGCTCACCGGAATAATTTCGCGACGGGGTTACAGGAGCTGCAGCAGAGCGAGTCTTTGCTTTGCGCGAGGACGGTTGTCGGCGCTGCTGTCGATAAGCTCTCGTGCCTGCAGCCTCGGGAGTTTTCTTCCAGTGGTAATAGAAGGTGATCAGTTCCCCCTGATGAGAAGAACACTGAACTTTTAGAAACAATTCAAGAACAATTTAAAAATATTTTTCTAATTTCACAAAAAGACCGCATGCTTTGCAAATTGTTTCCGTTCACAAAAACGTGTTAATTTACAGTTTTTTTGGTAGGCAGAAAATCCTTCCGGATCCGAAAGAAATTCTTTCCATACTGTCTCAGACCTTTGATGAAGCGTTTCTGGAGAGGAAAACAAGTGAAGTTAGTGGATAAAATGAATTGAGGGTCAAAAGGTAGTGAAACGGGTCCAGTAGTAGATCATGTTCATTTTGTGACGTGTTAGCAGCATTAGTCAAAAAAGACTGAGCTCCCATTTAGAAAGATGGCAGCAGGTAAAAAAAACACTAATTTACTGCAGGCTTTTGTCACATTTTGTGAACAAAGAGGACTACACTGCCAATTTCTGAACTTTATTTCATGCCAACTGCGCGTTTAAATATGCTAAGCATAGTTAGAATACATAAACAGTTTGCATCCTTTTAATGACGATGGATTTAATCTGCCCGCAGAAACACGGTTAAGGACTAACAGTGACTGACCTTCAGTGCAGTACTTCTAGCTAAAGGCATCTCACCACATCATCCTCCGACCAGCATTTCTCGATAAGCTTCGGCAGAGGCTTCTTGACCAGACGCTGCAGAGCCTTTGCCGCATCATAATGACTTGCATGTAGCTACAATTGAAGAAAAACAAAGTTAGTAAACCTGCAACGCAATAGTTTAGTTCTTTGACACTGAGGGATGTAATTCATGTCGTGCTTCATACCATGTTGAGTGCGTTTAATGTGGTATCATCGCGGGAGGCTGCTAAGCATCCATCCTCTGTGGACCCACCGTCGCACATCCCTGCAAACGCTGCCATGCTCCTTAAAAGCAAAAAGGCAGAAGAAATGAGGATGCAGTTCTAATTACCTCGACCCAGTAACCCAGATTGAGTAAATAGTTCATAATTTCTACAACGCCTTAATTGATCACTCATACTAGTTTGGTGTATCGTTACGGAATATTTGCTTTTAGTTACAAAGTTGCAGGTAATTTATTAAAGCATTGAATAGAATCTTACTCTTGGTCAGGAAAAACATGGCTGCAGGTTAATAGTTATATGTCAAATTGTCAAACTTATTTTGCCCTGTTTTGAGCGGCCGCTGGCCTCCGTACGCGGCCGTAGACTGACCTGGCAGCTCTGAGGTACATGAGAAGGTCACAGTCATTGACCCCGGGCGTCCACATCAGCTCCTCGCTCTGAGTCTGAGTCTGTAAACTAGGAGCCGACCGCGGCTGCATCTCTGGAAGTTTGGCCTGCAGTGAAACCAGCAAACACTCAAGAACACCTCAAGAACTGCAACTGAATGTCCGGCCAAGATTTATGTTTAGAAATGGAGAATTACAGGGCTAAATCTCAAATATTCGCATGATTTTCAAGGCTATGTTTTGGGAAAAAGTCCTTTACCTTTTAACAGTCAATAATGTGCACTATTGAAATATGTAATAAACATGAAATACTGTATTTTAATCGAATACCTAGACTCTGTTTTACACTGAACATGTTGGTCTGACCAGCGCTATAATGAGCCTAACTGGGGACACAGCCTCCCAAAAAGTGACAAATAATACATTTGACTGTATCAAATATTGCAATACTGAATTTAATCAAGTTTGACGTGAATCGTTTGCAGCAAGGTATACCTGATGACTCGGCCCAACTCTTATCTCGCCCTGCGTGCTGTTCAGGCTCCTGCAACGGTGAGAAGGAAATGCATCATTACAGTTTTGGGGCAACGCTGCGAGAACCAGAAAGGAGTTAGTCAGCGTGCCACATACGAGGCGTCAATTAGCAGGTGATTGGACGCTTCACAGGGTGATCAAAACGTGGATAACTTAGCAGTCAGAGCAGTTTCCATCCCTCTGCGCTACACTGATTTCAGCCTCACAATAAGGTCCCGCCCCCCCGACACCGCGAGCCAATCTCAGCTGTGACCTGCGACGTTTCCCTTTTTATTACATGAATGAAGCCCGACGCGAAAGACTGTCAATCAATCACACACGAGCTGCCAATTATCGCGGGCACCATTACGGGAACAGCGTGTGCTACTTTTGGAGAACCCCGCAGGTTGACGGGAACAGTAACGAAAGTACGCAATCGATTCGTAACTAAAAAAAATAAAAAAATCAACGTTAGCGCCCGCGACGTGTCGTCGTTGACATCCAGGCGAACGGCGACAAACGACCGACGTCAAATACACGTCCAGATTTATGACACGACGCAACTCTAACCCGCTTCACCGACGCTACGTCTAAAAAAAAAAGCGCACGGAAATCCATTTTTGTTGCATTAAACGGGCGCTGCTAGCTGCTAGGCTGGGATCCGGCTAGCTCGTTAGCCCGGCACCAACTTCGTGACCACTGACACCCGGGGACTGTTTTCACGCCCAACGGCTCCTCAAAAGTCACGCCGCGGAGCAACCGGGAGGCGCGTGGAAATAAAACGACGGGGCGAAACGTGCATTCGAACGGCGAGTTAAAGCAGAGTTACCTGCGCGGACTGAACAGGTCGTCCATGTCGAAAGGATGTTTGGATGTGGCTTGTTGACACTACGTAGCGCAGTGGGCGATACGCGCGCGCACGCACGCACACAAACTATGCGAATCCCCTATTACATGGCTATTCAAAATGGAGGCGGCGTAGTGGAGCGAGTCGGTCTATTTTTTCTTCCTCCCGGTGCGATGACCTCAGCCGGAGCCTTCAAAGTTGCCTGCGTGTAACATTACGGAGCGTGTGCCGCGGATCCGACACAAGGAACATTATAGAGGCGATGACAGAAACGGTCCTGTGGACGATGTCGGACTGTGTAGAAAACCGCAGACTAATATAGCTTCAATTTTGTGCAACCCGACTGTGTGTGTGTGTATTTATAGACACGCACACACATGTATATGAACACATATTTATATGTGTGTCTAAGTGTGCTTAAATCAATAATATCTACGTATACATATCAAAATTATACCCCCCTAAAGGACACATTTTTCTTCCAAATGTATTAATTGAACAAAAATGTAAGTATTCATATCCTTTACCATCACACTCAAAGTTGGTGAATACGGTTTAAATCTCAGCCTAGAGATGTTTGTACAACTGAGTCCTTATTTTCAGTTGATTGTCATGATTTAGAAAACACACACACACACACACACACGTGTGGGTCAAATTGTAAGGAAAAAAATAATTTGAATAAAGTAACAAAACGTGGAAAAAGTGAAGCCGAGTAATAACTTTCCAGATGTATATGGAAGAAAAAAAAGAAAGCAACCAAATAGCTAGTTTGATTTACCAAGACTTAATTATATAGTAATATAGAATATTCAGTTGACACAGAAGCAAAAACACTGCAAGTAATTTGTCCGTTGAGGATAGTTAAGGTCTTCCCATCGCTTTATTATAAATAGTCAAACTTGCAAGCAAAAGATTTGGGACAGCAATCTCCTTTAAACAAAAACTACCAAAGCAAAATTAAACCAAACATGGGATAAATAACCACAATACATTCTGCCATTGAGAAAAGCTTTTTATTAACCATATTAAAGTGCTGCTGTGATGATTAGATCCATTTTACTCCACATGTTAGAATACTTTATAGTAGTGTTACAAATTAAGCAACTACAGTAAGTTTGTTCTATAAAATTACACCACACCAAGTAGCTCAGCATTATCAGTCATTGTTTTGATAAGCTGTCCAATGTATTCTTATGGATTTTGAGAGCATGAATCCCATTTCCAGTTGAAGTAAATGCTTGATCATTTATGCAGACAATGGTTTTCTGAAGTTTTTTCCAGCAAAAACAGCCTTTTCTCCCAGCTCCTCCTCGATTCTACGGTAAAGAAAAGGTTAAAGTTAATTCCCTCTTTTTAATGAATGCATTTATCTTAACAAAAAGATTTAACCTAGATATAGATGTAAAGCAGTTTAACGGATCAGAAATGAAACAGATTAAGCAACAAAAGTCTAATGTAGTTTTCAATTAACACACCTGAAGTAATTAGTTGGAGTTAAGCGTAAAGGCATTGGGGGTACGTCACATTTTACACTTAAAAAAAAATTGCAGATAGGAAAACAAATTCCTTAAATTTAAAGAACGAGACTTGCCTCAGAATCTGGTTGTATTTGGCCAAACGCTCAGAGCGACAGGGGGCCCCCGTCTTGATCTGAAAGTTACAAAATGTGTTCATGGATTTCAACCAAAGATATTTTATGTCCCCAATCAGTATTTGTCGTTTTTTCCAAAAGACACACAATAAACCGTTTTATGATTTTACCTGTCCAGTGCACAGGCCGACCACCAAATCAGCTATGAAGGTGTCCTCAGTTTCACCCGAGCGATGGCTGACCATCACACCCCAACCGCTCTCCTGAGCCATCTTACACCTGTGTGGAAGACAAAGGGAGTGCATTAAACAACCGAAAGTCAGTGTCAAATCTAAATTTAAAACGAAGGGTTGTTTACTTACGCTCGCATGGACTCTGTGACCGTGCCAATCTGATTGACTTTAAGCAGCAGGCAGTTGCAGGCCTTCTCCTCCACGGCCTTGCTGATGCGATTAGGGTTGGTCACCGTGAGGTCGTCTCCAACCACCTGGATGTCGATGCTTCCTGTGAAGTTGGTCCAGGCCGTCCAGTCGTCCTGGTCAAAGGGATCCTCGATGGAAACCACTGAGAATGAATATGCAGACTGTCTTTATTGGAAAGCGAACGGATGTTAAAAAGATCCTTCAAAAACCAAGACAGATTAGAATTAAAGCTTATAAAAATAAAATAAAAATCACAAACGTCCATTATGAAGACAAGAGACATGAACATTAGTCAGGGTCAAAAAAGTCAAGGGTTGAAGCAGAATATCTACAGTAAAGCATTTGATTTGTTTTAGGGTAAAACCTGAAGTGAGCACACAGAGAAAAAAAAAAAAGAAAAAAAAAAAAAAAAAAAACACACAGTACAACTATGCCAAGTACCAGATGCAAGAGCCAAAATAAGAAATTTATGATGATTATCTACAAATGATGTTGGAAATCTTTGTGTAACGGGACTCAATAAATTGGTTTGGCTGTCTAAGAAAAGCAGATTAAAGATAAAAAGCCTCAGGCAGCCAGGTCCGCTCCAGTCATGGCTCAATGTTGGATTCAACATTTTATTGAGTGTTCTGCTCTCCACATGCTCAATAATCTGCAAAATGAGAATATATTTAGAGTTTACCTGGATAATCCTTCACAAAGCTCTTGTAGAGCTCGGACAGCTCGTCGGGAGTGATGTAACGGCTCGCGTCGTCAGGAGACTTGAAGTCCAGGTCGTACTTTCCCTCCCTGTAGAATTCGGATGCAGCCACATCCATGCCGATCACGACCTCATCGGCGTATCCTGCTTTGGCGATTGCCTCCTTGATCAACTCCAGTGCTGCGTGCGGAGTGACACAATGTGAAAAGCCTTGGTTGCAGAGTATTACTTTTAATGACATTAGCTTCAAGCACCACCAAAAACAATGAATAAGGAAGATTAAGAGTTTAAATTTAACTTTTCTCTTGTTTTATACCAACCCATTGCATTAGCATTTTACGTTATTTTATTACTTGTGCACTGCGGTCTTGTGGTCTATTGTTACACTGTCTACGGTAAAGCACCAACCGCCAAGACAAATTCCTTGCATGTTTGACATATTTTGGCAATAAATGTTTCCTGATCCAGATTCCAGACTAGAAACCCCTTAAAACTGAAGTGCAGGCCAATTCAAAAAAAATAAAAAATAAAGTCCTTTAACATAAGTGTTGATTTTGTGTCAGAATACTTTTAACTCTTTCAAATATTTCTTACAAGTTTTGTACATTTAAAAAAAAAAAAATCAAATGCAACAGACATTAAAAGGTTCCTCTTACAGCTGTAAAGTAAAGCAGTGTGCATCGTTTTCAGTTTAACCATTTGCAGTTCCTTTTATTGGTTGCATATTTGGTTAACAACAGTCTGATAAAAGTAAATAGACGTCATACTGGGACAAATTATTTTTGGAAAGCAACTTGTGAGAGACTTTGATTTATCATCCCTGTTACATACCTTCCTTGTTCTCAAGGATGTTTGGAGCAAAGCCACCTTCATCACCCACATTAGTGGCATCCTGACCGTATTTCTTCTTGATGACGTTTTTGAGATTGTGGTAGACCTCTGCTCCGATGCGCATGGCTTCTTTGAAGGTGCTCGCGCCAATGGGCAGGATCATGAACTCCTGCATGGCAAGTTTGTTGCCTGCATGCGAGCCACCGTTGATCACGTTGAAGGCCTGGTGGAGGGGAGAGAAACTGGAGCTGCGACTTCACAATGAACTGGAAGGTAAATTCAATAATGTGGAGGGGTGACAGATTATTGATGGATGTAATTTGGCAAACAGAACCTTACCGGCACAGGCAAGATGACCTCCTGGTTTCCGGCTAGGTCAGCAATGTGACGATACAGGGGGACACCTTTCTCTGCTGCACCAGCTTTGCAAACAGCTAGGGAGACGCCCAGGATGGCGTTGGCCCCAAATTTGGCTGTTTGAGAGAAATCAGTTTCACTCCTCATGAAGAGAGGAGTCATAATCCCGATTATACAGCCAAACCGTAAAACACATCTCTAGTGGTAAAGGGGATCTTTTAAATTCAATTCATCAAAGAAAGACTTTTTTGTTAATACAACCACCAATTGTCAGTCCATTTTGAGCAGTGGCGGATCTGCCACTTTGATGAACAGGGAAAACGCACAACTGACAAACACTCAGGGAGGATATGGTTTAATAGGATAGAGAGACACTTGCGTTGCTCGCAACTTTTTACATAAAAGCAATTTGATGTTAAAAATTGATAGTTGAAAAATAAACTGAATTATCCAAACACTCACTCGTTACTGTGTCAACATCGCCATCAATTTTGTCTGAAAAATAGCCTTTGGCAATCGACAGAAAAAGCAAAGTACGAATGTCAAGTGGAACTGTAGGTGTATTTGTTCACATAAACGCTGCAGTAAAGTTCCTGTGTCTTGCTTAATATTCGCTCTATGAACTGAAATTCATGTTATGTTTTTGTAGAGGCAGGGACTTAATTTTTGTGTCGTATGCATGTCTATTGTACCTATTGACCCCAAAATAAGTTATTTTTTTATTTCTCTAAAAGCCACCGGGCAAGTTCTACACTGGAATATACCATGCATGGAATAGTTTTGAATTAAATACGTTGATTTATGGCAGGTAACATGTTGGAGTGGCGAAAAGCACAACCCGAACTAGGCACCATCTGGATAGTGTTTTAGGATAAACAATGGTTTGATCTTTGTCGCTTACATTTGTTTTCTGTGCCGTCCAAGTCAATCATCATCTGGTCAATTCTCTCTTGCTCAACCACAGATACATCCTGGGGAAACCAAAAGAACAAATTGGGAACAATTGAAATGAGTAAAACAACAATGCATCGTGAACACAGCCAGAGTGGAAATTATCTTACTTGGCCAACGAGTGCGGGTGCAATAGTTGAATTGATGTGTTCTACAGCCTGAGAGACTCCTGCAACAGAAACATTAGTGGGATTGCGCTTTTGCAACGTAATGGGCAAATCTTGTAAAACAATTAAGCATAATTTAGAAACTCATGCAATTTGTTTTCTATATTAGACACATGCAACAGTATTTTATAAATTTGTTTCAGATAGACAATTACTCTGATTTTGTAGTGCATAGAATCAACAGGCAAGTATAACTTTAAAGGGAGAGCATGCTTTGTGCCAATTCACCATGCATCTCACATCTAGTTGTTTGCCAAAAGCATTCAATGAGTTGATTCGTTGAGGACTGTCATACATTTTCTACCGAGAAATGAACAGATCCTAGCTTTTGATAGAGAGACAGGCAATGGAAACTCACTAAGTTTTTGATATCTGGCAAGGACGAACAAACACAGAAAAAGATAGACAAAAATGTAGTATTTTTCCTTTAGATTTGCGAACAGCAAAGGCAATAAAAAGTGTTTATTTGGTGGGGAATATCAAAACCACATTGGTCATTTGATGAATTCCATCTGATTAAAAAGGCAAACTCTACACTGGCATACACACCTTTTCCAAGGTAGCGGGACTTGTCATTGTCCCTGAGCTCCAAGGCCTCGTAGATTCCGGTAGATGCTCCGCTGGGTACAGCTGCCCTGAACAAGCCTGTGAAATGTCCACAGGAGCAGAGAGAGGACATACGAGTGGTGATAGGGCCATCCGGAAATATGACAAAGCACAGTGGCAATATATTTTATAATGTTATATTGATTCCTACCTTTGTCAGTGTGAAGGTCGACCTCTACGGTGGGGTTTCCACGAGAGTCAAAGATCTCTCGGGCGTGGATCTTGACAATGGACATGATGTAGGAACTAGAGATGAGACAGAAGATGTTACTATCTGATCTGACAATCCTATCACTATTGGCATACCGCCCCCCCTTTGACCTTGTGGCTTATTCTCAAAAATATCCTGACCCAACTGCAAGCTCAGGACTGCCAACAAGCCTCCTACCGTCCTAATTGGATTAGATCCTCTCATCTGATTAATCACACAGTGTAGAAATGGCTGCATCTGTCTAGGTTAAGATGGCAGCCTCTACTAATTTCTTTAATTAGTAGAAACTTCTTTAATTTCTGTCGCTTCAGTAAGATGTATATAAAAACAGAATGCCATTCCTGACCGATATCCACAATAATCCCTCACCTGTGTGGGCCAGATAGACACGCTGGCCTGCTAAACAACGCTGACTTTTCCAGTAAATCGAATTGCAAATTAAATTGAAACAACAACCATAATAATAATAATAATAATAATAATAATAATAATAATAATAATAATAAGTAGAATTGTTCATTCGGTTGATCCTTATAACAGAATGTCAAGATATGCAATCAGACCCGAACACGGTCATTGTTTACAAGTCTCAGTTTTAAAATCTGGGAAGTGAATCGCGTTAACTGATTTGGTCGAGTGCGGAACACATTAGTTTACGTTTGCAGTTAAACCTGAAAGAAGACCAAAAGCCTGTTGACACACTGCGCAGTAAAAATAACAAAACTATTACGCAGCACTGATAACATAGGTGCAGAAAACGCAAGTAGGTGACTGTACCTTGATAGAAACAGCAATCGAATAGGGGAACCACGGCTGAAAGGTGGAAATAACGGCCCTCCGAACGATGTACAAGCGTACAGGTGATTTACTACTGAATTTAAAGAAGCCAGTCTTCTTCGCTGCAGTATTGGGGCGCCCTTGGCAGTGTTATGACAAGCTGCTGCCCCCGCAGGTCTTAATGCGAACTACATCAGGTGAACAAAACATAGGGGAAATTAACCTGAGTGAAGGAACTTTAAGGTTGGGTAGTTTGATGAGATTATGGGATGGCACAAACCGAATTACTAAACCCAATCCACATTATTACTGTAGTAATTGTATAATAAGGTGCACGCAAAGTCAAAGAGGCGAACTACCGCGTCTCCTTCACTAGAGGGCGGTCCACTGTGACCGGAACGAGCGCGGCTACCACAGAAGAAGAACCTCCCCGCTGGAATGAATTGAAAAAACGCGCTACCCTGTAAAATCACCTAGTTTTTATAGAAAACAAGTTTGTTTGAAGTCCATTAAAGTGTTCTGTTTGGATTCATAATGTCAGGGATACCCGCAGACACATGGCAGCCGCCAACAGTGGCTCTGGATACGACGTAAGATTTTTTTAAACCGCTAAATGCTAACTAAGCTAAGCTAGCTGCCAGTAACTCGATGTTAAACTAGCGTTTGTTAATCACTAAAAGGGCTTTGGGTCATTTTTAACACACTGCCGAAGTGCTGCCCGGGCCGTTGAAAGAAGGTAAATACATAACGTTAACATCCATCGTTAAACATGAACGTGCATTGCAGGATGGGTACTGTTGTAGTGGAGCTGTACTGGAGACATGCACCAAAAACCTGCAAGAACTTCGCAGAGCTTTCCAGAAGGGGCTACTTCATCAACACAAAGTTTCACCGAATAATCAAAGATTTCATGGTGCAAGGAGGAGACCCTACAGGAACAGGTGGGTTAAACACATGCACTCTCATCCATACAGTGGGATGGCCACTTCCCTTCTGGTTCTCTTGAACTGGTTTGGGCCAGCGATTGTTTCCTCTATGAAAAACTACAAACTGGTACTGGGGTCATTGGTTGAAGTGTTGATTTACTATTCTGAAATGTGATAACGAAAATACAATCGAACGTTCAATTCATTTGGAATTTCTGAAAAAGAATTAATGTTAATTTGGGTATCTGGAGCATTTCTGCCAAGGACATTTCTCTGGGAATCAACTACTGTTCATCCACTGAACTCAAAAACATAGTCTCTCTATTTTTTTGTTAATTTGTAATAAATAATAATAATGTGCGCAATAAACTATAGCATTACTGGAAAATGTTGTTCTACATTACACAATTTGTTTATAATAGTACGGAACTTTATAGCAGCAGTTTTGAAAAAGTCCTTTCTCATTTCGAATTTAAAAAAATAAAATAATAATCCAAATAATGTAAATTACATTTTTAATTGTGTTACAAGTTTGAAAGATCTAAACTGGTCTGCAAAAAGACCTGTTTTACACCATCGATCGTAACCTGTGGTCATTTATGTTTAACATATTCACTTTATTTTGTAAAGCGGGCACCAAAAAAATCATTAATAGGTCAAACTTCGTCTCTTCAATTACTCAAATATTGAGTGTGGACTATACAAAAGCCAATTAGAAACTCAGAATTAAATGTTCATATTTCCTCGTTACTTTACCTCACTTGATATTAAATCTGTGTTTTACTGATCAGGACGCGGTGGTGCCTCCATATTTGGGAAGCAGTTTGAAGACGAGCTGAGCACAGAACTGAAATTCACAGGTAATCGCAGCGGAAAAATCTTACTTAAATACAAAGTGGTAGATGTGGAGGAGGTGAATATAGGTCAGTAAATAAAGAAAAGACTTCTGCACCTATTATAATTAATGAATATCTGTGTCAGTACTGAGTCCTCTGTTATTCATTAAAAACAAGAAATGAATGTTTGCATTTTTGCAAGACTGTTTTAATAAACTGTTAGTTTACGGTGCATATCCATGGAAATAATACTTAATGATGATAATAATAATGCATAGTATAAAATTGTGTTTTTAATGTGTTTTTTCTGTAAGAAATGATTTAAATCTGAGTAAATGGACCACTTCTTGTTTCAGATTCCTTATATTTGTTATGTGATACATTTAAGAGCAAAAGGTCCCAATGTGGTAATTTCTTTAATTTGTGTGTCTATTAGGTGCTGGTATTTTGGCGATGGCCAATGCAGGACCAGACACAAATGGAAGCCAGTTCTTCTTAACTCTCGGTCCCACTCAGTGGTTGGATGGAAAGCACACTATTTTTGGAAGAGTGTGCCAGGGAATGGGAGTGCTGAACCGAATCGGTATGGTAGAAACAAACGGTCAAGATCGACCAGTTGACGATATAAAAATCATCCGAACTAATGTATGCAATTAAACAACTGATTTCTTTTTTTTTTATTCAATAAATGTTTCACATATTGTTTTTTCAATTGTATAAGGAATGGATGACAGTGCTTCATTTCTACCAAATAAAACATGGAAAAAAAGACCAGATGTCAATGTCAAGTATAGGGCAACTTTTTGCAAAAATCACAAAGAATAAATGGGTCCACTTTAATAAATATAATTTGTTGATTCTTGTTGTACTTACAGTAAAATATATATTTTTTTATTGGATGAAAAAAAACAAATATTTAAAGATGTTACTTTGCATACTGGGAGTACTCCTCAGTTTTCTAATGTTTTATAGACCAAACGATTATCAAGAAAGAATCGTCACCTTTACTGTTTCGTGTTTTGTGTGAAAGGCCATCAGTCAGAAAATTAAGTCAACAACATTTTCATCAAAGAATAAAAAAATCTAACTTTATTTTAGTTCGTACAGCTCATCGACATGTAAAAAGAATGGAAATTTACAAACTATATTCCCCCAGAAAGTAATGTATTAGATAAATATAATGTATAAAGAAACATGTATGAAAATAAAATGCCCCATCAATATGGCCATTAAGGAAATAGTTAAACTACAAATTGTGTTGAGGCACTATAGGATTCGCATTATAAATTCAGACAGAATGTAGTTTAACACCTATTTTGAGGTATATTTATTTGGCTTATAACAATATATGTTGTAAAAGAAACGTTGCATGTAAAAACAATTAGACAAACTAAAACCACCAATACATCTCAAATGAATATCAGACACAGAAAATGTGGGAAATGACATTTGATGGAGGAAGGTATTTAAAAGTCATTATCCAGTGTGTTTGCTTGTTCCAGTTGGTTTTAATCAGAAAGTTCAGAAAACAGACATCTGTCTGAGAAATCACGGTTAACACTACTGAGAATAGTTGTGCCATAGTTTCAGGACCTTACGAGAGATCCTCAGAAAAGACGGGTCTGACCGAGAGAAAAACCGGAGAACAGCATAGTTGTGTGAACGAGACGTGATTCTATAGATTAAACCGAACGTGTCTGTGTAACTGAACTGAGTCCAAGGACTTTGCTTATTGCGTCAATGTAATTATTGGATCTTTTTTATTAGAGTTTATTTTGCCACACATACTGATCCTGAAGAAAATAAATGCTATGTTGCTAAAACAAAAACATTAAGGAAATCATAACCCGGAAAGATGCTTTTCTGTTTCAGGTCAAATAGTTTAATTCTAAAATATATGCTTATTTAGTACCTAGTTCCATTGTTGAAACCGCTCTCTTAGCTTAGTTTAACTAAGAATAGAAGCAAGAGGGAATAGCTGTCCTGGCTCTGTCAAGTTATTCTTGAATACATAAAAAAGACAAATAATCCTCTTGAACAACTAATTTACATGTTATTTATTTTTTAATGTGATTCCAAGAAGCAGTGCTAGACTCTCTTTGAATGTAGAACATCACGTCCAGAGCAGTAAAACATACTGCAGCAGCTAAATTAATCCAAAAACATGAAAGTGAAACACTGACATTTTCCCGCACAATAAGTACTTTTGTTGACTTTGATTTAGATGACCCTTAAACACTGTTGCTTAAGGAAGGTTCCCAAAGAGTCTCTTCACATTGTGCTATTAACACTGAATTAAAAAATCTTAATATTCTAACAATAGGAAAACACTGCACGTGACCGATAAATAAACCACTTCTCTTTTGGTATAGATTAAACAAACATACGTGACTTTGTTCGCTGAGAGCCAGGTGAGCTGTTTCCCTGTTTACACCTTGCATGCTGGCTTAGACATGAAACACCCATGTTTTCATTTAGGAATGATCCTTTGTTTCAAAGTCACATTTTCCAGTCACCGGAAGTTTGGGATTAAAATTTTGGAGTCGACTAAACAAGTTCACCTCCAGTTACATTAGATATTTAATATACTGTAAACCTTAACCACACCGTAAAACCCGAAATAGGTAAATGAATAATAACCACCATAACCTGATCTTACCAAAGAGTGATCTTCTGTAAGGCTCGGCATTCAGTACACAATGCCGTCCTGTCCACCATCAAGGGTTTTGTGTGAGGCGCGGATGCTTTCCATTTGCTTTGTCATCCCCGGAAGCTCACCCGCAGGCTGGGAGCTCTTCTGGAGACGCTACAGGAAAGTGTTGACATTGTCAAAGAAGAGCAGTTGCAGCAGAACTTGCACTGTGCACAACCAACCAGCGAGTAGCTTCCAACGAAAAACCTAAATGTAAAACACAGTGTACGCTAGAGGGCATTTAATTGCTTTAAATCTGGAGACAACCACCACTGACCTCCCACAGAGTCCCTTTTACGTTGGCGAGTTTCCAGACCATGGTGACTGGAATCATCGCCAGAGATGACATGGCCAGAAACCAGCCGAAGCAGTACGCCCACCAAGGATACACGTAGGAGTTGTTGAACCTCAGCGGTGTGTATCTCAGGAGCAGGAACACAAGCGTGCCCTAAAAAAGGGAAGCAACTCACAATTAGTCGTTGTTGGATCAATCGGAAAGCTCTCTTCCATAAAAAAAGTCCCATAGAAGTAAACTTCAAGGTGCCAAATATGTCAGCTGATGTCATCCACATGCACAGCAACAGGAAACAAACATGAACCCAAAACTGTTGCCTAGTAGGGCAGTTGCTGGGCAATAGCTAAGAAACGCTCTTTACACAATCTAAAATATATATAATTCTGGCCTTCTTAAAAGACCTACACTGCAAACGAGGGGGGTTCCATACAACCAGGAGTACTTGATCATTGTCAGCGGTTTGTACCCGATCATGTCCTTAATGTTGTCACAGAAGCGATCAGCACCTTGGACAGTGAAAAAACGCATCACACATGTTAAGTAGTATAAAGTATATATCATTTTACTTTATACTTAATTTAGCTGTTTTCAAAGGGAATGCATAATATATTCAAAGACGATGCACTTGTACTAGCACTAGTGTGATGTAGCTGCTCCAGGGAAAACTGCTCCTTACCATAAATCCATCCAATAACCACTGACTGGAAGATAGCCATCAGAAGTAGAGTGGGACCACTGCAGACATAGTGATCAAAGATCTGCAGAATGTATGCACCACCCTGGAATTAAAGCAGGCAATAAATTGGTCTGGATACCAATGCTTTTTTATTTAGCTCCCACCGATGCCAGTCCTAAACCAGAGAACATCCTTTCAGAGGCATCACACCAGGCACCATGTAAAATTGTTCCAGCGGCTTGACAAAGAATTCCTGCTGCTGGTAATAATACAATAAAAAAATGTAAAACACATAGTTGACATGTTGGGCCAATTATTCCCTCATGATGAATTGCTTGCGTAACCAATGATTGCTGTGCTTCTCACCTCGGACACCAACAAGAGGCTAAATCCAAAGCCCACAGCACAAATTATCATGAGAAGAAGCTCTCTGCGATATCCTTTTCGGATCTGGGAAGGGTAGACATCTGACAGAGAAGTCATGAGGCTCTCAAGCCCAATGAACTGTAGAAGAACCGAAAGACAAGACAGCTTAAAAACTCTGAACCAAAGAAGAAATATCAGAGGACATTTCTTTTGGGAGGGAGGGGGTGGTGGGGTGGCGGGACCAGGAAGGCTGCGGCTGACCTGTCCATCTATTCCTAACAAGATGATCATGGTGAAGAAGCACACCGACCAGACCTGGGGCCACGGCAGAAGGGTCACAGCTTGTGGGTAGATTATGAACACAAGCCCAGGGCCTGCAAAGGCAGAGCAGCAACAAGTTACAACCTGTTCTCTCTGCAGTCTCTTTATTTCTTCCATTTTGGTGCAGCAATTATTGGCATCAGTATCAAAGCTTATATTTGATCTATCACACATCTTCTTATTAAGTAGAGGATTATAGGCCGAGAAATCCCCAAAGCCCAAACTGAAAACTTAAATAACAAAACAGTTTTGTGTAGTCGGACAGTTTGAGATATTAATAATAGCAACAGTGAGATTCACATTCGTACCTGACTCCGCAACCAGAGAAATGTCCACATCCTGTTTTTGGGACATGTAGCCCAGAACTGAGAAAATGGCAAAGCCAGATATAAAGCTGGTCCCACTATTCATCAAGCAAAGATAGAAGGAGTCCCTGCAAATCAGAAAAACATGTCTTTATTGCTCTCTTGGTAACACAGGCCCTTTAAAACTATAACAAAGTAATGATAAACAGAGCAGGCTTATAGGCGCTAAATGTAACTGTAGCCACTAGATCAGCACTCACCTGTAACAGTTGTTGTTGTACTTGTTGTAGCTTCCAAGTGTAGTCAGGCATCCCAGACATAGAGCATAGGAATAAAATATTTGCGTCCCAGCGTCCATCCAAACCTATAAGCCAGGGACAAATGATTATACTATTTCTGCTGTAGAATAATCCCCTGAAAGCTGGAATATGGGCTCTGTGATACCTGTGGGTCAGCGAGTCGTGCAGGATTGGGGTACAGGTAGTACTTGATCCCGTGAAGGGCTCCAGGAAGAGTCATTCCTCTGACAAACAGCACGGCCAACATGATGAAGGGGAACGTCGCCGTCACGTAGGGTGCCTTAAGTTAAGCATTGATGTTGAGTTGCTCATTATTTTTACCAGCTGTGCAATACATTGCAGCTGCATAAATCACAGGCTTTTGCTTCTTTATGTGAGTGGGGAAATGTCCAGTTGACCCACTTTGACCTGGATTTCCAGGGCGTGTGTGAAGCTGACAATGCGTTAAATAGTGAGTTAAATAGTGGAAAACTCATTCAACCTCAAAAATTGAGGTGAGCCAACCGTGCCCATTAAATACACACCAGAGAGGATCTACTCACATTATTTGAATTTGAGGCACTGGGGGAAAATAATGGGCTTAGTAGACGGACTCGTGGTATTTAACTTTGCGGGATCTATTGCAAACATCTCTCTCACAGAGCAGTTTGCCAGTCAGCAGTCCAGTCACTGACAGTATCCTGACTCCCGAGCAACTCGGCTACTATTTTTAATGAACTTTTGGCGCAGTGGACGATCTTATAAAAGGGAACACTTCCTATTCTGGAGTTTGAGGTGATGATGTGTCACTGGAAATACTCTGTAACATTTTGTCACCTGAAATGTGCGGCACGTCATATCAGGCCGCTGTCTGGGGCCTTTTCACTGCCGGCGATGCTCGCTCACCGATATGCTCGCTCTATGGCCAGAATTCAGCAAATTCAACAAAAAAAATGCAATTTTGAAAGACACTTCCAGAACAAGCACACAGCATTTGCTGAAAAGTATCAAGTTGGAGATGAAGATCACTGAAAAAGAGTGATTCCTAAACTGAGCAAAGTAAATATACTGTAGCAACTCGGGATAAGAAATGCTACCCGAGATCAAATTGCCATTGTCAAAGGAAACATTATCCTGCGCAAAGCAAAAGTCAACAATGCTAAACACGCGCTAATATACTCAAACATCAGCTCCTCGGTCATAGAATAATCTACGTAGCGAAGGATGGTTGACCGTATGAACCGCTTCACTTTATGAGACCTTCACTGACCTCCTGACTTCAGGAAATGTGATAAAGATTATTTTTGTCTTGAACACTTTATAACAGATTGACATGATGTATCACTCAGTGCATTACTTACAAAGTGGATCAAGTCTCCGGACTAAAGCCACACACAGATGGAGAATACATGGACGAATAGGTTTATATATATATATATATATATATATATATATATATATATATATATATATATATATATATATATATATATATATATATATATCAGATAACTATATATATATATATACAGTATATATAGATATAGATGTGATACTTTATAATTGGTGATTTCCAATTTAGAATGCGGCTCCAGAGCTTTTTTGTCAAAGTTTTTTCTAGTGGCATATTGGGTAAAATGGCTATTTGTATAGTAAAGGTTGCAGACCCCTGACATAGTTGCACCACATACCAAGGTCGCAGCTACTTACAGTAAAACATCCTGTGGTACCAGGAAAAAAACACATGGGGATGTTTTTACTGCAGTCAAAGTAGGCAAGCTTGGGGGGGGGCAACAAAATAGGCCCCAAAAAGCTCTAGATGGGTTTTGATGTTTTGAGCATTCCTAATTCATCCAGTATGGCAAGCATTCCCAATGAGAGCATGGGGGGCCTCATGGGGACTAAAAATCAATAAATCAGCGCTTGCAACCCAAGTTGGTGTTGCCGGTAGTCAGAAACAGTGGCTCATTGGTTTGTTTCGACATTCGCAGATATTAAGCATAGCTGCTGTTTCAGTGGTAAAAGTTGGTATTGAGACATTCTCACTCACAGGTCAATAACATACTAAACTGACAACTAACTCAGTGCCGAGATACCATTGAAATACAAGCTTTTTCGATTTAAGAAGCACTTCCTTAGGCCCCCAGTTGTACACCCGCCAAGTTTGAAGTAGATCAAACGAACGGTGAATTTATGATATGCAATGGACGTGCAGTCAGACTGACAGCCGGACAAAGCATTCCTTGCTTCACCGAATTAGATAAAGTTTGACGAACACAAAGTTGCCTCAGGAGGATTTCAAACCTTTACACTGAGTCACTCAAATTGAGAGTTTTGGCCTGTAGCCACTTTTCACACCATAATGAAAGCCATCTGTCCTAAGGCTGCCATTCAATGTTTGACAAATAGTTGCAAGTGAAAAGAGCTGCATGCTATTTGCCTGTCTGGGCAAACCACAGATGAAGACCTCGGCCATCAACAGCTCCACAGTGTTCCATAATTGCTGCAAAGCCGAGTGCTTGTGAGCATATTTATTGTGTGCTGTTGAACTTAAATGGACCAAACACAGACGGGTAGATTGTAATACCACATAATTGAATGATGCTTCAGTCTCTAATGTTAGTGGAGAGCTAAAAAGGCTCACAGTCATCAAATTAAAATAAAGATTTGAAAGCTACTAAGGAATATTTAACTGGTTATGAATCATTTTAATACTAACGAATCTCAAATACATTTGACCATCAGCAAAAATACTGTGTGGTTATTCTTAAGCCCGCCATTGGGTCCGATTCAAAGCTAAATCAGCCAAAATAGTTTATGGTCGCAGACTGCAATCAGAGCTGCGGCAGTAATGGGAGCGCTCCGCTCCCGGGCAGCTGCAGCTGCTTCTCCTTTGGCCAGGAGCAGAGCTGACAACAACAACACACAGCTGCAGGTCCCAGGCATTATTCCTGGGTCTAGCGAAAGGAAACATCGGAGAACCAGAACAACATCACAGGGTGGAACGTCAGACTCTGTTGCAGTCAGAATGTGGCTAAAGGGACTCTGGTACTGAGCCACATGACTGCTCTTTACCCACGAGGACCAGCAAATTCGTTAAAAGTGAGTTTAGGAAATGAATAATACTAAACAATTTGTGACATCATTTGTGAGTCAGGGTTTATGGTTTCTGTCTTACTTTTCCTGTGGATCTGACTCCCTTCCAGACACAGAAGTAGCAGAGGATCCAGGCCAGGAGAAGACACAAGGACAGCTCCCACTGTACGTTTCCCAGATCCTCTATGCCAGTGGATAAATTGAGCACCCGTCGCCTGTGAGGATCAAGGAACATCTTAGCGTGTCTATAAGGCAACTTTGATTGACAAGTGAAAAAGTCGATCTTGAAAGGTATATTGATGTTCAAGCTCTGCCAACTGTACATAATACACCCATGAATGTGCAATTAAAGAAACTTCACACCTTCCTTTACATTATTCTGGCTGATTTGATCGCTTTTCAAGGTGAATTAGGGAGAATATGTGTTACGCCCTAACAGGTGCTCGAAAAAATACAGAAAGAGTGATGGATATAGTAAGCAATTACAGTTTGTACGCGTCAACACAGTCTTGACAAGTAGTCTGATCACTCAAGATCAATGAAAATGTCTGCGCCTGTCAGCTTTTGTTGTAACAAGCCAGTTCAATACTGACGTTGCATTTACCACACATTAAAAGGTCATATGCCTGCACCTGGGAGAAGTTTAAAACCAAGGTGCGTTACACTGTAGTAATTCATTCAATGTATTCTGGAATTCTGTATCATATGGGATCTTTCTGGTGAAAATGTGCATTTACAAGTAATATATATATATATATGTATACCATACAAATATGGACGCATCACATCAACCATTTCATGGTGTTACTGCCAACATACTGTATTTAAATCCTCACAACATCACTTTTGCAACCAAACAATAATTGAATAATTACAAACTTGAATGTCTCAACTTAATGGAGTTGACTTTGATTTGCTAGATAATTAATCAATAATGATTAAAAAACACTGCGTTTGTAAATATAGCTGTTAGTATTTGTAACACACAAACTCAGGGAATGAGAGGAAATTGCAGCAAATTGAAGCATGAGTGATATTTAGTTAAATGGTTAGCTTTGTCATTTCCACATAAGGTAACCTCAATTAATCAACAGATATAATAGATATTTTGAAAGAGTTGTTTGCAAGTTGTTATGTCCAGCGTACCCACATTAATCTGGTTTATTGGTACTCTGCTCTGGGTTGAATCAGACGGAGCTATCCCAAGAATGACACAAGGCCAAGGACTTACATAATAAAACTGTAATAGGTGGAAAGTGCCTTGCCAGCAGGTCTATTCCGCTTAATAAAAGGGAAGCAGTGCCGTCTGAGTACTTTAACAATTTGCTAGTGTCAGACAACACCTCCGTTTGTCTGAAAAGGGACATTGCAAAGCACATATCAAAGCACAAATTTATTTTACTAAATGCATTCACCCCGTGCTCCTTTGATACTATATAACACATTTCTACTCAATTCAGTTTAATTTAGAAAAAGAAACTTACTGCCAGAACTCTGATACAGATGTTGATGCATTCACCGGCACGGTCCGGTTAACAGTGGTATTAAAGTTGTTTAATACCAAACAATTATCTAAAAAATATCAAAGAATTGTTAAACATAGTTCAAGCTGGAAATACATGATTCTGCAATTGCCATTGAAATCCATTGTGTTAATGATAGAAGTTAATTCTTCTTACAAATGCTTTACACCTTAAAAAAAGTGCTTAAAGTTACAATGCTTCAAGAACAATATGTAATTTACCTGTATTCCATGTGTTATTACAGGTGCCCCACGGTAGCTCACCAGAAAACGAAGAGAACAGGTAAAAAAAGGCCCAAGCCAAGATCACAACATAGCTGATGCATCCATAGAAAACAATCATTTGGCCTGCGTATCCCATCCCTGGAAACAACAGAACATCTTGCCATTGTATTGCTGTGTTTTTTCAGTCTTAACTTAACCTTAAATCCTGACAGGTACTTGTACTTTACCTTCAAATAAGGGGCAGATCTTCCTCCAGCACATGATTCCTCCCTGACTGGTGTACTGGCCCATCGCTGTCTCCAGTATGAACAGAGGGATACCACAAACCGCAAGGAACAGGATGTAAGGAATAAAGAAAGCACCTGCAAGTGTGAATAAAAGCATCGTAAACATGCATGGTAGGTCACACATACAAAGAGCACCATAATGGCATTAATGCTTTCTGATTCCCAAACTACTTGGACATTTGGACATTCCAAATGTGTTGAAACATGACACTTACATTTTCTGAGATAGGGATTTTCATGCGCATACAGACTAATTGACTCACACAAATTGCACCTTTATCATACTTGACAGTAGATAAATTCCCATAAGAGCTCCAAACCTGGACTTAGACACGTTGCTCTTTTTCTAAAGGGATAACATTGAATACCATGTGGCGCGTGTATCTTTGGAATTTATTGTAGATGCAAGATGAGGACTAAAGAGGATTGACAGGAACATTCTGGGACGGAAGTACAAAGGAAATATATTGTTAAAGAGTGAAGAGATGCGTTTCGCTTTCTTTTGAAAAATATCACAGTTTCAACGTTCTCACATTTCTTTAACAGAATATTTTAATAGGCCTATACATAATTAATTAAATATTTAGAATCATTAACTATATATATCGTTTTTATTATGAAAGCCATCTGTGGTGTTTCAATTGCATAAAAAAGGTATGGGCCAAATGATTACAGAACAAAATAATGCTACAAAAACACCTCCTGTATCATTCAAATTTCTGAATGTTGCAAGATTATATTTTAACACATCTTGATAACATTATTTTCCTTCATGAAAAGTAATTTTTTACTGAATTTGGCTTGAAAGCCCCATGATGTAACTAAATTTAAACTTAAGACCACCGCCCGTAATAAGATCCTCTGATAGATGTTTCTGCCAACATTTTGCAATAACTCTTCTCCTGCCCCCGTCATCACAGATTTATTATACACAGTGAGACATGTTGTGGTGTCGGTGACCAGGAAGCATTCGTACCTTTCTCCAGAACGCAAAGCAAGAACAAATACAGGCCCATAACTTTTTCACACAAAAATTGTTAATAATCAGCAGTTCACAAGCCCAGTTTTTCTCTCTCTACGTTCAAACTGCGCCCATACTGCTGATTGAAGTCACATTCTTTAGGTGGATGTCGCGCTTATATGCCGATTGCCTTCAATATTGTTCAGAACCTGCTCAACGCTTCAGGTGAGGAACACGACTGACTTTCTAAACAGAGAAAGAGAAAGAAGAGGGGCCAGGTAGCGAGGGGAGGGGCCAGGTGGTGAGAGGAGGGGCCAGGTAGAGAGAGGAGGGACCAGGTAGTGAGAGGAGGGACCAGTAGTGAGGGGGGTGACTGGCTATGTTTATAGGGGTCCGGTATTGATCGAGGGTCCCCCTGTTATGCTAGGGGTCGCATTTTTTGAAAGGATAGTTCAGTAGAGGGGAGGGCTCGCAGGGTGAGAGAGGACCCCCTATTTTGAGCGGGGGACCTGGTAGCGAGAGGAGGGGCCCGGTATTCAGAGGAGGGGCCAGGTAGTGAGAGGGGGGGACCAGGTAGTGAGAGGAGGGGCCAGGTAGAGAGAGGGGGGGACCAGGTAGTGAGAGGGGGGGACCATGTAGTGAGAAGAGGGACCAGGTAGGGAGAGGAGGGGCCAGGTAGAGAGAGGAGGGGCCAGGTAGCGAGAGGAGGGGTCAGGTAGCGAGAGGAGGGGCCAGGTAGCGAGAGGAGGGTCACTGGAGCCAATAATGCAGGAATCCAGACTCAACGATTGGATAGTCAATTCTTAAGGTTATGAAAACTTGATTTATGAAACCATGGCTGTCATATAACCCAAATATCTTGGCAACAATTCAAAGTAACTCCCTCTGAGTAATTCAATGGATTTATGAGGGAAGTATTCATTTACCCGTGCTTTGTATGTGACCTCATAATCCATTAAATGTTAGAGGAAGACATTGCAGAGCAATTAAAACAGGTTTGATGGGTTGTCTTCGTCTGTGTTTCACACGAGCTGAGGTTTGCCTGCCTTTTTTGTTTTGTTGCAGGAGGTCATGGAAAATGATTTATAATATTAGAGTTGGTTTAAAATAAGGCATTAATCAGTTTTCAAGATTGGATCAATAAATGTTTATACATTGAACGTGAGAATATGACCTTAATATGGCCTTAATGTTGGACTCGAAGCTACGGTCTGCATCTTAATTACAGTAACACAAATACATGTAACCCAATCCGCGAGGTATAATCCTCATTTTATTTCATTCAACAGCATTTGCCTTTTAGTATTTGGGCCAAATGTTTGGATTTCAGTTTTATTCTTCTTTAACTCCAATAAATGATTACTCACCTAATTGCCACAAGACAGGCAGTTGGTTCAGCACAGAAGTACAGTTTTGTGTCTACTGTATAACCTTGGAAACATAATACAAATAATGAATTGATTTTTTTTCAGTCAATTGAAGTAGGCTGCAAAAGAATTTCCTGTAGCCCAATGTGATGTGTAATTGGTTGGTTTATTAGACCAACAACCCCAATAAATTAAAGTCACTAATACAACAAAAAAATGTGGAAGAAGGAATGGAATGGAATATTAATAATAACAATACCAGTTTATCATCTGCCGCCTGAGCTATTGATTGATCTAAGCAGTAACATGATTGATCTAAGCAGTAACATGTCTCATAGTTGTAGTTTCAGTCGGAAATCTTTTTGCCATCGGAGGACATCCACATTGCTGTGTCTTTATTACCTGGATCAGATTGCCAGTTTTCCAATTTATCGCCACTCTCAATCTTATTTGTTTTGTTAAGCTTGGATGTGTGGGCATCTGTGGTACACATTGACTGCGGCTGGCATTATATATTATAATGCGTTTTAGTGTCTGCAGGCCAGTTGCCATCCGGTCTCGACCGTTGCTGAGTTTGCAAAATGTATGTTTGAGCCTCAGATCTGCATGATGGCTCAATGGATTAACAACATATAATAACTGCTCCATGTCCCAGGTTGAAGTGTCCCTGAGCAAGACACCTAACCCCTAATTTCTCCTTGGGCAAAAATGTAAAAAAAGGCATGGATTAAAAATGCAATGTAAATTGCTTTGGATGAAAACGTCAGCTTAATGACCTGTAATCTAAGCTGTTGATCGTAGTAATAGTTTACTCTTTCAGATGTATTTATTGAACTGTGGCATTTTACTAAAGATTTCTCAATATAACTCTATGAAACCCATGTTGTTGCCAAAAAAGTGCTGATGAAGATTTCTGACCTTAACAGTTCATCAGTTTTTCCTAAACCAGCAGACACATTTGACATGTCATCTTTGGAAAGAGATCATTTGAACATCTGGGATAAATAAATAGCCTTTAACGCCTAATGTCTCCCTTTGGCTTCCCGTGTACTCTAAAATAGTCCTGTAAGAGCAGGTTCACTGTAACCGATACCACCAAACTGCCAAAAGAATCACTTTACTATCCGGTTTAAAGCACTCGATTTCCAAATCAGATAACCATCAAAGGGTCTTAGCGAAGAATGCTACTTTGCTCCTTACAGTCACAGGCATATATTTTTATAAGCTTTCAACAACCTGTCATTGTTAGTCAACAGTGGGGTGAGAAAGTAGGTTTGCAGCCATCAGGGTTTCTCCATGTAAATAGTCATTAAAAACTTCAGTCATTAAAAAAATTCACAATGATGCATCTGGCAACTTATCTCTTGTTAAATACTGTGTGTTTTACAAGCTTAAGAAGTGTTGTTTCTCTCATTCCTCGTTAGTCCTCCGGTAGTTCACTGTTTTATTGCAACAATTTCCGACTCAAGAAGTGAGACAATCTTGGTCTTGGTGAACTGCTGCCCATGCATTTCTTTTTTTGATCTGTCTGGTGTCTTTGCACTTTTACATGCCAAACTAAAAGAATAGAAACAAAGATACTTACCACCGCCGTTCTTGTAGCACAGATAGGGAAATCTCCAAACATTTCCAAGTCCTATAATAGCACCGGCTGCAGACAGGATGAACTCCTTCTTGCTTCCCCATTTGCCACGCTCGTTGACTGCTTGTGAAGAAGCCTTAGGAGGCGGAGGACACAATCGACACAGAGAGTCTGCCATTCTTCTGAGAGGGAAAGGCTCTTATGGCGTGACTGAGATTGATCTCTGAGTGCCGGACTAGCTGGGGATTGTGTGATGTAAATATATGTGGGGTTACCTAATTGACACACTGCAAGGTATTTAGCCACAAGGGGGACCTCTAGCTGTGCACCGAAAGTTTCCACCCAAAAACAAAATGTTCCTCCAGCGACAAACAGTGGAGTGATTTATTTGGTGTGACCAATTACCGTTTCGACACAGTATTGACGGCTTTACAGCAGGCCTCACACATATGTGAAAAGGTAGAATTGTTTTACCCAACTATTTTCTTAAAAAATATATACAGTGTAGTCATTTTAATAAAAGCAGTAAGTATGGACATTAACATAAAATCTGATACCTCTTGTAAAATATATGTGCATTGAAATCCTACCTGAGCGAATGTATTTGCTTTTTACTAACGTCAATTGTGTTATCATTTTAATTCCCTTTCAATTTGTGATTCAGAAATATCTTTTCTTTGAAAAAGTATCAGATGACAAGACCGGTTTCAGACTTCTTCAGGTATCTCTTGTAGTGGAGAGAAAAACAAAAGAAAACGACTTTTGGTGGTGCCTTGTTAAAACTAATGTCCAGTCCATGACAACAATCGATAGAAAATAATGTGAATATAAATATATTGGAGAAAAAAAAACGCAGGAAAATGCAAATCTGCACAATATGATATGTATTGAGTTCTCACAACATGGATATGATTTGAAAAAATATGTTCTACATTGCTCACACATAGTCAACATTAAGGAGCCTGACGGCTTTGATGAACCATCATCACGCCTTGTTTGATGTGATGGTAAATTCATGGTCAGTTTTCCAGGAATGAACTGTTATGGATCTCCACTACAGTAACAAAACAACTACAGCGGGGTAAAAAAGTCTCAATCGACTAACATACAGGTGCACATGTGCTATAATAACAGTAATAATAATAATAATAGATCTGAAAATCGTGTTTGTGCAAAACATGCCTTTCAAGGGAGGCATTTCCTTTGGGAAAAGCTGCAGGTTCCAAAAATATTAGTAAATACGCGTTTTCAATCATATTTGAAGGTTATTTTGATCATGACTTGCATTGTGGGAATTAAAAAAACATTTCCACTTAATGTATACAATTGGTTTGGAATGGCCAATTGTTCCAAGAACTACAGTTCCCATGACCCTCAGCAGCCGTTGCTATGGAGAAGAATCCACACGGAGGCTTGAATCAGAACTGGTACAAGTTCTGAATGATCAAATATCAACTACTGCAGTGTTTATGTTGAATTAATACAAAATCTCAAAATCTTAATCTGAAAATGTATTGATTGTATGGTATTATTTAGGAATGGCTTTAGAGTGCCAGGGAGCATGTTCACAGTCAACTAACATTTTATGTGTAGAAAATAAGTAAGAGTTTTATCTCTCAGTAGCAGACTCTGTAAATGACCCTACATTTAATTATAGTATAATAAGTAACAGATTCAAGTAAATACATGTAACAGCAAATATATGATATGGAACAAAGCAAATCAAGGACAATATAATAATATCACGTATAAAGCAAACCATTTCCATTTGTTTCTATATGTATATATATATATATATAAAAATACCTCCACAAAATGTTGCGAACAGTACATGTTATGAATGTTCAATAAGGGCATTTCTTGATCCTCTGACACACTGAAACAGGAAAATTATGAATTGATCTGACACAACAAAGGGTTTTTTTAACTGAAAAAAAGAACGTTTCAAAACTGTTTCAAATCAACATATTGTTAGTCCACAGCAGAGACATTTCACAGTGACACAAGACTCACTGCTCATTGAGCATGTTGCAGACCTGGTTTGGTCACCCAACGGAGCTGGAGGTCCGAATTAATTGCTCACCATAATTTCTTTACAAAGGCTTCACTTGAGTTTAAAATCATCCCATTTGAAACCTTGTCAGAAATGTTCATTTTTTCCACATTTGCATCTCCATCTCAGCTCCACCACTTGCTTTGTATTCGTTGGCAGCAGGAGTCAGCGTGTTGTCGGGGTCCAGGGGGCATTGCTCGGGCTGCTTCGCTGCGTCGTGCGTCTGGATTTCAGGACGACAAAGCTGCCTGAAGTTCTGTAGAAACAAAATCAGTCAGTTCACGTTAGCAGCGTCGTTGACTCACGGTACAACGGTTTCCCCAACACGGAAGCATGTGCAGAGAACGAGAGAATTCACACAAACCGCAACAAAGCCTCATCTGTGCTCCTTCCATACAAACTGTACCAATGTAAAAGATGTAGCAACAAAAAGGGTGGAGCACTAAGGGTGAAATGCTGCTGTCTTGTACTCGATCCCATGGGTTTTCCTCTGGGGCCCCCATGGAATCGACTTTTGTGTTATGTGATTGTTATCTAATCCGGCAATTCATGCTGAGGATGAATCCCGATGACTTTCGCGACCCTCTGAATGACCGACCTGTCTGTCGACAAGTCTAATGGTGGGTTTGTAGCGGTCGCCGGCCTGTTTGGGCGCCATCGGCCTGCTGAGGTTTAATCAGGGCGTTGCTGAATAATGATACTTTTCTGGCAAAAGTTGCGCCGGGTTCAACTTTACACCGTTGACGCGCTAATCTGGGTTTCACGTTGAAAGCATGGCGAGGGTGAGGCTTTTGAATCCTTTAAGTGTACAAAACTATGGGATTGTCAGAATTATCAGTTGTCAGGGTGTCTACTGTCGGTTTGGAATTCCTTTAGCACAAATGAAATGGTGAGAAAGAAAATTCGAGTCTGTATGTAACACTGTAGAAACATGCCGTTGACCTCTAATTTGTCACACTTCTAAGTTTCATTAGTGCCAGGTTGAGTGTTTTTGTAGGAATGTGCAGCTGCATGTCCTCGACAGGCAACTGCCTGGAGCATCTTGATAATACACTGCTGTTCCTTTTGAACATTTTTAAAGCTCCTGTATGTCAGTAATTGCACTATGGTTGTTGTACAACAGTACTTGCACTGTGATTCTTGCAGTACATACTTGACAATGTTGGAACATCTCTTAATTGAGTAGAAGACCTTGTACTTTATATGAACTGTTACCTCACTACGACTCAGATTTATGAAGGAAAACACAATGTTCTTCACTGCCTCAAATCAACCATGAAATATGGGGGTAAATGGTGCTAAATGTTATTACAGGACGGTAAAATGTTATTTGGCAGTTTAGCAAAAGTAGTACAACAAATTTTACATTTTATTAAACAAATTAACTTTGAAGAGTAAAGAATAAAATAAAACCATCAGAAAAGTAAACCTTAAATATATCGAAACTATTTTCTATCAACAAATTGCAAATTACATAAATAATAATATCACATGTTTTTTAAAATGACAAGCATTTTATTCTTTTCATATATTTCATCTGAGTACCTACCTGCCCCACTGTCCCTTTCATCTGCATGAGTTTAAAGACGATCCACAGAGGAACCAGGAGAACGCAGAACAATCCCAGGCACCAGCCCAAAGCGTAGGCCCAGGGCGGATAGACATAGGTTTTGTTGAACTTTAGGGGCTTGTATTTCACCAATGAAAACACAAAGGTACCCTGACAGGAAAGAAAAAGAAAAACTATTCTGTTCATCCAGTTGCAGTGCAATAAGGTCAGATCACCAGCCTTTCCAATTCCAGTTTATCAAAAATGTTCTCCTTGAAGAATGTTCTCATCATTTAGCTTTATCATGGCGTCTTTTTATTTACACTATATGAGCAGAACTATTTGGACCCCCTATCCAGATTCCTTGCATCTCATACAGTAGTATACTTCTGGCCTGAGCAGGTTTTACACAGTTTGAGCTACGTTCTGAAATGTTAGTTTTCATATGATGATATTCTACACTGTACTGCAGTGTTTCCCCCCTAACCCATTATATTAAGGGGTGGCGCCCACCCCCCATATTTTTTTCATTTTCATTTTTTCCACCCCGACAAGTGGCCACATATGTGTACATGTATGTATGACTAATACCCCCCCACCAACCCCACCCCCCCCCTCTTTGTCGGCCGGTCCGGCCCACCAAAGTTGTAAACCTTGGGGAGACACAGTAGTGTGTTTCTAACATTATGGCAAAGGTTTGGAGAAGGGTTGTACCTGTTTCAACATGCATAGCCTTGAAGAAAAACAAAGTCCCTCAAGAAATCAACCCCAGAAGTCAACAGTGGGAACAAGCCTGCCATTAAGTACGGCTCCCGTGGTGCTCTTCTCCCCTTTAGCTATCTGCATTATTTTCCATGGGTTCTGCTGCATCCTGAGTTAAGCATCGCCCAGATCTCAGGTCACATTGGCCTCTGGCATCGGATTAGCCAACAGAAGCAAAAGGGGGTGTATTTAGGGGGATTTGCTGTAGCCAGGTGACGGTCTCCAAATGGACTGTTCAGCTGCATTCTACAGATCCTTGTTCAGCACTGACGCAGAGGTAAAAAAAAAAAAGGCCTTGCTCTGTTGCACAGTGAACACGGTCTGCTTCCTGACAATCTTAAAGAGGCTTCATTTGACATACAATCTGAGTAAGCTCCCTTTACTCCAGCAGCCTTTTTTCTTCAGAATGATACTGGAAGAGTCAATTTCACAAGACAAGACTCTTCTGGTGCAAAGCATCCGTGGAGTAAAGCTGAGATACTGTGGCCTTGTTCTGTGGCAGAGGTCAGTGCAGCCAACTTGACATGGTTGTCATGGTTTTTCTTTGTCACACAGGCCAGCAGGTGTTCCTGTTATTGGCTCTTAGTTCACAGTCAACCTGGGGTTGGGTTGGCTAACCTTTTAGGGCTTAAAATCGGCTTACTTTTTATTTTTTAGTTGGGTGAAACATTCTTGCACTGGAGTAGGAGCAAAACACGAAAAACATCTTTGTGTAACCGGACCTGAACCCCCCACACACCTCTGGGAAAAATCCCACACACCGCTAGTGTTCATTGTCCACATTGTATTGTTTGTCTAGGTTCACATGTACGTTTGACCATGTATGTTATTGCTCTTTGGCTTTATCGAAAAACACTTTGAACATTTGATATAATGATAATAATTAGTTTCACTCTGGGAGGGCCAGTTCTATTCGCTCTTGTATTCTAAAGTTTAGTCACAATCTCCTTCCCTTTTCTTTTTTCTTTTTACTCTGAGGCAGTTAAACCGGAAAAGGAGTGATTTGAAAGTCGAAACAAACGAGACTGAGGTTTTCCTGAATTCCTGAAACCAAGGTGGCAATATCATTCCCTTCCCTCTTTCCTCTCTGCGTCACCTCACAGCAGGCAGTACTTTTTTTCATGACCCTTACGAACAAAGAAAACAGTGTCCCCGTCCCTCCCACCACACATCTCTGCTGTCGCCTGTTTGTCCGAATGAAGTTCTCTGGAAACTCTCTACAATCCACATTTTGAACGTGCGACTTACAGTCGAGACGAGTAAGAGGAGGGACAGTTTAGTACCAATGTGTACTCACACTTCATTGATCCATTGACATTTCGATATTATCCATGAATGCCTCAAACTACACGTCTTTTCACTATTTTGGTAGATCAAAGAAACGGTTTTACTCACCAGACAAACAGTGGGGGTAATGTAAAGCCAGCAGTACTTCATTACGGAGGATGGACGATAGCCTACCATGTCTTCAATGTTGTCATAGAGACGATTTGCACCTGGTAATAGAAAGGTCGATAAGAACAAATATTCTGCGTAGTCACCCAAAACACAAGCTACAACGCAAACAAATACAATATATTGTATGTATAAGATGTAATATATTGATTATTGACGGACGTCCACATAATACATGTATTTAAATGAACAATGTTGTGTTTCAGAGAAACTATTGTGGGTGCTGGTACAGTATTTAACAATATTAAATATTGGTACAATAGTTAGTATTTAAACAATATGATCTTTTTCTTGTATTAAATATTTGACCTGCTGCATACGACAATGCCACTTTAAAATTCCACGTAATATCTCACATTAACCCCAAACTCCTCAGTGATCATTTAAGTCCCAATTACAAGGAGTCAATACGAAGGGCTTGTTTTATAGAGTCCGTGTATTGAGCTCTCTTCGATGTTTTGTCATTTAAAGTCAAAGAAAAGGTGCTAAAGAGATTAAATGCCCTTCCTCGAGAGGATCACATGTCTATCAGGCTTAAACAAGCTTAAACAGGAGTGAAAGCTGAAGGTAAAGGAGAGCCAAGGAATTTAAGTGTGGACAAAATATCTCATAAATCAACTGACAGAAAGTACCACAGGAGTGAGGCATGAGGTAGGAGGGCAGTCCACGCTGTAAAGCCACAAATGTGCCAAAGGAATGTAAGTTATGCAAAGACTTACCTCAGTTAGTAATGAACAAACAACCGGTAGCTTTAAATCCCACAGGACATTAACAGTCGAATGCTGTTTTCACTGGAATTTAAGTGACCAATTGTTTAACTTTTTGCTATAATTTCGTGTGAAGACATTGATCACTCTGCTGCATGGTGGATTTATACCTGATTGAATGGGTTTAATGTACTTTTAACCACAAAGGCAACATATTTTCATATAAATTCGCATTTTTGAGTCTGCTAAAGTATTTTAGATGAAGATGAGACGTTATTCTTTTAAATAAAAATCCTTCAAATTAGTTTGAAAGAGTCGTGACCAATGTACAGTGTGTACAGAACGTTATATTGATCAGTTGACAGTGCTCTCTTGTGGACATGATCTGCAATGGAGACAATGTTTCTAAATGACCATAAACTAATCTTTTTATTTGCAGTTTCTTATTATTTTCATGCGAACAAAAACTAAAAACTTCAATAGTCAATCACCTGACTATTTATGTGATCTCCACATGTTTTATTTGACTGGTTTGAAAAACGCGACCAACCACTGAGGCCTTTAAGTCATTTCCCTCAAGGTAAAAACTAACACGATATGAAAATACTTTTTTCGAAGATCATTTTCAAAATGCGTGACCAAAACGTTGTAACAATAAAATAGTTTGATCAATGCAGAATTGCGCTAATGACTCACCATACACCCATCCCATTGCTATCGACTGACACGCTGAAAGAAGCAGCAGATTGTTGCCGCTGCAGACATAGTGGTCAAAGAGTTGTAGGAAATACAAGCCTCCCTGCAGGAAGATACAGGGTCCGTTTTTATCGCATATCAAATATAAACAACACAACAATTGAGCTCAATGTTCACATAATTCACATTTCTGCTCTGCTGAAATGAGTTGACTAAATTCAGCATGTGGCCTGTTTGTGGGCCTCATGCTTTCATTCGTCGTGAACACACCACAACCACGCGTTCTCACCTCGGTGACGAGGAGGAGGCCGAGGAAGAAGCAGATAATGCAGAGACAGAGCAGCAGCAATTCCCGACGGTAAGCTCTCCGAAACACGTTGGGGAACATGTCTGTCACGGAGGTCATCAGGCATTCCAGACTAACAAACTGCCAGGGGACACAGAACGAGGTGTTAACTGAAGCACTTTAGAGACCAAAAGGTTAAAGGTTAAACTCATTTTTGAAAAATGCAATTTTTTTGTTGTTTTTTTGCCTCACCTGTGTATCTGCCCCCAACAGTATGACCATGATGAAGAAACACACAGACCATATCTGCGGAAAAGGCATCATGGCTACTGCACGTGGATAGGCAATAAATGCCAAGCCGGGGCCTGTATTAGAGCACACGCAAAGGTTTTGATTTCACAATATAATTTAGATTATTCATCTCACTGTGTTCAGTTGCTATTGTATTACAACCACAACAAAGACTCTCTTGGACTTTAAATGTGTTATTATTATTTACAAATATAATTAATTCAGTGTCTAAATATGGTAATGAATTCACACGATAAAAAACATCAAAATAATATGCTTAATGTCTATGAATATCACCTCACCAATCACTTGCATCATCATGGAGAGACATTTTGTCAGTGTTATCTAGCTCTGACGCACAAAAACAGTGTTTGACTGGAGGCAGTTACAAACAATACAAAAAACCCTTCTCCTTCCTCACTGAGGGTCAACATTTCTTCTGGTTATTGAAGCTGAAAGGGGCTTAACTGTATTGTCGTGTTGTGATTTTTTATTTATTAAGTTAAATGGTTGAGACCTAGGAAAAAAACACTAAAAAATTTTTTTGCAATGTATTCAAGCAACAGCTAAACTATCAACCCTTATCAACTATCAACATCACTGTTCCTAGTGGGAGTTCTTTACTCAAACAGATGCGGTGATCATGAAACGTGTGTACTGTAACTAAGTGGTGAGGTGCCGGTCTTACCCGTAGCAGCCACTTCAGATATTGGCACACCTTGTTCGTAGGACATGAAGCCCAGGACTGAAAAGATGGCAAAACCTGCCACAAAGCTTGACCCGCCATTCACTAAACACAGAACAAACGTGTCCCTGAGGAGACAAAGCAAAGAAAAACCTGTAGCTAACAAACAACTCTGGCAGTGAGACGAAACCCAAGCCTGGAGCCTGATGGAGATAACGGTAAAAGGCTGCTCAAACCACAATTATCGTAATGATATATTTACATTTATTTATATACACAAGGATGATGATTGAGGTAAAAGCGTTTATTATATGAAACGCGCCGTTATTATCGGCCTCATTCATTAACTCTGCCATGTTGGAGAGCATGCAGCTTGATTATCATGCCCGGCTGAATAAAGGCTGTTTACTTTACTGTACCTCCTCCCCTCTCAACATTTCTAACTTCAGTGGGAGCGTCACAAAAGACACTCTGGTAGACAGCAAAAAAAAAAATGCCGAAAGCAAGACCCAGGCTGCTGCAAGTGAATGAAAGCAAATGATTTAATTTGAGATCTCCTTCTTCCAGTCATTTTCAATCATCTTAGTCATAATACCATGCAGGGAAGGCAAGAGGAATTGGTTTTGTTAGAATCTCAGGTTAACTATGTTTTACTGATACATTTCGATAACGAAGCAGAAAAAAGGCAGAGGCTACTTACTTGTAGCAATCATTGTTGTATTGATTGTAACTGCCCAGAGCTGTCAAACTGCCCTGACAAATCCCAAACGAGAAAAGAACTTGTGCACCTGCATCCATCCAAACCTAGGCAGACACAAAACATAAACCTTCACCGCCTATAAGAGCGGACGCAGTATTTATTTATATACATCTGGGATTCCAGTAAGAGGTGATTGGGCGTTCAGCAGCAACTTAAAAGTTTGACTTTATTACTTACTTGAGGGTCCACCAACCTTGTTGGGTCAGGATACAGATAGAAAGCGATGCCATTCATAGCTCCTGGTAAAGTGAGTCCACGCACCAGCAGAACCACCAGCATCACGTAAGGGAACGTGGCTGTAAAGTAAACCACCTGTCAAAACGAGACAAGGGCAGTTTTAAAATGTTGTTTTGAAATCACAATTGAATATTGGAATCTGACAAGAAGCCGTTTAGTCATACAGAATATAATTATTAAATAAAAATGATAATGTATCGGATCTTTCAAATAGTTTGTTTTTTTACAACAGAGAACTGTGTCTGTCTGTGCATAACATAAACTTGATAAAATAAAATTGAATTAAAAAAAAGAAGATCAAGAAACAAATATAAAAGACACATCACAAAACATACAATAATAATATACATAAAATCTTAAATAAAGTTACATTACAATCAAATAAAGTTCTGTGCCGTTTTGAAGAGTGACAGGTTTGGGCAGAAATGTGCAATAATTGTCTTAGAAATGTGAAACGGATCAGTGTGAAGGATAAATAGACTTTGCAATGTACAGCCGGCCATTTCTGGAGGCATCGGCATTGTTAATATTTTCATTTATCGACGTGTCTCCTATAGTTTGCACCTTCCCAGTGGATCTCACTCCTTTCCAAACACAGAAGTAGCAAAGGACCCACGCCAGTAAGAGACACAAGGCCAACTCCCACCTCAGGCTCCCAATCTCATCAATCCCTTGAGATATGCCCAACACCCGCCTCCTAAAAACAAACACATTATGTTGTGGAAACAGGGTCAGTCTGTAGACAACAACTTTGGGAACGTTCCTGAGGTTTTTATGATGGAGAAGAATCAATGTGTGTGATCGCATCATGTTATTGTGGAATTGCACCACGTCCATCTTGAAAATAAGCAAATAATATTTCGATTGCATAAGTGAACTTTCAATTTAAGGTGGAAATGAATAGTCACGGTTTTCTGGCATCAACAAAATAGTAAAGCTATCTTTCATTTTCAGCACAGCATGCGAGATGGAGAAAAGATGGATTAGTACTTTTGTGTCTGTGTAGAGTCTGTTTCTCAAACATTATCACCTAACTTAAGTCAACCTCATACATAGTTTGGGGAAAGGAAAACCTTCTGATGGGACAAAGTTGTTCATGTGGTACTAAAAGTGTAAAAGTTTTTATTGGCGGAGTACTGAGTGTTCTACGTGTTATCTACTGAGAAAGGCTGACCATGACATAGCAAAATAAATGTTTTCACACCCCGTTTTTATGTATTAGCTGATAAATAAAATTGGTAAGTATATGTATATATATATATATATATATATATATATATATATATATATATATATATATATATATATATGCAGATATATACTGTTATTCAATCTTTTCATACTTTTAAAAGAAAGATACAGTCCTCATAGAGCAGGTGGGATTGGATGGATCTAACAAACACATCACTTTTATCCACGAGAGTAAATGTTGACATTTTGTGGCGTGAGATGTTTATATCACTAGTTATGTTTGCTCCCTAGCCGTCATAGACTGCAGTTTACAGTGTGCTAATGCACATTTAGAGAGCTTCTAAAAAAATGTGACATTGGCAAACAGAAATACAAATGTAAATCATACTTACTCCCAGAATTCTGTTGCAGGCGTTGTTGCGTTTGCAATCCAGTTGTGTGACGCATTACTTTTATCAAATTCAACACAAAACTCTAAGAAAAGAAAACAGGACATGGTTTTATCTATCAAACAGCAGATAAGTATTTTTGAACAAAAAGACAGATACAGTTCTATTAAACAAATACAAAACAATCCTCATATGTTTAAGTCCTGCTGGAAAGAACCCAACTCTATAGCAGCTGGTTGTACACATTGTTAAACGCGGCGCTGCTGCGAAACCAATAGCTTCATCAATAAATGAAGCTATCAAGAATGCAAGCAATTTTCAAGAGATTCAGCTATTTCTGTATCCAAGCAGTTTATATATTGCCGCTGTTATACAAATGTGGAGACTTTATTTTAAATGATGAGGACCCCGTCTACCTGTGTTCCAGGTGTTTCTGCAGCTGGCCCATGGGATCTCAGCGCTGAAGGATGAGAAGAGGTAGAAGAAGGCCCATGCCTGGATGACAATGTACGACACCGCAGCATATGCAATCACAAGCTGGGTAGCGTAGCCAATCCCTGAGGAGGCATACAAGGTGGAAAAAAATGTACATTATTGGTAAGAATCTGCAAAATGATAAAGCATGTAGGTTGTTAACAGGGGTGAAGTATCAGTACACTATTTGCATACAGTAGCGTAACCAATTGGTACACTCACAATAAGTCTCATCAACAGGCCAAAATAACTCGTTCCCTGCACCTGCCAGTTAATATTCCTGTTATTTAGCGAGGTTTCAATGTTCTTTTAACTCTAAAAGTACTGAATACTTTACTTTGTCACTTGGGTCGCATCTGGGGAATCAAGATTGAACCCTTCAATTCATCTTTGTATTAAAGATTTTTGGGTGCGGCCTCAGACTCCGCAATAATCTCTGGTTCACATTAGGCCTGGTATTTTGCCAAGCAGGGAGTTCCAAGCAGCAGCAGACACACCCATGTGTGCAAAGAGTGTGTCATTCGGTTTGTGTAATAGGTTTTTTAACACACAGTGATTCAGTTGGCTCTGTACTATAGACAAGTTGGATGTGCGTCACTTAGAACAGAAGAGAAAAATCATTAAGTTGAGGTACATTGTGTTTGATGTCTGTCTCAACATTGCATGAAAAATCTGCACTAGCTCCATAGAATAGAAAAATAAATTACAAGAGCATATGAATATGAGCTAGATCCTGATCTAACTAAACGTAATACAAGTTGGGGAATGTTCAGGATATTCCAGGGTTTAAGGAAGGAGAGACATTTGTTTTGTAGCCAGGCTTCACATAGGGATGAAAGAGAACATACGCTGCCCTGAAACAATGTTCTTGAGGCAAAAGCTAAAACTCCTTCATGAGAGGATGATCCAGGCAGCCCAATATGAGATTATCCCGTTTAAGAATTTGGCTACTATAAATATCCAAGAAGTGATGAAAGAAGAAGAAACACACTGACCTTCCAAATAGAAAATCCGCTGTCTTTATTATCTATCCACTATTCTAGATAACTATCCAAACTAGTTGGATCACACATGACTTTTTAATACACAGACCTTCAAACAAAGGGCAGAAGTGCCTCCAGCAGGTAATGCATCCTTGAGATGTGAACTGTCCCATGGCCGTCTCCAGGAGAAACATTGGTATGCCACAAGAGAGCAGAAACAAGACGTAAGGAACCAGAAATGCACCTGAGAGAAACACGAGAAACATATCAAAACACTGCTTTTTTTTGGCAAATCCGATAATGACCCACATCTAACATCATTAGTCCTGTTTTCAGAGAGATTATACAAGAAGATGTTGAAGATGTTCCTCAGGGCTTTTTATTGTTTTGGTCTTTTCCCATGGAACATCTGGATTTCGTAAAAACCCATATGGTTCCTCTTAAAGAATGTATCCTGTGAATTGTAAAGAAGCGGTTAAAGAGAAAACACCAATACATCAATCTGTATCTTCGGCAAGTTTAGCCAGATATTTAATAACTTTCTGATATTTAATAACTTTCTGATAACTTTCGGATGGATGATTTCCAAAACTTCTTTGTACCCTGAGCTGAGATTTGATCAAACCCAGACAAAAGCTTCCTTTAACAACAAACAGCAGCCCAGAGGAACGCCTAAGCAACTTACTTATTGCTTAAATCTAATTATGCATCACAGTACTTTTCCCTCATTGTTGACTTTACATTTTTATTAACTGCAGCTGCTTGACTGCGTGCAGAAGAACAAAAGCATTGTATTTCTTTTTTACTTGCATGGGATTCCTGCTTACCTCCCCCATTTTTGTAGCACAAATAGGGAAACCTCCAGAGGTTTCCTAGCCCAACCAGGGTTCCTGCTACAGCCAACAGAAATTCCAACTTGTTCCCCCATTGGCCTCGATCTAGCAGTTGTGTCTTCTTCACCAGACTGCCATCCTGACCAAGCATCTCACGGCTGTTTCCTTTTAGAAATTTTCTAGACATGTGCAAAAATAGCAGGAGATTAAATGAGACTCTTCCACGTTTGTGGTAAAAGCACTGCCAAACCTCTGACGCTGTGGGCTGTATGGAGAGACACAACTACTCAGCTGATTGTTTGGCACTGCTCATAAGCTTTGTTTTTTTATGAACTTGGGCTTGTTGGATTACCAGCAATGGAAAGTTTTCCCCAGAAAGCTGCACTTGTTGAAACACGTTTTAGAGTTAAAGTGACGCATTTAGCAGCCAAGTGTAAAACAAGAGTGAACTTACCCCTCCATCGCAAAAGCACCCTCCCCCAAGAGTTTCTTGCAGCTACAGCAAACTGATCAGTATTCCTCTCAGCTGGGTGCACCACAGGATCTCTACACAAACAACGTCATGAGCACAGCCAAAGCGAGAAACAAGGAAAGCAGGTTTCCTTTGGCTCCTCTGTGACCTAATTATCTGTCGCACTGGTCTGAACACCATGTCGTCTCACTTAATGTGGTTTTTCTCTGACAGAGTTCCAGTTCTACCACTTCCCTGCTGTACTTTTCCACTGAGACAGAGCTGCGTGAGTCATTGAGATTAACACAGTCGCTTACAACTAAACCAAATCAGCTGAGCCATCTCTATTACAGCGTGCCCGTTCAGGCTGAAGTTATCTGGAAACAGGGGATTTGTTCATGGGGGCAAACATCATTTAAATACTAACTAACACTATGAAAAGTGTGGCTTTACATCCGTTTTTTACCCCCATTTATAATGTTGATACTACTTTTATATCTGCTAGATCTCTGCCTTAAATAGACATGTTTTATCTAGTGTCAATTTACTACATTAATCCTTCTGTTTATTCACTAACTTCCTTCTTAAGTGTTTACAGTCGTCATTGTACTACGTCAATAAAGTTTATCTTATCTCACGTCAGTGTTATGAATGTCTCAATGAGCCTGGAATGTGCTGTTTATATAGTTACACACTTTTTCAGAGGCTGGCTGCGGTGGGTCGTTCCTATGATGCATTTAAACTACATTAAATATATACTGTTTATCGTTTAAAACTATCATGTAACTCATTCAATACTTACTTACATTCAATACTGGATCTTTGTGAATAGGTGAAACAAACAGCTTCTATATTAGACCGAAACCCAGCTCAAGCCTAATTAGTAAAGCTCTCTCTTCGGTGAAAGAAGCAGCCCATTGTTTCTTGTTTCTTTGATAAATAAGGGTTGAGCATTTTCCAGTACTCGTCGTGGTTGTTGAGGCTTGATTCACTCTGAGGTCTCATCAAGGCTGAGTCATAACTTTCAGTGGGGAAACGGGTACGTTTCCCACCCGTCTTTCCAAAATCCATTCTCCAAACAGACTTTCTAATTGCTATTTTTTTTCTATTCCCACTTGTGGCAGTGGGTCTGGTTGATGCTCAGCCGCAGGCGGACTACAACGGACCATCAGGTCTGCAGAGAGGATCATCCATCGTGCCCTCCATCCAGCAATAGTACAACCCCCAGAGTCAGGAAACGAGCAGGAGAGATCCCCGCAGACCTTCCCACCGTGGACGACCCCTCACCTCTGGTAGGCGCCACAGAGCACCTCACTGCACCTCAGCTGTTGCCTTTGTTGTACAGTTTATATTCATATATTTTATTATTTTATAAATGCCTGTACTTGCTTACTTGAAAAACAACATTGTGTTGTCTTCATAAATGTTTTAATAATCACGGGGACTTTAACCACAAATCACAACGAGCATCATTTACAAAATGGGTGGATAAAGGCAATCAGTGAAGTTACGCTCGACTTGATTGCAGCTATTTAATCTGCTTATCTGCAGTTAACAAAACTTGTTTGTATCTTAAATCTCTTTTTTCCTTTGCTTTGTGCAGCCCAGCCCCAATTTCATGCAACCATGTGACCCCCTGCCACTGCTTATTACACAGCGGAGAGGCTTGAATGTGTCTTTGTAGTGACAAAACCCCCGAGGAAAATAGAAATTCCAGACGATCATGTTTCATGTAGCCCATTTACATTCAGTGGTTAGAAAGGTATCTGACACTCAAATGTCAAAATGAAGTGTTCTCATGGAGTCTTGTGACACCAAGTGTAGGTGGAGACAAGTCTATTTGCCTGTGATTGATTATAATAAAATGAATCATTGAGCGTGCTAAGACTTGACAATATTGACGGCAAGTAGAGTAGAAACAATAAAAGCTCTGCTTTATTTGTGAGGCTCCTCTTTTTATTTTACAATAATTCAATAACCATAAAACAAGACAGACATACAAACACGAGACAAGACAGCTACTATTTATGGCATATATGTTACAGTTTGCTGTAAATCGCTAGAGCTAACATGGACCATGCTCTCTGTATATCAAATTATTAAAATTATTTACACAAGGCAGAAACTAATTACATGCTGAAAATAATGTTTAAAAGGGAAAAAATAAAGCTTTGATAAAAAGTAATAAATACTGCGCGGATTGTGGAGTTGGAAAGCTGTACATATTCTTAACAAAAGGTTTTTTTTTTACTGAATGGTGTTCACGTGATTTATCCCCTAATAGCACAGACATCCATCTCACCGCTGTCAGACCGGAGGATGAGAAGGATTATCCACACAATGGTTTGAGTATTGTATTGCGCACGTTTTAAACATTTCATGTCGGCCTTAAGTGTTTCTTCTGAAAGTTATAAGTAGCCCAGAGCAAACAAAGCCTTTCACAACACTAACCAGGTTTTATCAGCCCACAAAGGTTCACACAAGTTCTGTTGACTTTTTCTGTTCATTTTATAAGTTTGGCAGGTTCCTGGTTGTTGAGCAGACTGTTTACTCAGGAAACCATGAAAAAATATCTTATAAATGTAATTTGTACATGTAGTACTTGATCTGGGAGGAAAAATGCCTCGTATTACTCCAAAACCTTTATTGTTTGAAGGTTCGAGGTACAGAAAGAAAATAGACACTGTTCAGTGGCAGTAATATATTTTCATAGCTTCATTTTAATATTAGAATTACATTTACTTTTACATTTTGGACAAATCCACATTATAATTCAGGGTGAAATTTACCAAATGTCAGGCAAATCTTTACGGGCACAGGGTGGGATGAAAGGAGGTCAGATAACATACATCTGTTGTCTGAAATGATTCAAGAATGAAAATGACCCAATTATTTATTTTTGACAGTTCAACAAATGAAGCACATCACCTTTTGTATTCACTTCTAATGAATCAAGATGATTAGACCATCACAGCACACTCATTTATAAGCCATGGATAGAAACACAGAAACATACAACAAATATATGAAGAAACTGAGACACAAACATAAAGAAATGTACCTTTCTTTCAGCAAAAATATTTAGCATGGTAAAACCTTCAGCTGTGCATTCGTATCACTGTCTACGACAGCAGCGGGTCCCTCGAGTCAGAGAGTACCTGCTGTCCCTCACAGGTCCTGGATTTTTTTCATGCTCAAGTACATTTGGCACTCAGTCGATTTGTAAATTGATATAATGGTCACAATGTTTAGCCAATGCAACCTGTATGCAAATACACAAAAATGTACATCACCCTCTGGCGGTGATCCCACCCTTGCGCCAGACAAAAAACCACCAGATAAAAATAATAATATTACAGAGATATTACAGTTTACTGATACTTTCAGTATTTTGACGGAGATCGGTCTCATAGCATGGACAGGAAGTAGAAGTTTTACAACATGTGTGATGTTCTGTCATTTTGAAGATGATACAGAATCACGTAAGAGATGCTGATGCCGACAAAAATCACCGATGAAGATGTGTAGCATCAAGGTGCACACCGTGTTGCTGGCCTTTTTTTCTTTCAGCTCTTATCATATGCATTCAATCTGACGTTTCACATTTTCAGTGGTTAGAAATTTAAAAAGTGACGAGGAATCACCGAGTGCACCGAGGACACAGGACTTTTTATGCTACCAAACGTACAATGATTTAACACCATGTCAGTCACACTGAGTTTGGCTATTTTCACTGCATCTCTTGAACCATTAAACAGATAATCGAAACCATGAAGCATGTGACCTACAGAAATTACGACTTTTTAAAAATAACAACGCTTAAGGAAACGCTTCAGATACTTTCATGCCAAAGAGTTCAATGAGATGAGGTTGATACCACTTAATATCAATTGGAGCTTCATTTTGCTGTTGTCCCCATTTACAGAAAAAAATAAAATCACAATTTATCGTTTTTACATTTTGTTTAAGATCTTAAAGGAGACCTAGTAGCTGGTGGACATATTTTGAGTCAGACTAGTCGTTTGCCCCTGATGCATTTTTCTAAAAGTTCAAAACCTTCATAATAAAAATAAAGTATGGTTTAAAACATTTAAGAGTTGGCCCTTTTTTTCAACTACAACTTTGACTAAAGCCCCTTTCAGTTTTGTCACACTTCAAACTTTCTACGGGCGAAAGTACTTATACTTGTTTATTTTTTCACAACAGGCCTCCCTCTCTGACAGCAAAGGAAATATTACTCAACCTTGAAAATGAAAGGCACGGTGAGAATTTTGTTCTTCTTTTTTAACGGACTAAATGGCGTTCATGTTTTTACATGAATCACAGAGCAAGCCCTTTTGTTAAAACAACCCATTCAAAAAATTCAGTTTTGGGATCTCAACGATACCAGGTGTTACCCTCAACGCTTGTTCCTTTGCCCTGCAGAACAAATCCCACCTGTGAGCCGTGCGTGTTCCACAGACACCTGTGTGAAATACGCTTTGAGCGTAAACACAGGTGATGAAAACTAAACGTTCGAGATAGCATCGACCCGAAACCAATCGTAAACCAATGAGTTATGGGGTTGGAGCTGCACTTCATTCGAACCATAAGATCACATGAGCGCTTTTTGGAAAAGCAATCATTAAACATCTATTGATTTTGATTCTTAAATCAGTGAATCAGTACGTGTTAACGATGCCATAATCGCGGCTAACTGGTTTGGGTGGTGGTGAGGTTACTGCGTTATAACAAAGATAGTTAGCACGTTTCAACATGGATCGGACTTTTTTAAATGATCATAAAACCACATGTAACCATATTATGAGAAATTAGAAGAAACCCTTTCTGATTCCTGGATGAAACATCGCCACTTTTTAAAAAAGATTAATACAAGAAAATGTAATTCAAGTACTGGCAATGGCCGCCTACTGAATGTTACTGTTAATGTAAGTTCAAGAAAACAGTGTTTGACCATCAAGAAAACAGGCTTTTTTTTTTTTACTGTCATAGCTGATATTGTACTATGAAGATCGAAAAGTAAACATCGTACCTGAAATAAAAAAATAAGACTGCTGATTTACAGAAGAACAGGCGATTAAATACAGTAAGCCCACAACTCTATAGACTAATATTTCAATTTCACACTTCATACATTGGTCTGAATTAGATTGACAAAAAATAATTTACCTATTATTGCAAAAATGTAAACATCATTTCAATGTATCATGACAATATCTTTGCAAATACAGTCAGAAATCTCCTCTAAAAGTTGGCCTGTTATCTTTTTTAAGCGCCATATTAAAGTATGACAATCAAGCAAAAACACAAACCATCAGCTTTTGATTGAAGGTTATTTAAAGCTTCTGTGTTGGGAATGTTCACCAGAAACGAAAACTCTCACATTATTTTTTACCATTTTAGCAGTAGCACTAAAATATTTAACTGATGAATTAAAAGTAACAATATATTTCGCTTTTCTGTTTCAAATATTTTTAGATGGAATACTTCCAAGATCTTGGATTATTGGCGAGACAAAACAAGCAATTTGAAGACATAACGTTTAAAGTTCACCAATTAACCTGGCAAACGACAGCTAGACTCAGTAATACATTTTCATAACATGTCCCACAGAAGACCAAAAAAACCTAATCAGAATTTGAGAATTTTTAATTGCCTCCCTTATTGATCGAAAGCTAAATACCACTGCCATCTAGAACTCTCAAACATTTGACCACCCTACTTCAGATGAAAACATCACCTCGACGTGAGCACTCAACGATGAAAAGATGAAAGCATTGGTGGGCCTGTGCTTCCGTTCCCTCTCCTATCAAACAGCTAGTTTGGCGAGAAATCAATCAGTGAAATGAAGTATTGGCCAAATGACACATCCCTTGAAATGGCACATTAAATATTTCTACTGCTCAGAAATAATCTATGGAAAAAAAACAACAATGCTACTTCTATTAGCAGTTAAACATATGGTGAAGGATCTGACATCGCATAGGTTCAAATATGTAATGTTTTCATCTTGACAAGTACCTGTAGCTTACACTGTTAGTATGTACATGTAGCAGCATAAAACCACCCTGGCTGTGATTATCAGACCACAAGGTTATCGTTCGTATATATATCTCGCTCCCAAACGCCCGTCAATATGGATGAGGTGGAATGTGCTATTAATCTATCCTTAAAAAGTTGGACTTTTCTAAAAACGTGGTGTCCTAAACGTTATCACCTCATGCCGATGATCCGTCATATTGGTTTCTATAAAACCTAATGGCACGTTTGATTTGATTCATCACACAGTTTGGAAATAGGTTTTGGCACTTCAAATATAAATACCGTCTTTCTTTGTTTTTTTTCAAAATATAATTAAGCACAATTATAACAGTAATACACCAGCGATAATTTGAGGTGAAACTTTGGTCTCCACATTACCAACTGGATTACAAAACGCTGGTCATCAAAAGGAAAACAAAATAATTACAAAATAAAATAATTAATTAATAAATAAATAAATAGATAAACATCCAACTACGATTGATAAAAGCCTCAAAAAATTGCCACTGCATGACTTGATTATCTTTTAAAAACAAACCATTCACTCCTAATAACCGAAAAATGACAGATTCAGCACTTTATTATGTGAGGTTATAGATTAATGCCACTATTTGAGGTTGATGTCCTCTCCATCAAAACATGTAAATAAATCATATCTACGAGTGTCCGTGAAATATTTTGGCCCCCTGCTTTTGGTAAAAAGGACGCGGTCCAACCTGTGGCTCCAGTGGAGTGGGAGTAGAGACGGAGAGCGTTTCAGTGGCCCATGGTCAAAAGTGCAACGTGACAAGCGTAAACTGCGTGGACCTCCTGCAGGTCTGGGGTGATGTGCAGGAGGTGTGATCGGAGATGATATGCTACTTTTTCATTTGCTGCATGTGGACAGGAGAGAGCAAAGCCCGTTTAATTCCATGTGTGCTACTTTTACCATCATTCAGTTGAGTATACTTCTGCTGATATCACCATCCGCTTCTGTTCATTTCAATGCTGGAAAGGACTAAACCATTCCCTAAAATATGATAAAATACAATTCCATAGGATTGTGTGCAAAATGCTCTATAGGCATCAGTAACAAATAATGGTATCTTCAACAATATCAGGATCAAAATGCTTGTGATGATATTGGCCGGTATCTTGGATCATTGACCTTTCTTCATCTCAACATTTACTGTACTTCTTCTGTAGTGAGGGTACCATGTTTGACTCCCATGGCATTTAAGTAAAAAGCCACATTGATGTAGAGTAACTAAATTACAGGATCAATTTGTATGAGTGGAGATGGGTTTATGAATTCAAATTTGCTGATACATTATGACAATGACAGCTTCCCCAGAGGTCTCTCCTCTAAGTCATAGCAAAGCATAAAATCATATATACATATGTATATATGTAAATATCCATATATCCAGCAAACATATTTGCAGTAAAACACTGCAAACACACATGTCTAATAAATAACACAGAATAAAATGGCAAATTCTCCTCAGAGATTTCTCATTTCCTTTTTATACACACAGAAGTTTCTAATTAGGTACCTGTACTGTATTAGTCAGCCCGACAGTTGATTGGATGGATGACAGTGAAGGGTCCAGTGTGCTAGGATGAGGATAAGCCTTCGTCCGTCTTCATCGATCCTCCTCACTTTGAACACCGTTTACAGAGGCAGGTCTGTGCTGTTGTGGCGAGTCTTTCTGGAAGTCCCATCATCTCTGGGCAGAGCTTTCTGCAGGTTGGACATGGCGGCGGTCTTCTTTAGGTCAATGACTGCGTAGCATTCACTGCGCCGGGGTGCCTGTGGGCCACATTTTTTGGGTGGTAGGCGCTGGTGCTGTGGCTGGGTCTGGGCACCCCCGCTGTTGAGGCCTTGGCAGGGAGGTTCTCCCTCTAGGTCCACCTGGATGTAATTCAGTTGCCGGGATGGAGGCATGTGGCCGTGCTCGCAGCCTCCGACCCCCGACCTCGATCGCCTGCGGAAATCAAAGCTAAATACCCCCCCGCCTCTGTCCGGCTGACAGGGCCGTGGATGCGGGGGGCAGGCGTGTCGGAGCCGCGGCGGCTGCACCTGCTCCGTGTTCACGTAGTTCTGCAGGGCATCTCTGTGGATGCCCCGACCATCCTGGTGATACCCATTGGGTGTCCCCGGTCCCTCTGAGAACTCATACTCATCAAAGTCCTCCTCCTCCTCCTCCTCGTAGTCCTCCTCATCCTGCTCGTCGTCTTCCTCTTCCTGCTCGTCGTCCCGCTGCAGAGCGCTGTACTCCCACACCGGCGGAAGGGAGGGCAGGTTCTCGTAGTTGAGCAGAGCTGTCCGCCGATGACCCCCGCCCATGCCCCTCTCGCAGGCGTAACCCTGCGGGGGTAGAGACGACGGGCCGAGGGCGTGCGGGTGCAGGAGGGAGTGCGTGTGACTGTCCCCGGTGCTGCTGCTGCTGCTTGAACCCAGAGACTGCGACACGCTGCTCGGACTCAGCCGCTGCTTGCGGCCGCTCCTCAGCCCGTTGATGTTCTCGTAGGTGAGTTCGCCGCTCTGGCAGCTGTCCGAGTGCTCGAGGCCCGGGTGCCGATGCGCGTGGTGGTGGAAATGGTGGTAGGAGTGAGAGTTGCAGAGGTGCATTGGAGGCTGCTCGTCGCCCTCCGTCTCTGAGCCTGTTGCACCGTCTGCTGGCGGAAGGTTGTGAGGATTTCGCCCGTGCCTCTCCCGCTCTCTGTCCCGCTCTCTCTCCAGCAGATGGCGCTGTGCCGGAGTGGGGCCAAGCATGAATTTGACCTCCTGCGAGGACGGCTGCAGGAACACCTGAGGATCGTTACGCTCCTCCAGGGGACAGCACCGCAGGTTGGACGGGGGATTTCCTTGACCGCCGACAGGCATGGCCCCTCGTGTTGTTTCAGGGAAAGAGCCGGGCCGCACCTCGGGCAGGGAGTGCACACAGTGACGCATAGAGAGGTCCCCCTCCATACTAACAGTGTTTACATAGGTGTGGGTCTGTTGGGGACACGAGGAATACAGTTTCATTGTGAACTAGCACAGATACAGTGAACTGTCAGTAGCATAGCAGTCAGTCTTACCTGGTCCTCCAAAGCCATGAGGGTATGTCCATGATCGTCAGCAAGAGAGGGCTGGGAGGAATCTCCTCTGATTGGGTAACCGGGGTATCCGTTGGGAAATGCCTGAACAGGGAACGCTGGAGCTGCACACACATTTTTATGACAATATGAAAACACAAGGACAGCTTTTTTTTAATCTGGTGGCTCAACAAAACATGCTAAGAGAACCCAGAGAAAATAATGCGTCAATAGTAGGGGTGTAACGATTCATTCACTGAATCGAATAATCAATTTATATTCCTGCGATCCAACTGAATCGATCTGTGCTGCGCAAATCGGCATTCTGGACGACATATATCGATTACAAATCGATTGAAATGGTACATAATCGATTGTATCGATACTTTTTTTAGCACTTTAGACACGTTAAACGTTACTCGATTCAGTCTGCCTGTCTGTGACGTCATCAGTACGCAGCGGCAGCCGCGCGAAACTCGGAACAACAACAAAACACAGCGTGGAGGAGACGACTGCGAGCAAGACATTTACAAACCAACTTATCGATCCAGCGTGTGGAAACTTTTTGGCTTTTGCAAACACGGAGGTGTTCTAAATAAGTCGGCCGCTGTTTGTAGAATATGTAGAAGCCAAATAAAAAACCACGGAAACACGACGAATCTTTCTGGCCATCTACTAAGGCGCCGTGGGATTAAACAACGCCGACAGTCAGGCACCTCAGGCAGCGTTACCGCTGCAGCAGCAGAAGGTAACTCCAGCTCTGCAGACACCTCAGGCCTCGCCAGCACCAAACTCAACATCACAGTAACAAGCGGACAGACATGCGACCCTACAAAAATGTTGAAAATGGCACTTGATTCAAATTAAAGGTTAATACATTTGCCATTAATTGTTTTTTGCTTGTTTATAATATCCATAATTCATTTAAACCTGATTTCCTTACAAGAAACAACAGGGATCTCAGAAACTTTGCCTGCACTGTCCAGTAAAGTTACTGAATCGTTTTCAAGTCACTGAATCGAATCGAATCGTTCTAAATTAACCCAAATCGTCCATGAATCGAATCGGCAACCATGAATCACGATTCGAATCGAATTGTTGTTAAAATGAATCGTTACACCCCTAGTCAATAGTATCTAAAGTGAGGTAAATAAATATATTTTTCATTAAATCCAGTTCTTTTGTTTTCATATTTGAAAACGTAATGTCATGAATTGTTGTGCTGAGACTGAAAAAATGATTCATTGTGGCTACAGAAAATATATATATATTTTTTTTCCAGCCGTTGTGCCTAATTCTGACAGCATCAGTCTAATAATTGTAACCCAACCGTTCACCTGCTTTACTACATTTATGGCTAAACATGCATATCTATCTGTGGGAAATTAGTGTCGCCTTTTTTGTCTTAAGACTATTTAGATACTCTAAACATGATAGATCACATCAGTATAGCTTGTTGGCTACGGTTTTTAGACTTATTGCAATCTAAATAATTTAAACAAAATCTGTATTTTATACTGTACTGGGTACGATTTAACCTAATTCTTTATGTAAGCTTTGAACAAACGTCTATCATCTTCGCATCTAGACCTAACTAGCAATATGAAGGGTCTATGGCTGCAGTCACATCTTTACTTTGAAAAAAAATGTCCCAAAAGTACTGCTCTATTGCTGAATGCAAGTTCTACAATAAATATGCACTGTATAATTAGCTTCACTCGTGTGTGTGTGTGTGCGTGTGACTCACTGTTGGGAGTCTGTGGTGTGCGCGACATTTCCATCTCTGGGGTGTGCCCACTGCGACTCATCATCATGGATTCTTCCACCACGTTGATGCTGTTACATTGCATCAGCTCCTGAAGCAGATTGAAGATCTCTTCTGCCCGGGAACACTTGAATGCAAAGATTCCTAATCAAACCGACAAATTAGCAACATTGTTAGTTACAATTAGCCAGCGGCTATGAAGAGACATATTACACCTTGGCAAGAGGAAAGAGGTTATATCATAGTTCAAAAAAATTGTTGCGTAAATGCTGAAAACACTCGATACCATTTAATAGTCTACGGCAGCGATTCCTAAAGTGTGGGCCGCGGCCCACTGGTGGGCCACGAAGGTACTGCAGGTGGGCCGCGAGAGGTCATTTACAATAAATAAATAAAATGTTTTTAATTTTCAATTTTGAAAAGTTTGAAATGAATATAAACATATTTATGATTTAAATTACATGTTATTCTTTTATCTGACCTATTTTTGATCCGTATCCATTGCATCTAAGACCTGGTCGTAACATTAGGGTTGCAAATTTCTGTATTTTACTTAAAACGATTGATAATTGATAAGATACAAAACGCACATCTTTTTCTCAGTTTAAGTATTATTTGAACAATACTAGCGGCACATTAGTTAAGTGAAACATTAATTGATAAAGCACAAACAATTTAAACTAACAGATTAATAAAACAATAAGGCTCTCGCTCGAAACGGCTGCTCTTGTCCGCCGTCGTTATTCAACAAAAGATTTCCGCGGCAGGGCCGCGGCATTCTTGAGTTTGGGAACCGCTGGTCTATGGAATTTCTCACTTTGTTAACAAAATAATATTTTGTCCTTCCAGCTCAAAAAAAGGTTTAACATCTTATTGATTGTCACCTAAATTCCCCAATGCAGGAATACTTAAAGCCAAGAGCACAATAATCAGAAATAAATGATCAATACAGGGTTTACAGTGTAGGTACAGTCATGTACAGGACATCAACACATAACTTCACTCTTAAAGTCCTGTAGATAAACACCACATTGATGAACTCAATAAGAGTGTGTCAGGGGAGGATGTGTGAGAAAGTCATCAGTCAGTCAGTTAAAGATAAAAATCTGACGTTCAGCCGCTTCATGCAGATGTGCACAGATGAGAAAAGAAGCAGGGTTTTAACTTTTGTCGTAAAGGTCTCCTCCTAAATTTACGCACAAGTTTTACTTTCAAACTAAGCAAACCGGCGAGTGCAACATTATGAATAATAATAATAATACATTTAATTTGTAATGCACTTTTTATCCCATGATTTTTTTCTCCTCTATTGGACTTTTGTCAAATAGTAAATTAAACTACAAACTAGAAAAACCATCATCATCGGGTCAAGGGCTGGGCAATATATTCTGGAATATGGGAATAATGGGATTGTGGGACTAGATATGATGCTAGATTCTATATATTTTAATGTGCTAATCGTTGCTTTTCCTAGTTTTAAAGGCTGCATTACAGCAAATATATGTTGTCATCTCATGTACTTAAGTGTTATCTATTTATTACACATTCATCTACTGAAGCAGAGAAGCGCTCGCTTACCCTGCCCCGTCTGACAGCGGCGACCGCTCTCAAAAGAGAACAGGTTGGAGTCGTAGCCGTAGCGGCGCAGGCAGAGATACGGCCATCGGATGGCGTCCCTCTTACGCGTGTGAAGAATGAGCTCGGTCTGGGTGAGCTCCATGATGCCGGAGCCCAGCTCGTTGCCCTCATCGTCCACATTTGTGACCTGGGACACAGATGGAAGTATATATATGTGCAGCCTACTACAATACACGTTAGCTGCGATACACAGGTGAGTACCAGCCGAAAGATCCAAAAGAATTTAAGGTCACGTTTCGGATTATTTACCTTAAATTTGGTGAGGTGGTTGTCTCTAATGGGGTCTCTGTACAGACAGCTCCAACAGCTCCCCATAGCTTCAGCAGGCCAGCTGAAACCTGTCAGCGAAGCAGACATCATCACCCACTGCCGGTAACAACATCAGCGATTGTGCGCACGTTATCCAACTCAGACAGCACAACCATCAACTTCAAGGTACAGGCACACAACAACAAGAACCTGTCCTACTCAGTCCAGGCCATCAGCGTAAAGGGATTCACGGATCAATCCCAGGATCTTCGACTGGGCATCGTCGTCACAAGCCAGTTAGTTTGTTGTACCGACGTCCTGAAGAGAAGCCTCATGTCCTCCCTCCTGAAACCATCGACGACATTCAGGTTTAGATCGCAGGTGTACATGCAACTCCCCTACAAGCAAACATCAAAATACGACTTTTGTAGAAGAAGTATACGTGCACTCAGGGTATGCCGGTGGCCTGAACCGCTCGCTTTCTTCCTTCATTTCCTGTCACCCCGCTATTATTCAATGACAATATCAGATGTCCAAAAAGGCCTCACACATAAAATAATTCAACAATATCACTTTTTAGAGACAAAGTTACAGCACTAAATCAGTACTAGAACCATCTGCCGTGGCCCAAATTCAGTTTCCTTGTAAACTGTATTCTGAAATGAATAATTTCATTTTTACAATCCCAGTCAGCTGCTTATTCATATCAACACGTCCCACAACGTGTTGATATGAATAAAATATGTGGTATGTGGATTTTAAACAGAGCACTTATTTGCACTAATAACACGATGTATTTCAGGTTTGGGGGAGAAAAAGCTGACCGGTGCATCTCTAGTTAAAGACAATTGAGATTATTGTCACACATCTCCTACGTACAGTTCCAAACAAAAACAGATATAAGTTTTACAAATGATTAAAAGAATAATATTCCTTTTTTTCTTACAGGACGGAGCAAAGCTATCACTGGAAATTACACATTATGCATGTGGGTCTTCAAACCATGAATGAAAAAACAACAACAACAACAACACTGGGTTATCTAGCAGTACACATCTGTGCTTCTTAAGCATAACTGTGCTTCTTCCAGCATAACACACACACACACACACACACACACACACACACACACACACACACACACACACACACACACACACAGACCAACATCTCTCCCTCGTTCTTTTTTCCCTGTGCTCACATCTGCTCGTGTGATTGCTCAGCCTCACTCACACGCCGCCGCATTGAGTGTGTACTCTAAACCCGGGCCTCCACATCTGGCTGGAGATGCCAGGCTGGACTCCACAAACACCCCCGATTCTCCTCCGCTACCTCGGGTCGATCGTTCAGCGAGAGGCAAAGAGAGGCACCGGGTTACTCCGCATCCAGCAGGCGTACATCTCACTGGTCGAAGGGGCTTTCCCCTCCATCTGGGCTTTTTCACATCGGGGGGGCGTTTCGGGGAGGAGGGGGGGGGGGGGTCGCCGCCGTTTTTTTAATTTTTTTGCTCAATTAGCCAACGCAGAAACGCCCCCGCCCCCCCTCCTCCAAAAAAAAAAAAACCCGGAGCCGAGGCTCCGTGTGCCGCGGAGGCTTCCAGCTCTCAGCCCCCGGTGAAAACCCACCAGGCGGCTGTACGCGCACGACGACACGGCTCAATGACAGCCCGTTCTCCCGGGAGAGAGGAGAGACCACTGCGTGAAACACAACCGGGACGACGCGCTGCTACTCACATGTCTGCCACGGGTTTTTCCCCCCCGTTTACCCTCCTTTATATATATATATTAGCTCCAATGCGAAATGAGCATTGAGACTTAGTTGTCAGCTGGTGGTGGTGGTGCTGCTGCTGCTGCTGCTGCTGCTGCTGGTGGTGCTGGTGCTGGTGGTGCTGGTGGCGGCATGTGGATGTCGCGCGGAAGAGACGCGGATAAAAATGCAGTCAGAGCTGTAGGAATGGAAAAAAAAAAATGTTGTTATTTTTTTTCCTCCTTATACGCCCCCCTACTGCAGCACGGGCCTCTCTGCCTGTGTGACATTTCCCGAGCAGCTGGGGTGAGAGTTCACCGCCAGACAACGAGGCCGAGAGGACCGACAAGAAGGTAAGACACGCTGGAGGACCACGCAGGGAAAGGTGTGTCTGGCCGGAGGGCGGAAGGGAGGAAAGGGGGCGGGGGGACGAGGAATAACAAGTCGGCCGGGAAGAAGGAGCGTCTCAACCTTTCATGAGCGCGTTCATTACTTTGTGTTGTTTTATTTGATTATTAAGCGTTTTGTTTAAAGTCATCCTCCAGCTTATTATCAGCACACTTCTCGTTGACTTTCACCAGGATTTGATCACTGAAGGGAATAGTTTGATGGTGCTTATTCAGTCTTCAGTTAGATGAGACGATTGTCGTATAACATGGAGCATCAGCCAGCAGGTGTTTGGAGTGAGTTAGTATAACAGCTGTTAACATTTTCTTAGGTTTAGCCCTAGTGGTACTTTAGATGAGTATTTCCATTGTCTGTTATACTTCCGCTCAACCATTCGTTTTGTGCCTTTAGTTACTTGTTACTTTTTAGATTCAGACTAATGAAACACAATTACTATCAACAAATCGTTGTGGCATATTCAATTTGATGAAGATAAGACTTAATTGAAATAAAAAAAGGTCTACTTTGCATTATGTACATGAATATCAAGCTGAAACATTAAAGAGATGCACATATATGCATCAAATTCCTGTCAATACAATAAAAGACATTATTACGAGAAAAAGCCATTCCACATTGTGAGTGTACCTTTGGTAGTCTAATAGAAACATATTTCAATGCTATTTTGTAAATTCCCCTTCTTATATATTTCTAGTATTACTACTTTTAGGTAAAATGTCCATCAATGTCCAAAGGTAACTAAATTCACCTTGGAATACTTCTGAAGCCCCCCAACTAACACATTATACCTCGCCAAAATGTCAAAACAACAATTTAACGTGTTTAAATATGGTTGTGTGTTGGACAAGTTCCTGGGAAACCAGAGGGGAACGTAGCTTGAAGTTTTCATCTATGTCTACATTAACTTCCTCTTTTAATCATTCGCTACTTTACTACAAGGACAATTTTGACAACAACTATTTCCATTGAAAACTACCGTATAAGTCCACTTCTACTTCCCTGCAGTCCAGAGGAAATTCTTAACTTTTTTTAGGCCACCCACTACATTATACTTTAGTAGCTAGTTAGCCAAAATATGCCAAACATACAAGGAATTTGTCTTGGCGGTTGGTGTGCAACAGTAGACAATGTGATAATAGACAGCAGTGCACAAGTAATAAAATGAAGTAAAATGAAATGCTAATGCAATGGGTTAGTAGAATAAGGCTATGGGTTAGTATAAAACAAGGGAATAAAGTAAAAAAATGTAAATATTAAAAAAGTTTTTAAAAAATTAAGCATAAAGTGCACAAAGTGTATTCCACATTAACTAACGACAAAAACATAGTGCTTTTCTATTTGTTGGTAATAAAACAGAATAATATGCTATATCAATAACATAATAAGTCAAAATAGCCAATCTGCAGTCAGCATTTGTACATTTTGCAGGTAGTATGTCTACTAATTTATTTTTTCGGATGTTGACATGTCCTCAAAGGATTTCAGTATTGACCGCTTGTTAAATTATTCAATGGTGTAAGATTTTTTCCAAGACTCCATATGTATATAATATTGATATAAGATGTCATTTTAGCGTGTTTTGTCAAGTTTTACCATGCGGAACAGTATAAGTTAGCTTTGCCTACGACCTGAACCACGGAACACAAGCTAAATATAAGAGGTACGACAGGCAACTATCTTGACGTTCCTTTTCATCTTTGCTGCTGCCTCTTACAGTCACGCGTCCAGTTGTGCGTGTTTTGGAGTAAGCAACAAAGACGTATGTAAAAACACGCCGCCCAGGAAATAAGGCAGTTCTTTTCCGGACGTTTAGTAATGGACCACGGTAAAGCAGAGTTATAAAACGTAGGTATTTGGCTAACTGCCAAAAAGCCTCCAACCGCCAGTTGTCCCTTAAGTTGGTCCTCGCGACCAATCAGTTTCGCACCCGAGCCATGACGTCACGACGCTTGTCTGCGTTGGTGCGCGTGTGCGTCTGTTGGGGAGTGTTGGACGCTGACCGTCGCGATAAGGCGGCCCTGCCCGCTCAGCAGACTAATATCTATCAGGAAACCATTGTCACTTGCACAACCTCATAACGTTACACGCCATCGCTGTGCGGGGGAGCTGACAACGGACTCAGGGGTACGTGACGTTTACACGTGTTGACTCATGAAGCGACACTTAGCGTGACTGTCATCGTAACAGTACATTTGAGCTGTTCCTGTAACTTTCATCTACCGGAACATTGACTTCACTGTTATCTTAGTTGGTGTCGTTCAGCGCTGTCTCCAAGCGAAGAAAATACGCATTCACGTAAGTTAAACTAACTACTGTGTTTTGCTGTGGTTATAAAACGAATAAGGTCATTTCTCAGTATATAGACCGACAAGCATGTGACTTTTTGAAGTTAAGGCAAAACAATCGTATCTTGGTATCTATTGTCTCAAGTTCATAGGTTCATGTCTTTATTATTTTATACCTTTGGTAGTGATCCTTTTCACACTATGTGTCTGTTATGTTTAAATGCTGATTTTTCGAAATTATTATTCAGTTGTATACATTTTACATATTCCATTTCAGCTATTTCTTTCTCCCGTTTAAACATGTGTGCATTAATTTCCTCAATGTCCTTTTTAAAAAAATAAATATTGGCAACATTTCCAACCCCATTACTAGTATTGAGTTCTGATACCCGGCCCACCGCTTTAATGTGTCGTGCTGTAATCGCAGAATATGTGGCTGCCCATGCTGGGGATGACGGCCCTTCCACACCTGGGAGGGCTCTACGGCGGTTACATCACACGCAAAGAGGTGAAGACCTGGTACACGACCCTGCAGAAACCATCGTGGCGTCCACCAAACGCAGCATTCCCTGTAGTGTGGACCTGTCTGTATACGGGAATGGGGTAAGCGTCACGGTGACTGGCTCATGCAGACACTCCGGTCGACAACTGCTGTATTGTTTTATTCAGTGATGCCACCTATTTATCTAAATTATATTGTATATGTATTTATTTTGTTATGCAGATATGGTTCCTACCTTGTGTGGAAAGAGCTGGGAGGTTTTACTGAGGACGCACTGGTTCCACTGGGACTTTATGGGATGCAGCTAGCTCTGAACTGGGCCTGGACTCCGATTTTCTTTCGCGCGCACAAGCTGAAATTGGTAAGTTCCACACATAAACTGTATTATTTCTTACCACATAACAATATGAGGGAGACCGTCTTAATATCCCACATCCATATGTCCATCTAAAGCCCTTTCGTTGTCCAATTCAGGCACTCATGGAAATTGTGCTCCTGACTGGGACTGTTGGAGCCACCATGGTGTCCTGGTATCCCATCAGCCGCACCGCCTCCCTGCTGATGGCACCTTACCTGGCCTGGCTGTGCCTCGCTACTTCTCTCAACTACTGCATATGGAGAGACAACAGGGAGGAGAAAAAGGAGTAGGAACCAGAGAGCAATTCCATTGTATGTCTAGCGAACATGTTTGTTTATAATAATCTGCAGCATATTAAAGAATGGAAAAACCTGCATCTGATCTGCCATTGTTTTGTAACTGAAATTGGAAGTGCTTTCATACATGTATTTGTTTTAATATGTATATCCAATTTATCACCATTGAATCCATTCTTTGTCAGAGCAGGTAACTAGCTCAATAGAAAAAGATAAGTCAACAGACATGAACTATGCCAGTTGTTTTTGCTTTTAGTGAACTCTGCAATGTGTGAAATCATCTTTATGAATTACATTCAATTCGTCAAAAAAAGCTAAAAACTAAAATATTTTCCTTGACTCACAACTAAGTTTCACCAAACCTCAGTAAAATGCGTCACACATTCTTACAGAATAAACAGAACGAATGAGCACAGAAACAAACCCTTCTTGGTGTAGATAGATTTCATCTTAAAATTAAAATCTATAAAGTCTTTTAGTCTCATTTAAATTTGGGTTGGGAATTCTTTTCAAATCACCATTCTTTATATTTTATTGTGCTTTGATCCCTTAAGACATGCAGCGGTAAAATAGTTTTAAAACACCAACGCAATATGTCATAACAATAAATTAACAGTCCGTAGAGTCAACAACTATAAACTTTATTTCCATGTGTGTAAAGAGAAATGAGAGAAATGAAAAGAGCGAGAGAGAAAGTTATTTTTCAGGAGCTTTTTCTGGAACATCTTCTGGTGATTTGGAGAACCTCTCCATTAACGTCTTCCACAAACCCTTTTTGTCCTCGTCCATCTGCTGCACATTTCCTGCACAATGAAACCAAGTTAACTGTAGTAGAAGTGAATATAATAAGTAATCACAAACATAATTGAGATAATGCGGGTTCATACCTGTTAGAAGCAATTTACACTCTTCCGCTGTGACTCCAGTAAAGCTTGTGTCTCTTACACGGGGGAACTGTTAGCAGGTAGAGAGACATGTTTGCATTAAATACAGTCAGTAATACATTTACACTCCTAACCGTTGAGTGAATACCTTGTTTTGAGGATTACTTGCTACGGATTCTCTTTCTGATGGTTAACAGTAAACTTAGGTGTTTTAACAACAAAGTATTTAGACTTTTTACAAACCGTAAAAGTATTTCATTGTTGTCATCGTGAATGCTAAACATTGTCACAGGGTTTGATTTACAATGTTGAACATGACAGAAGTTAAAATGTATCTTGCATTTAAGAATGATTTTTTTTTTTAAAAGTAAAATGGGCGACACCACATAATGTGATTATTTTTTTTAAACAAGAGAATTCATTAAATTAGCTCCAATGTTTAGATGTAGCAGATACAGAAGCACATGAGATAAGTAAACAATATTCTGTACTTACTCGTTGTCTGTAGAAATTACCATTAATACGAGCCAAACTTTCATACATGAGGTCACACTTCTCTGGATCGGAGATCTAATGGGAAACATATTATAACAATATGAAAGCGAGAATAGGCAGACTAATGAAAATATTGAGCACGGTGGTACCACCATCGTACCATTCGCTAAAAGAACAACATTACCTAAGTGCAAGAAGATTAAATGTGTTTGTTTTGTTAACTGTTTTATAATGTGAATGTATTGACGTTGAAGATACTTATTCTGGTTTGATGACAAAACATAAGCAGTATTGTTGTTGCTAATGATGAAAGAGTGAATGTGAGAAAATATAAATATAAACTAAATATACAAAACACTAAAAAAATGTACGTCTGGCTTAAACATCAGACAGCTGTATGATTTTGTTTAGTTTACTATAAAACTATACAGGGGTAGAACTTAGAACTCCAAAAAAACCTGTATGCTACTTTTACACAAACAATAGCAAAACACTGTCAACGTTATGAAAGCCTTTCTAAATTATTTGAAAAGGTAAAAACTGTCGACACTGTTGATCACAAAGAGGCTTCACAAGTAATTTATCAGTCAACACACAGGCAAGGTCGACGCAGTTAGCGCTTAACCACTCAACGTTAGCTCGCCGTGCTAACGTTGAGTAAGTAACGTTACCTGTGTGTTTTCACCCTCGCGGAAGGCTGAGGCGACCCTCTGGCGCAGAAATGTTCCCAAATCCCGTGCTTTCTTGGCCTCGTCTCGGGGCCATTCCTCGCACAGCTTCAGGAACCGACGGTACCTGGTGGCAGACATCTTTGGACTTATAATGATGGAAATTGAGTAGAGTTGAGTGGGCGTGAAGATTGAGCTTTATCGCTCTCCGTAGCGGTGTTACACCTTAACTCCTCCTCCTGTCCATTGCCCTCGTTGTGGCTTACTTGTTCTGTCGGTTGTGTGCACGATAGCAACATGAGTGGAGCAAACGTTAAAAAGGGTCCTTCCGCCACTGTGACGGAGTGGATCGGCACAGCTTGTCGGTTTGTAACGGACAGAAACGACTTTAGAAGGTGAGTAAATGTGGATGAATGTATGTATGCGTGGTGTTTGAACGGTGTGGTTGTTCGCCGCGGGGGCTAACGTTAGCACACACACTAACGTCACAGGGATTTGTCCTTGCCTCGTCCATTTTCAGTTTTGTGAAAATGTGGCGTTAGAATAGTAAATAAGCAGGGCTCATATTAAAAATAACTCCCTTATTGCATATGTGAAGCCACCAGTGAATATATTGCATGTCGTTAATTAGCAAGTAAATGGTGTACGGAGTTGCTTAAATGTGTAAGGTCATTTCCGAAGACTATTGTAACGGTCACACGCCGGAGTTGATTGGTCACATATGCGACGTTTAAGGGATCCTTCTTTAAATGCTCACGTAGAGGCAACCCTAATACTTTTCTACGTTACATACTTTGTGAGGGGAGGGGGTCGCATCCCATTCCTCTCTTCCTTTGCAGTTACTGTCTAGGAGATGCGAATGTCTCATGTGGTTTTGTACAAATATTCACCGTCATCTGGTTTAATTATTCATTGATTTTAATTGTGCCACCAAAATCCAATACTGGTAAGGCGATTATGTGTTTAATCAAATTATCACACACATTACCAACTGTTATTGCTGTTTACTTCATGTTGCTATACACTATTTTCAGCTGACATGTATGTGTTTTGTTATTTTCCAGGAATCTAATGGTCAACCTGGGCTTGTTTGCAGCCGGTGTTTGGGTTGCACGAAATCTCTCCGATTTTGATCTGATGTCTCCTCAGCCAGTCACCTAACGGATTGAAAATGCATCGCTGCTAGACCCAGGATAATGGTGAGATCATCTCCTCCAGTAGGGTCAGAGGGCAGCGTGGTTCAGTTTACCGTTGATCAAGCAAATGCTTGTTATTGTAGCAACTGAATTATCTATAAAATAAGCGGTACATGTTTGTAATTGTATCTTTGTGTCCTCTTCAGGTGTCTTGGACCAACAAAAGAAGGGTTATGAATGAATTCTTTAAGTCGATTTACTTTCAAAAACAAAAGGTCTTGTTGAGCAGAATTCATCTCCTCTTTCTGTAGAAGATTTTTTTTTTTTTGTTATGTCATTGTTGTTGGCCTCAAAAGAAACAAATTAAATCAGTGTCTCCATTATTGTTTTGTTCCTCGTATTTATAAATAAAATCTAAATTGTATGGTAGCGATTCTTTTTTTTTTTTTTTTTTTCTACAGCTATGTCTACTCAGGAGCTCTTTGTAGCTGCAGCTCGTAAATGTTTGTCTGCTGGTAGAAAATCTCTCTCCGTCTCCCAGAGTCTGGATTTGGCCGCCCAGGTCTCAGCTGTTGATTTGGGACTGAAACCGGCTTTATTGTACGATAGCAACGGAGCCGGAGCAGATGAGGTGCAGCAGTATTTGAGCTCTTTGCAGTCTTCCCAGCTCGTGTCTAAATCACTTCTCACGTTGGATTTGAATGGAAACAGTCTTATTGTTAATACGCTTGCAGTCCGATCGAATGCGGAACGCCAGTTTCATTTTAACGACGTGGCTGTTATTGATGTCTGCCACACGCTGGAGACACCCGCCATCGCTGACGCGCTGGGAGGAGAGACAAAGAACATGACAGAAGATTTACTGCTTCTCCTCAGCGGGTTTGAACAACTGACGGCGGCTGAGAAACCTCATTATGTCGGAGAGAAGTCCGATGGGTGGAACCTCTGCACCTTGTTTGGTGTTTTGTTGGGTTTTCCTGTCACTTACTGGTTTGATCAGACAAAGAGCTTTGAAAACTGTCTGTCAATGACTCCCCTGGTAGTAACTACAGCTTCAGCAACATGGCAGTCAGACTCCGGGGGTCACCAATGTTGTCTGTACTCCTTCAGCTTCCCGGCTGTTCTGTTTAAAGCGCTGCAGTCCAATCTGAAACACTGGCGGCTTTGTTTACAAGAAAGATTTAATCAGCAAAATGTCCTAAAGGATCTTAAATTTAGTCAATCAACAGTAACTCTGCCCTCAGTCTGTTTGTGATGCTGACATTACATTTGTTTTTAAAATAAACTGTTGAATGTTTTACACTTTCACCATTAAAGAGCTATTATTTGAATGAATGCTGTGATTCTTTGACTTTATTCATAAAACAGACATTTGTGTTTGTCGTAGAATTGATAATACATATTTGCATTAGTTTCAGGTAAAACATGATGTACTGCCTGACAGGGAGTGGGTTGTATTTTAAAGTGTTATGTGAACATTTTAAATGCTAACAGTCAGTATATCAGCACAGTTATAGAAAACAAAACTAAATCCCAGGATAGCACAAATCAAATCACACCCTTTAAAACCAGTTGATTACAGTGTATTTAAAATTATGTTCACTCACATTTGTGTCAAACCGTAAAATGACCCTCCCTGTCTTACCGGCAAAAAGATGTTTAGCCTTGTGCAATAACTGTTGCACTTAGACAACCTTCTTGTAGTTTTGTTTTACAAACACTGCATAAGCGATATTTACAGTACATTGTTGCCTATAGGTCCTTTAAATAAAAGACTCATTTCTACACAATAGCCCGAGAAGACAAACCACTTGGCTTCGTCCTGCCAAGTGTCATTTTCGCAGCCATAAGCTTTTAACTCTGGGCCTTCACACAGTGGACCATACATGCTGCACGATGTACTGCACATGTTCTATAATGCCAAAACCCAAAGCACCGGGGCTCAATGCAGCACAGCGTTAGTCATTGAGCAGATGTGTGGCTGTGTGTTGGACCAGATGATCAATTTTTTTCGTCAGAGAAGTTTAAATACTCCTGGCTACTTCTATGTTGCTTAAAAAAAACTGCCCGGTCCAGACATTCATCCGGAAGTTCATTAGGTTGATTCACCAGTTTGAACCTGAGGTAATTTTGCCTCCATGTCGGTCAGAGAGGTCGCATGACTGACAGCACTTCAGCACAGCGTCCGATCACTTTCAGCTCAGCCAGGTGGTCGGCCCTCGTGGACCCAATGTTCACAATGGCGACTGGCATTTTCCGATCACCAGCTGCTAGTAAGAACCTGTATCCCGAATACACCTTGTGAATAACAGAAGGGAGAAAAGCACAGGTGAAAGGTCGGAAGATGCATGTTGTGAATTATGTAGAGTTTTTCTTGACTAAAGTGATGCATGCATTTTGTTTAACTTACCTGTAACGATGACCCCACCACCAGCACCGCATCGGACTCCCCCAGTCGGTCGTGCACAAACTGAACCGTCCCTTTGTTCACGGTGTCTCCAAAAAACGTGACCTCAGGCTTCAGTACCCCTCCACAGTTCTCGCACGAGGGAACTCTGAAATTGAGGACCAGCTCGTCCTCTATGAAGACATCCCCATCAGGCGCCACCTCACCTGTCTGTGCTCTCCAGTCCGGGTTTAGTGCGACAAATCGCGTCTGCAGCTCCGTCCTTGGCGAGATGTCCCCACAGCCGAGACACAGCACCCTGAGGACACATATATCAACACACCTTTCATGACTTAAAGGGTCAGTTCACCCGAACAGTTAATTTTTTTGATTAATGTATCAGGTGTTTTCTCACCTGTGGGCGCAGCCGTGGAGCTCAGTCAGCCTTTCGTGTCCCGTCTTTGAATGCAGAGCATCCACATTCTGTGTCACCAGCCAGTGCAGCTTGCCTCTCTGCTCCCACTTCCGCAGGGCCTCGTGCGCGGAGTTCGGCTGACGGGAGGAGAACTGCGGCCACCCGACGAAGTTCCGGGCCCAGTAGCGCTGACGGGACTTTGCGCTGCGCACAAACTCTGCGTGCTGCATGGGTCGCCTGTCCGTGCGGGCGTATAGCCCGACACCCTCCGAACGATAGTCGGGGATCCCGGACTCGGTGGAGAGTCCAGCTCCGCTGATGACGAACAGGCGACTCGCTCGAGACACAAAGTCCTGCAGCCGCTCCACGGAGCGTCTGTCCGTGGTGCTGCATGCCGGGACGAAGCTCACCGCGCCCGCGGAGCCCGAGGATGCCCTGCGTACAGCGGCTGGAGGCGGTGTGAGGAGCCGCCGTGGTAATCTCATCTATGGCAAGACAAATTGATGAACATAAATAAAACTGCATATTTGTGTTCTATGGTACAGGTGGCTGGATAGCTGCAATAATTGTAACTTAGCTAAATGTTCCACTGTTCAAGTCAAGGTCAACTCCGATGAGTTCATTATACAAATTGTACTGCACAGTTGAACTGTACACAAAAAGGGTGAGAAAGGAGAATCCTTTCACACGGAGACTAGTACTCAACAACAGGAGCACAGGGCGGACTATTTGTTCTATCTACACATTCCGTAGTCAATGTGTTGGGTGTGTCTTTATCGGGAACCGAACCAGCGTCTACGGACCCGCGTCTAAAGTGCGCGTGCGTGGTAAGGCTGGGTAGCCAAATCGTTCTGTAGTCCCAGACACCGTTTTATAACTTTAAAATTTCAAGTTATAGGGTCTGAAAGAGGCTGAAGCGGCCCGGTGGAATGATCACCAACACCCCGGTGTAAATGAAGATGTATTAAGAATTATCAAGACATAGTCTTGATAGCCGCCAACGCTTAAGCGGTCATAGCAAACTCACTGCATTGTTGTTGGTGACAACCTTCACTCTGTATAATTTAAAGAGAGTGCTAAGAAGCCGCGCGACTCACAGCCAAGAACAACTCGAATTACCACACAAGTCAGTTGGCGTTAGTTTACTTTAACCTTACCTTCTCCGTGTCTGTGGTTTAACGTGTTTAACTGTCACGTTAAAAGTGTGTGCAGCTTCAACGCGTTGGTTGAATAACGTGACAAACACCGACAGGCTAATACAAGATGGGAACTTTGGTCACAGTGGCAGAAACCGGAAATACAACGTTTTATGTAACACCAAACACAGGCCAGTGTGGGAGTTGGAGTTGATGATTTTAAGCTCCTCCAGGTTTCCAGAGCTTCCAGTTTAATTTATTTTCTTTCTCAAGAAATTAATAAATTTTATATATATATATATATATATAATGTATGACATTTTTTTATATATATATTTTATATATATATATATTTATATATATATATATATATATATATATATGTCATACATATATATATATATATATATATATATATGTCATACATATATATATATATATATATATATATATATATATATATATGTATGACATATATATATATATATTAATCTATCCTTTGAAGCTACACTAAATCCATTTCATTCTTGATGATAAATTTTGGTGCAACATTAAAATTAATTGTATTTAATATTCTTAACAATTATGGTACCAAACAACAATTTTCTATGAAGTGAGGTGCAGGAGTGATTTCTACCCGACCCAGAGAGTGAACACAGGGCAGTGCAGTCAATGCATGTTTGTGCATGTCAGTGTGCTCCCTGGTCAATGCACTCACATGACGCAAACCAAGAGGATCACCCACGTTAGTGCCCCCCCACCTCAGGTAAACAATGATTGTTAGCACCATTAGTTGGGAGCTGTAATCTCTCGGTCAAGATTTTGAGAGGCTATCAAAATCCTCCTAAACCTGTATTGTACTGCACCAATGTCTTTTGATTTAAGACATGGTGTTATATTGTACAAATACATAATGTACTATTCCTAGTGTATTTATTTCCTGTAGAGTTTGAGATTTATCCCATCAAACCGAAGATTCTGTACACATGTTTTAGAGCTCCTTCAAGACTAATGCACATTTATAAACATTTATTTGGCATCACCATACATCTTGTGTTCCCAATCTCACACTTTTGTTTATATGTATTAACAAATGCAATGCAATTGGTGGATGTAAAAAATGTGACCACATGGTTACATATTCCACACACATCTATTTTACACCCATATTTTTGCCATCACACCTCACAACAAGTTACATGGCATCTGAAAGTTGATTTTCTCCATCCGTTGACATCTGTATTAATAGGAATAAAGGCTGAAGAATGCAGTTGACGGTTTGCAGACATCGGAGAAGATCGTGGACAAAGGGTTGAACCACTGAAGTAGCAAATTCAAAAGCAACTGTCCATTAAAACATGCTGCACACGTCCTGATTACAAAACTCCAAGATATCTGTTACAAGAAAAATACAGGTAGACATTAGAATTTTCAACATCTGTGCGCAGTAGTTTGGTCAATCAAGCAGCTCTATGTGATTGCAGTCGTACCAGAGTGTGTGCAGTTGAAGGCCGTTTCTGCTTGACTGTAAAACTCCTCTCCGAGGATGGAGCGGTAGTCCATGTGGCTCGTGTGTACAAAACACTGAGTGGCATCTTTGAACAGCAGATCACTTTCTCCATATTGATGAGACTCAAAGAGCTTGAACTCGGTGTTTGGGTTGGCTGCAAAGGTTTCCTATAAGGTTCAACATGATCACACTCCACTATTCATTTCAGATTCAAATCAATCATGTCAATCTTATTATAACTAATGAAAATATCTTGTAGGGCCGCTTGTGTTTAGATAATGTGATATTCTAGGATACCCGTCTTTCTTTTTTGTTTATTTGTATATTTCTCAAAGTAAATCATCAAACTGTGACAAATAAACCTGTCCAAAATGCAACTTTAAGGATTGGTGGTTTGCATACGGTGTAAACAGACAACCTGATCGGAAACTCGTCCCTTTAATAAAAAAAACCTGTTCACATAAGCTGACCTGTGACTTCATGAGGAAGTCGTACACTCGTGCCGTGAGCACCGGTCGTGTCATGACGGTGTTTGGTGGGATCACCCCGAGGTTACAGCTTTCCCACTCCGACAGCGGAGCCCGACGACCATCGGCACAAAGCAGCTCGTAGTCCGATGCCGTCCACCCGTCTGCCCAACCAGTGGAACTCAAACCTGCAACCAGACATACCGGCACCTAATGAACACGATGACGTCGGTGTGCGTTAGGTCACGTCACAATGTAATCCAGGATCATCTCACTCAGGATGTTTGCAAGGAGGTTGTGTTGCTCGAGGAACGCCACGTCGCCATAGCTTTTACCACTGGGATCTCCAACCAGACACCTAGGAACAATGAGCCAAGGGTTAAGGGTCAGGAGTTATCGGGATAAATAAATCCCAAACTGTCACACAAAAGATATGTAACCTTTATAAAAAACTGTGGACGCTCCACACCATCAATTGGTCACCAGCAGAAAGCTTTTGTTCAGGTAAGCACCTACCTTAATGCCCCCATGTTGCCGTAGTAACGCTCATTGTGGTTGTCAGCGCAGCGTTTGGTGGCAGCCTCCCCGGTGCCTCCCAGACACACTTTACACAGATTCCCCAGAGAGCCAGGGAGGCAGCCTTTCCAAAACACGTCGTTGTACACTGAGGAAAATACGAGGTGACAAACTGCAGCTCCACTGTGTCTGTTTGTGTGTCATATGAGATTTAAAAATACCAACAGCAGAATGTGTAAAGAGGTCAAGAGGTCACAGCACCCAGAGAAGAGATAAAACAAAACTATTGATTTCTCTTTGGTCATTTTGTGATTATTTTGTGTCCTTTGTAATTGTTTTGGACCTTTTTATAGTCCTTGTGAGTCTCTTTGCAACTAATTCCATCGCCTTCCACTCATTTCTTGTTGAACTCGGATAGTTTCTTTATGATTATTTTGGTTCTCTTTCTTTAGTCTGGAGTTCCCACCTCGTCGGTACGCATCTCTTTGATTGACACGTTGCACGTAAGCCACTGAAACAGTACCTTGGTTTGGATCACAGGGGGTGCTGCTGTTGTGCTCCGGGCTTAGTGTGTGTCTGTAGGGCAGCAGCCAGCCTGCGGGGCTGTACATGTGGCCCAGACAGCAGCGGCGGCCTCCAAGGTTCCCCATGAATACGTTTCTATTGGAGCGCTTTGCCACCGCAACGCCCACCACCGAGGGCAACGCTGAAGAGAGACGTCACCAGATGCCAAGGTTATTGTGTGAAAGGTGCCGTGTGAATCAAATGTTTTATGATTGTTGCCGGTTGTTTGTTCACTGTGCGGTCGTACCGCCTGTCTCTCGGGGAGTTGATCCCTCAGCAGGGACACATTTCCCTCCTGAAGGGCAGAGAGAACACAGTGCAAACAGATCAATGTCTGACTCAATGAAGAATAGGAGTGCAGACAATGTAATGATAATTAGGCAAGATTCCATGTATGTGTAGTAAGCATACATCACGATTTCTATTTTGTTGGTTATTGTCATCATCCGTTATACATTTTACCATCCTAGTCAGTCACGGCTTCTCCGTTCAAAGTTCTGTTGTGAAAATTGCCTTATTATTCCTAATATTACATTACTATTTCCACAAATCAAAATAAAAAAGAATAATGCAGAAATAACATTTTGGGAGCAAAATGAAACAGGAAAAGAACCACAACATTTCCCCAGGTCTTCAAATGGCTAAAGAAAATTCACAGAAGTAATATAGTAAAACATCTTAATGACTGAGCAGCTGAAACCAGCAAATATTTTTTTTCTCGCGAATGTCTTAAAAGACGAATAACTCATCAACAATATGATATTCAGGGATAATGACGACCATTAGTTCAAAATATAGTTAGAGTAAACAACCGACGTGTCACTATGTGATTGTGGAGATGCCTGCGTGTTGTGAGTGAGTGTGTTTGGAGAGTCTAAGCAGCCTCACCGTAATATTCTGTTACTACTGGGACAAGACCACATTTTCCCGCGATGAAAGAGTGAGTTGCATCCAGCGAGACGGCGTCCACCTCGTCCCTCTGTAGAAAGGTAGTTGCAACAACTTTTTTTTTTTTTCAGGTCTTCTTGAATCGTAACATCCCAGGTTCGCGCAATTTGCGCTACTCAAATGACTTGCCTTAATTTTCTCGATACAGTCACGCATAGAGGCGGCGCTCACGCACACCAGCGGGTCTGACTTAATACTGAGGGCCCACTGCTCACATTTCTTCTGCTCTGCATGGCTGATACAGCACCACCGTACAACACTGTCCTCCAGCGAGCTCCCTGCTCACACACACACACCGGCTCGATGAGCTCACAAGAGAAGTCAGTTGTTAACAAAGAACAAATGTGGATATAATCACCTTCATGTCCAAGACCTTTGAGGAGTGCCACATAATCCAGCCCAAGCACCTGACTGACATCCATGTCGTCCGGCACGACGGCGAGTTTATCCGTCACATCTCTAAAGAGAAGGTCGTTTTCTCCAAAAGAAGAGGAGTTGAAGAGTTGGAAGCGCCGTCTCTCTCTCCCTTGTTGGCCAAACAACATCTAAGCAACAACAAAGAACCCTTTAAGAATATTCTATCTGAAAGCAAAGCCGTTGATATTTCCTTGGCAAAGGTGGGCGGGGAAACCTGATGAAACAAAAATAATTACCTGTACCGTTACCAGAAATTTGCGGGCAATCTTGCGAAAGTTAAATCTGGTGACCGTGCCGCCTCCGGGACCCCGTCCCAGATTACAGTTTCTGTATTGACTGAGGGGAGCCTGTGTGCCATCTGTGCATAGCAGCCTGAACTCATCTCCATCACTGCCTGAGAGAGCAAACGGAATATGAAAAGTCATCAGGATGTTGTGTAGTTATTATCATAAAAGTTAAAAAATATTAAAAGATAGTGCACTAGCGAACACTTTGTCACTTGTTCGCTAGGGCACTTTATCTTTTAATATTTTTTAACTTTTTAAATATTTTTAATTTTTAATTTTAACTTTATTCTCTTATTTTATACTAACCCATAGCCTTATTCTACTAACCCATTGCATTAGCATTTCATTTTATTTTATTACTTGTGCACTGCTGTCTTGTTGTCCATTGTTACACTGTCTACTGTCACGCACCAACCGCCAAGTCAAATTCCTTGTATGTTTGACATATTTGGGCATTAAATGTTTCCTGATTCCTGATCAAGCAGCTGTTTCCTTCCAAAGGTTTTCTACCGAACTGACTGCATATTATTTGAATCTATCAATGACAGTTGACGTTGAAATATCTTTTACAACCAAGACATAGTGATCCTCAAATTGTAATATTTAAGTTCCCATTTAGACTCCTACCGTTTCACTATCAAACGTTTCACTATCTACCTTCAATACTTTCAAGAGCTAAATGGTCCACGAAGGCAACATCTCCCGCCCCGCTCCTGAGACATCTGCAGAAGAAAAGCATCAGAAGAACTCTGTGTAAATGCTGGACATGTTTAAAACACGGCAACGCTGGCATGGAAGTTGAGCGCGACCTGAGGGCCCCTTGGCTGTTGTAGAAGGGCTCACTGTGGGACGTCTCGCAGTGGTAATTCTTCTGCCGAATGTAAGACTTCTGGCCCTGACACAGGGAGCACAGGGCCGGTGCGACGGCAGCAGCTCCGGGAACACAGCTGGCACTGAAAAAGGAACTGACATCTGGTCGAAGGCGCAGAGAGACAAGTCAGGGGAGCGTGGAAACCCAGAAACTGCCAGAATAAAAAACACAAAGAAGAAGAAACTTCCACATTGCTCCTCACTGGCGGCTCATTATAATCGCATCACCCTGACTGAGCGGCTGCTCCTTCGACCAGCTCAGGTAGTTGCGGGACAGCAGGAAGCCGAGGGGAAGACTCCATCCAGCCGTCCACCGGACCCCACTGTGACAGCTCCTCAGGCCCCTCAGGGAGCGTATGTCCAAACTGCTGTTTCTCACCACAGCCACAGACAGGATGCAGCCTCCTGTGGGACCCGCCGTACACACACTGGTTTTACCGGTTTTGGACACTGGTGCGAGAGCCGAGAGCGCCTCAGGAATCTGATGTAAACCCACCGTCGCTGTAAATCTCTTTGGCGATGGTGACAAGGCCAAACTGCTTCACAGCCGAATAAACTTCTCCTGCGTCTAACGTCACCATATCGGCACGGTTTGCCTTCAATAAAAAAATAAACACAAAGACTTTTAGTGAAAAGAGGACTTCAGGAAAAGCTCACAAACTAACTAAAGTAAACAGGTTGGCATCAACAAACTGATACCTTCTTTTGGGTATCAGCATATACCAAAAGCCACGTTTAAGTCTCCATCACATCAAACGTCCATCAGGCAGCATTAGCTAAGCCCATTCACTTTTTAAAAAAAAATATTTTTTTATTGGGATTTGCAAACTCAAATGTCGGTATTGGCCTCATAAATCCAGTACCACTCAAGCGCTGAGCCTTTTTGGCCTCATTAAGTGTTACACCTTTCTGTTCGGTTGCCACTAGGGATTCAAACGATGACACGGCCTTTAAGGTGAGAGGTGGCTCACCCTGATCCTGTCGATGCAGTCGGTGGTGCTGGACGCTCGTATGCACGAGAGTCGGGCGAACGCAGCCACTGCGGCTGGCGGCAGCGCCGCCACCAGAGCCTTGGCTAGTTCTGCACACTTCTTCTGTTCGGGATCTGACACTGTGCACCACCGCATCTTCTTAGCTGACACGACACGAATAGCCCACACAAGTTCATTAATCAGAAGATGACAGAATTGGTTATTTGTCAACTGTGCATTATTTGGTAAGAGTAGCAGATCTTTTATTTATCTAGGAATTCATTCAGAAAATCCCAAACAAACGGAATTTTGTTGAACCGTTAAATTATTTCTACATCTAAAGTGTCCGAATCAACTTGAATAATTGCCACAAAAATCTCCACAAAGAAGGCAGCAATCTTGCCCTCGACATCAAGTCAACATCTACAAAAGAATAGAAATATTCTGGACGTTTCACAATGTGACTCAATATAAACATGAATACAAACAATACATGACGTAACTATAAAGGTAACAAACAAGTTCAGTTACATAACTCACCCCGGATGCAGCAGAAAAAGATGAAAAAGAGTAAAACAGCATGTAGTCCTCGCATTCTGCCCGGGCGTAAATCAAAGATTCCTTCAAATCGGTTCGTCTGTTGTCTGCAGAGCTCAACAGACAGCTGTCCTTTCGGTCAGTCGAAAAATCCCTGAAACTCCTGCGTAGCTTTTCAGAAGTGTTTAACGGATGACAATGAAACCTATTGTGCAAGGGCTCCTCTGAAAACAGTTAAGTGATTTTTTCCACACATATGGAAATATTTAGCACCATCTGTCAACAGAACGGCCTCTATCCAATGGTTGCACAGGTTTTAGGTGTAACCGTCACGGTGAAAGCCGCTTAAAGGCCCTTTGCCGTAATGTTTTTGGATTTGCTCATTCAATACAATTTATATGGCATTCAACAGAAATAAAAAGAAACATGTAGACGTCAAGATTTTTTTTTATATAGTATGAATGTTTATTCTGAAATCTGAAAAAGCAGTTCAATTATTTTTTCAGGCTTCATTTTAACTTAAGAAATGTGATCTAAGCAGATAATGTAGTAAACACAGAACAATCCGTTTCCATCTCTTCTGTTTTCTGGTGAAACAACGTTTTCTGTATCAGCTGGATCCTCTTTGCATGAAGCAACATTGTTGGTTTCCGTTCAGCCAGTTCAGCGGACAGGCCGTCGATGCGCTCCTCCAGCTGTCAACATCGAAAACATCAACTGTGTCACCAGCAAAATCATTTTGAGCGTCCGTGACGTCATGTTTGCTTCCCCTCGAGGGACCTCCGATGTGGGCTTTTTACAGATGATGATGATGATTCATTGTTCATACGAACACCAACGGATGAATCATTGAAGCGATGAGTGATCAGTGATTTGGGATGTCGCCTTGAAATGACTTTCCTCATGACCAGCACCTCACAAGCCTGACACTCTCCATGATGAAATACTGTAAACTCGGTCAGCTACATTCACAGTCCCCTCACTTTCCATCTGACCAAGACATTTCATCTTTTTAGTTTTGATTTGGTTGTAGCGAGAATTGGTTAAGTACCTACAGATGAAGATGTGCTAAATTGGGCTGTCGTTCTGTTTGCAGCATTTATAAGAATTGCTCCCAATCTAATAAAAACAGCAACAGAATGATCTCATCTTCTTACCTCTTTCAACTCTTGACACACAGCATTTTTTTCCATTTCTTCTTCCTTTCCACTGGTGTGCAGCCAGCTTTTTAAAACCTCTTTTAGTCTCTGCCATGCCCTGAGTCAACACACACAATCAAACATCACACAGCGTGAACTGTCACGCAGAAGAAACGTTTGTCACAGATTTCCTACCGGAGCTGCTTCCTGTCTTGTTGGTATGTCACCATGTCCAGCTGAATTCTGAGCAGTTCTCCGGTCAGCGCTGAAGTTGCTCGCTGACGAACACCTTGAAGAAGCCCAAAAACAAAACTTGATTGGTATTTGTGATTTAATATAGTGAATACAAATATAAACCTGCAGGTATCGTGCCTGAATCAGCTGAAGGATGTTGTTCAAACAGAGGAACGAACTGATGAGGAGCTTCTCCAAAACACGAGCTGTACGTCTTCCCCATCTTGTGAAAAAAAAAAGCAGACGTTATAACCAGGCGAGTCACTTCATTTTTCTTTGAACACGTTCCAACAGGAGACTTTTACCAGATCTCTGGTCACAGAGGTCATGAAAGCGGAAGGAGGTAAAAGAGCGTCTTGGCTCTGGCGTTCCCGAGGAAAGCCCACGGCGGACATGTTTGGCCCAGAGGGCGACGGGTTGGACGGGACGCCGCTCTGACGCGTGGAGGGAGGACGGAGGCAGGCCGTCGCTGTACGGCGGTCTCCCTCGGCAGGACAATGGACCAGCGAGGCTTTCGGAGGCGCTTCAGCGCCACAGCGGGTCGACTGACTTTGGGTGCTGAGAAACACGAAGGAAACTTACGTTGAGTGAGAAATATGATGATCTTAATAAAAGCTAATTTCTAAACTTTTCTTTTTACTTTATTTTCACTAGTGACTCAAAAAGGTCCTCGCAGCGTCTGGGCTGACGTCGAGGCGCACGGCCGAGTAGTCTGTGAGAAATAAAAAAAAGACAAACGAGGTTTACTTTGAGATTGATTCAGAGTGCAGAGCACGGATTCACATTTTTGAGGGGCTCCTACTCACAGCTTGCTCTGGCCTCCGTCTTCAGCTTCCTGCTCCTTGGGGGCAGAAGGGGGTTCGCCCTTCGATCCACATGAGGCCAAACAAAAGGTTACGCTCTTTTGGGGGGATTGCACTTTGACTTCCAGCTCTGTTTTTGGTTTACACAGTGCTCGCCTTTTCCACCGCATGGCGCAACGTTTCACCACCCTGTGGAGATGTCGAGACCTCTGCGGAAACATAGGCAGACTTGATTACAAAAAAAAAACGGGACTCACGTTTGACGTCTGAAGGGACGCAAAGTGAACAAACCTGCTCTTGGCTGTGCTGCGTCAGGCTCGTCGTGAGGTCACTCATGTGAGCGGCATACGTGAGGATGCACGTCACGCCCTCCCTCAGCAGCTGGTCTCTGTAGACCTGAGCCGCTCGGGCCGCCTGCTCTTGTTTCCTCCGCTGCTCTGTGACTTGCAGCCTCCATCCATGCAACACCTGCAGGCAAGTAAAAAAAAAAAAAACAGTTGAGGCTGCGAGCACCAATTTGACAACTCAGTGGTCAAGATGGCCGTGTGAGACATTTGTGCAGGGAAGTGTTACCTTGGCCTGAAGAGTGAGGGACCAGTGCCAGAGCGCTCGCTCCGTCTGATTAGCTTCTCTCCGTCTGTGCTGCAGCTGTTTGCAGGAAGGGAACCCAAATCCAAGACATCAAATCACATGCATTGATCTGACAATATTAACTTGTTCCTGCACAACCATAAAAAAACAACATCAACAGAAACAACATCATACAGATGAAACTACCGTTGGCTGAGATTGTTTATTTCAAAAAGGGTTAAACAAGCTTGTATACTTCAATAAAGTTAGCGGAAATGGGAGATAATATTGGATGAATAATAACTAGAAAGAAAAAATAAAGAGTAATGGCCGAGATCACCGGGCGTGTGGTCATTGGTATTGGTCAAGTTACAGAATACAATACAATTTTTTAAGGGGGGGGGGGGGGGGGTAAACAAACCTTAATTTTCCACTGGTCAAAGTACATCTGGTACATCTTTAATCTCAGCAAAAGGATCCCCTGTCGCTTCATTACCTGTGAAAAATTAAAATATTTAAAACTCAAAGTATACAGTGTGGCTTTACTAACTTTACTTTGATAAAGTCACAACCTTGCTTTTTAGAATGTGGTTGTGATGCTCTTTCCAAGCTTTCACTGCTTTTGAAAGGAGTTTGGAGCCATGGTGCCGCCTCGCCTTCTCCATGCACATCCTCTCTCCCCGAGCCTTCCTGCTCTGCGTCTTCCACCGTCTGAACGACTGCAGCAGCCGAACTAAACACAGAAAACATCTAAAAACCTCGGATACACACATATGCAAATGTATATACATTTTTCTGGGTGTGTGTATATATATATATATATATATATATATATATATATATATATATATATGACGTTCACATAAATTTGATCTGAAACAGAACATATCAATTTGGTCTTGAAAATATACTGCTTGTGTTTTTACCTTGATTCATGGACCTCTGAGCCTTGTTGACTGCCTCCCTCTGCTGGTGTCGCTTAGAAGCTGCACATGCTGTTGCTTCTCTCCAAGCTAGAAACACCTTGACAGATTTAGTGCAAATACAGCAATAAGCAAAGGTTCCCACAACTGAATAGCTAAGAACGGTTGTCACGTGCTTCAGAACCTTAAGGCGAAGGGAGTGCTGAAAGTGACTCTGTGCTCGCTGCTCTTTGAGCCGGACTTCTGTCTGCAGCGCAGCGTTCTCCCTCCAAACACACAGGACCTTCCTGAAGAGACGTCATTCAGGCACAGCTGACGTAAATCATTGAGAGAGACAAATGGGAGCAGGCTGTGTTAAATACCTGAGAAATGTCCGTTTATGTTGCCAGTAAAGCTCCTCTACGTGGCCGTAGATCTGACCCCTCTCCAGGAGGTGTTCCTGTGAATGCAGCAGCAGGGTATCTTTAACATGCCGACCTCAAGAAATCATGGGATTTCAGATGCCCACGTACCTTCCAGGCCACGAACGTGTGCATGAGGAGTTTAACTTCACGGTAACGCTGCATCCGTTTCAGCTTGGCGGTCTTCATTCTCTGGCACTGAACAAACTGACCGGACAGACAAGAGCCATTAACACACACACACACACACAGATCACACTTTTAAACATTGAACCAAAAGTACAGATGCGTAGCAGGTAATCAGTGAAGATGTGTTGTGCAAACTGGCCGAACAAGTACTACGGCGTTACCTTTTTCCATTTTTCAACAGCCAACCTCACGCAGCGCAGGTCACCCTGACGACAGGCCTGCAGCTCTCGGTTTCTCCTGACACGCAGACAAGAGGATTCAGAAATACGTGTTAGTAATTAAACAAACCAGCAGGTTTCACACCACGAGGCTCAAACACACTTCACCTGTCTCTCATCTCGGAGCTGCTGTCCTTCCACCGAGTCATCGTCTTGTGGAGAAGCCTGTGAAGGTACAGGCGGTCTGAGGCTTCTTGTTTCTCACGGTCATTGATGTTCCGCTCCGTCCGTCGCCTCCAGCTGGTCCAGGCTCTCTGCAAGCGGCAGCGCTCCTCATGCAGAATCGCCTGGTGGGGCGAGTTACCGGTCAGTGTCTGACTCGCACCTGAGCTCTTAATAGACACGGCGCAGCGGCCTGTGTTTCCTTTCACGGCCGGACGTACCATCCGCTCGCAGAGCGTCCGCTCCCTGTGCTCCTCTGCTCGTCCCCGCCAGGTGTAAAACACAGAGGTGTACCTGCGCTCCCTGAACACGCGGGGGGGGGGGGGGGGATCAAACGATTTGCGTGGAGGCAACGGACGGAAAATATGTCACACTCAAAGTACAAATCGCAGGGTTTACTCACCGGTTGAAGACTTCTGCTTTGTGTTTCATCTGTTTAAAGCGCCTTTGCTGTGAAGTAATCTCAGCCCACAAGGTGAAGCACTTAGGCAACGCGCCTTCAGCGAACCAAACGTCTGCACGGTGCTCCAATTCCTGCGGGAAAAGGTCATATTTTTAGGTTTGTACATTAAACTATATGTACGAGTTATCATATGTCATCCCTCATATTCCGTGTTCATATCACTGCCCTATAAATATTTCTAAAAGATACCTTCATGTGTCTCTGTTTTCTCAGATTCTTTCTCCAGTGGTGAAAACATCTCCTCAACAGAGACGTGCTGTTAAAGAAACAACAAGTCTAAATTTATATCCAAATCACGCAAACAAATTAAAACTTTACATGGAATCTACCACATGTTTGTAGTCCGGACGCTAAAGCATAAAGCGAAGCGAATATTTTTCCAACTAGGGGAAAGAAATGTAAATAAAAGCACCTGTGGTTAGTCATTGCCATTTCATATAAGGGTCGAAAGCTCTCGTCTTCAGCCTCCTCCAAACGGTCCTGCCACAGCCTCCAATAGTTACGTGTCATCTATGAAAAATAGAACGTTCATTTTTAGAAACGTTAGCTGACACTGTAGCATTAGCATGATGGAGCACTCCAATTACGGATTGATGATAATGTTGGACAGCCATGTTGCTGTTCAGTCGGTGCGCTTTGTTCCTGTTGACGTGAAGAAGAAGCCCCTGCAGTCCCACGTGCTGCAAGAACAAACAACGATCGATACATTGAAGGATTAGGATCTCTACTAATGTGCAGAATACTTCATTTGCTCTTCCGCTTACCAGCAGCTGATGACGATGAGCGTGACTTACAATCCTGTTTCTTTCAGCTTCTTCTCTGCACAACGTAACATCTACTGACAAGTTCAAGAATCACACCACTGTTGTGATCATTATAAGCTGAAACTATCCCTCAATGAACTGAGTTTGGTCGAAAATGAAAAGTGTGCCAAGGATACAAGCTTTCCAGCGCTCCAGTGCTCTGCGCTGGGTAACCCTTACGGCCAAAAGCCCTGCAGCTTGCAAGCGGTCTTCCCCGCTCCGTTTACGATGCAGCGCACTGCTCCACTTCCTCCAGCACATCGCCAACAGACGGAGATGGCGTGCACGCTGTGCCACAGCTACAAATTAGGATTAGTAAGCAAGATTCAAATGAGAACAGAGGTATATAAGTGGTATAGTATGGATGAGCTTGGGGTTTACATCAAATGAAAGGAAAGAAATATGATTTATAATAACCTTGTGACTTTTTCTTTGTTTGCAGGGTAGAGACATAACATTTCCAACGATTCAATGTTTTTCTTTTTAGCAAGAGGATGAAGTGAAGTGCAGCTTTGGATTCTTTCTCTTTCTGGCAACAGGCAGCTGTGTGCATTTCTTTCCAATGAAGCAAAATCTTTGACAGAAAAAAATAAATAAACAGATTGTCAGAAAACGCCACACAAAACGCAGGAAGGAGATCCGCAGTCATCACACATAGTGTTGACAGCACAGTGTTGATTAGGTCTTTACCCGTCTCTGTAAAGTGAGCGCCCTCTGTTTCAGTGCTTGATCCTCTAAAGCTTGAAGGTCCCGATGGCGCTGCAGCCGAGCTCGCCATAATCTCCACGCTGAACTGCACGGGTGAAATAAAGACAACAGCACTGAAAACTGACAATGCACGTGAGAATTATAACTGTTATTTGTAAATACGGTGAGTGATCTTACTGTAGGGTTGCACGTCTGCTGTGCTCCAAGGTAGATTCAAGCATTCTATTATTTATTCTCCTCGTTTCGGTGAAAACCTTCCATCGTTCCAAAACCAGACGCATCTGTTGCCTGTCAGCTGTTGAGGATATAATCATACAAAAGAGCCGTTTGTGACACGACCCTTCCCTGAAGCTGGGGTAGATAGACTTTTGTGTGTGCAACAAACATACCGAATGACTGAGCAGCTTGGACTTTGCTCCTTTTTCCTCTTTGCAATGACGTAAAAGTTTGCCAGTTTTGGAATACCAAGTTGTACATATAATACCTGAAACACACAATGCAGCGTCAGCAGACACCAGCAGGCTCTGTGAGCAGCTGGCCGTGTTTCGTTGTACCTGCGGTGACACTCTGCCCGCAGTGTGAGACTCCACTCCCTCCTGGACGTCCACCACTCGTCTCTCCATTCTGCGAAGACTCGTCTCAGGACCACGGTGTCGTAGTGAGACCTGCGACATGTAATATATCCCCTTGGATTAAGATCACTTAGGGTCAGGTAGCGCATTTGAAAGTGGCAAACGGACATTTAAAGAGAAATCGTTTTTCTTTTTGGATGACTTAAAAGGTCGAACACGTTACTTGGCTTTATGGGGAAGGAGTCGTCCAAAAGTGTTGTGCATCCATATCTTCAGGAACTTTCTCGCCAGGTGCCTTAAGTAGTTGAAAAAAGGTTTGTTTAAGTGATCAATGGTAACATACGGGCGGCGGTGCAGTAATTCAAGTGCCACAAGCACCTTATTCTCAGCTCCTTGAGTCTTCCGCCTTTGTTCCAGCAGTATCCAACTCTGTAAGGGAGCTTTCTTGTATGAACTTTGCGGACTTGTTTTCTTTCACCACCAAACCTGACGCTGCTTGGTCGAGGTCTCACTGGTTCTGGCTTTCTGGTGTTACTTTGCATTATATCACACCAGACCGCTTAAGCAAAGAACGGTTAAGCCACAAAATTACGCCAAACATAAACATGAAGCAAATTCACAACGGTAAGAAGTATAAAACAAAAACAACATCCCTCATCGATGTGATTAAGTGCCGCGCGTTTGTTTTTCCGGGTCACGTGACTGCGAGTGTGAATTTAGGGTTTGTTCCAGACACAGCAGTCAACGGCTGAGGGAGTTAAAACAAGGTTTTTAAATGCTGCGCTGAGTTCAGGTAGTCGGCGTTATATGTGTATATCTGGCATGTTTGTACTGTTAAATAATCATTCAAAGCTGTAGCTGGTGGGAATAGTATAATGCCTCATTTTGACTGTAAGAGTATTAAGTGTGACACATTGGTTATCGCTGTGCTAGAGCAACCGCAACTCCTGAAAAGCGGTCTGGAACGAGCCCGAGGTCCTTTGAGTTACGGCGATGCACAATGTCAGTCCTTGACAGCCCGTGAGGGCGGAGCCTTACATTTTCACAAAGAAGCAATGGGAGGCGGCTATGTCTGAGGCACAAATCAGGCAAACCCCAAGATGATGGGTAGCTGTTCTAAAAAGTGCCTTTTAAATTGTCTAAATTAAGTGTAATTTAAACTCCTATAAATCAAATTAGATTTTCTACCACAGTTCTTAAGGTTGTAGAAAAACAACTCACTGCCAACGCGTGATTACCATATTATTAATTAAATATGAGGATACAACACGGCCAACCCACGCCGGACTATATGCAATTCTACAAAGGCGCGATGGGCACAATGTAATCTTTCCGAGGACCTTCTTAAAGCGGTGATCAGAGGAAAATTGCTGCTACGACTTAGAAAACAGAGAAAGAGCAGACAATAATTTGAGATTACACAGTCACTGTGTGAATTAATTTGTTGCCTCGACTCGTTATTTTGTTTAGTTACCCCAGTATCGTGTGCTTTTGCTGATATTACTGCAACATCTCAACCGGTTTACGATTTTAGTAGTCGCTGGGTGGGCTTTATCCCCATTTCCCCAGCTAGTTAGCTAGCTAGCTAAAAGGGCTAGGTTAGCTAGCTAGCTAACTAACTATCGTTAACTGCCGCTGCTTGGTTGTTAGCGACCGGTGTTCCACGCAACATTTAAATTGAGTAAGTTGGCTGTTTGTGTTTTCACTAAACCCACTTTCTTAGCCAGCCGTTTGTACACATTTTATGCATGATAACCTGGACAATATTCCGATTGAACTCCCCAATTGTGTTGGAGGCTACCTTGGCTGACCAAAATCCGGGGTAATTGTTAGCGTAACGTTATAATTTCCTGAAACTGATGATTAATGAAACATTAGTAGCTGATTGTCGCAATGGTCTGTAACGTTGGAGATGTATTTCTTGACGGCTTCTGTCAGTGTTCAGATAGTAACTTTACCGGCAATTGTTCAATTGTGCTAAGGCTAGGTAAATAATGGTAATTGACGTGTCACGTCACCGGTCTGGGGCTGTTGTCAATTAACTTGCTAATTGCCCAGCAGCGTTTGCTGAAACAGTCCACATGTAAGTTGGCCTTACGTTAGGTCAAGTTCATTTTTTGTTCCATGCTCATGTATGAGGACAGGTTCCTTTTCTCGTGTAAGTATTAAGTGTATCATTAATCTGCTGCTTGACGTTTTCTTCAATTTGTTTACATCAGGAACCAATTATTTGTTGGGCTGGAAGTGGTTTGTTCGGTCTGAAATCGGTCATGGAGAACAATGCTTGTGTCGAGCAGAAGAATAGTGATGGAGATGCTACTGTGGACCCAGATAAACAGCCAGCAGCCACAGCTCCTTACAGATACACCAAGGTGATGAGAAATATCATTGATGAAATATAGTAGCCATGAAGCGTACTTTTTAACGCCACACAAACCATTAGTTTTACTGAATATGCTGTCTTGAAAGATATACATGCATATACTCTACATATCACCCTACAGCATTCTGTATATAAAGCAACCGGTTATATTAGTCAGCATTTACTAACTCAAGCATATTGACACTGTACTGTTGCACCACTGTAATATTGTGTGTGATTTATTTTGTGCACTTTACCAAGTGTGAGAGAGAATGTTGCGCCCTATGTAAAGTTCCTGGTATGTGCTTCACACCTGGCAATTAAAAACGTCTTCTCAATTATTTTACAGGAGGAGCTTCTTGAAATAAAAGAACTGCCAGTCTCAAATGAAAGGCCAGAATGTCTTTCTGAGAAATATGACAGGTAAGAATGAATTAACAATTTCCCCAAACAAAAAACTAATTAACTGTCTGCTCTGGGCAAAGTTTTGTGTGCAAATCATGAGCTGATGAATATGGGCTTTTATTTTTCGGAAAACCCATATTCATATGCTGGAAGATGTTTTTGCGGAGCATTAATTGTTTTTTTAGCATTTTCATTTGGGCCAAGATATTCTAACATTTCAAGATTCCTTTATAGGATATGGATAGTTCCTAAAAGTATTGACTGACTATTAAAGTGACCATTCAAAGACGGTCTCTGGTGTAAAATCTTAGAATCTTAGAATGAAAATGTTTGGTTTAGTCACCTTTTTTTATCGTTTGCAGATCACTTGCATTTATTTTTGTCTGAACCAAAAATGCCATTGCTTCAGAAGCTATGTCCGTTAGTTGTTTTGCTTGCTTTGATTATTCAAGACATTAATGAATATCATGAAAAAATGCTGGTATTACAGTAAATTGCATTACTCTTCTTGGTTAAAACAAAGGTTCAAATTCAGTCATAATTAGTTTTAGATGATAGAACATGTTTTACTAACTGCAGTTGTTGGTGTGTTCTCAGGTTTTCTAATGCCCAGAAAGAACCTATATTATATTTGAATTCTTTGTCAATTGTCTTTAGTCAGCTGGTTTCAGTGTGTTTGTAATTGTGTTGAATGGTGTTACAGTGATGGTATCTGGGACCCTGAGAAGTGGCACGCCTCTCTGTATCCCACTTCAGAGCGTAACTCTCCAGTGGAAGGTTTTAAAAAGGAATATGTGGACGACAGAGTTCCTTTGAAACGGAGGATTCCAGGTAAATGACCCAAAGTCAGATTTGAACCAGAACATGGGTGTTATTCTTTTAGTTATGATGTGACCGTTTGTGTCAAACATCTAAAGCCAAATTAATTTTCTCCATTCTATTCAGATCCTCGAGAGCGGTTAAAGGAGGATGATCTGGATGTCATACTTAGCCCTCAGCGACGCAGCTTTGGAGGTGGATGTCAAGGCAACGCTGCACTTGCACCCCACGCCCGTCGCCCAATTAGCCCCCTGGAAAATAAGGAAAACGAGAGTCTTCGTCTCGGAGGGGCACGCAGAATCGGCAGTGGCCGCATAATTGCTGCCCGAGCCTTTGAGAGAGAACCCCGTGTGGAGAAAGAGCGGGAACGTGAGCGAGACTTTAAGGATAAAAGATTCAGGGTTGGTATTCATTGCTTTTAGTCCATCCATAATGTCGTATTCCCTGTAGTGATTGGACAGAGGCATTCAGTACATTGAGATTCAAGTTTCTTTAAATGTTAATGTGAATAGTAATGCCAAGAAAGTGTTTTGCAAAATCACCAAACTCGTACGTTTCTAGTTCATCTAACAAACCACCGGTGAATGAATTTAATGAAAAGCCATGTGGAAATTACATTAGTTGTGGGGCACTACTCTAGTGTTTAGAAAATTATGTCAAAAAGAACTTTCCTTTGATTTAGAACATGCTGCTTGGAAGCTTAGTTAGCATATTGCTGTGCATTCTCTGTACAAAGTTAATTTGAATGGTCCCATTCATTTATCATCAATCAATTATTTGCATGTGAAGCATTATCAATTTTACGTGGTAAATGTACGTATTCTCGTCATCTGCAGAGGGATTTTGGTGACAAACGGGTGTTCAGTGAAAGAAGAAGGAATGACTCTTATGCAGAAGAGGAGCCAGAGTGGTTCTCGGGGGGGCCCACCAGCCAGTCCGAGACAATTGAGCTCATTGGATTTGATGACAAAATCCTGGAGGATGATAAGCGCCGGTCCAAGCGGTCAAAGAAGCGGGGCGAGTCGATAAGAGAAGGCATGTCAAAGTGTTGTTGTTTTTTTGTTCTTTATGCATTTTGTATAATCTGATAACTTTGGTATTTTGATATATTTGACTTTCTGCTGCAACATCAGGAATACCGGAATCAGGAAGATCATTTTTTCTTTTAGATTAATTTTGTTGTTGTTGTGCAGCAGTCGAATGCAATGGTGGACAGGCAGATGCACGAGATGCAGGTGTGCAGTCAACTGCTGATCAAGAGGTTCCTCACCCGGATGTCCTGCCCGAGCAGACGACTGGAGACTTTGACTTCAATGAATTCTTCAATCTGGAGAAGACCATGCCAGGACTGGCCTCTGTAAGTTTTGGGGTGCACTTGGTGGTTTTATTTTTTATGTTTTAATGTCACAAATTGGATGGCATCCAAATGTCCCGTTGCCTGAAAATTACTTCTAATCAGTATAAACTTTTAACAGTAGAGGTTTTCAAGTGTTTGTCCCACTCCCTCAAACAAACTTGCTGGACATTTTCTTACTTTATTTTTACAATAATTAGGAACAATTTGGCAGTTGTGGCACAATTGTTACCCGTAAGATTTTATTATCTGCTCATGAGAAGTCATGTAAAAAGTATTATTGTGCTAAATTGGCAGATGCTTTCTCAGCACAAGATTACCTCTGCGGGTGCTGGGGATTATCTCCGAATGTTGCACTTTCCTATATGTTATGATAACAAACCACTGCATGGGGTTGATCTTGGGTTAAAAAGGTATCCGCACAAATAATTTATGCCCATCATTACAGCAATACTAGACCTTCTCATTTGCGAGAAGTGTAAACAATGAGAATCAACAAAGAGCAGTGCATTTAATGACACAGCCCCCTAATCGGGGGGGGCGGCCTAAATGTAAGTTCTACCTTTTTTCCTTGGATCTCTTTTCGTCCTGCTGTTATTTTTGTTTCTCACTGTTTCTCAGGCTCCCTTCTCTGTCTTGCAGATGATAGAGGACGTTTTGGGGGAGGGGCCTGTATCAGCTAGTCGCTTCAGTCAGTGGTTCTCCAATAACATGAGCCCGTCAGGCAGCCGTTCCAGCAGTCTGAGATCCACTCCGCATGAGGAGCTGGAGAAACTTGCAGGTAGTAATTTGATTTCCTCAGTTTCATGCAACTATGTAATCTAAAAACAGTCTTTGAAGCGGTTTTTAGCAAGTGTTCACATGAAACGGTGCAGATCAGTGGCCTTTTTTACAAATGTATGGAGTAGTACGATAACTTCCATGGTTTGTTTCAGGAGGTTTTTGTATTCAGAATGAATCTGGTAAGACATAGGAATTTGCAGAGTACAACTCTTCTATATTTTGAGGGGGTATGTCTCAAGTCTGATCTGCAGTAGACGGTACTTGGTTTGTTTACATTATGGAACGTATTCCTTGCCGTCAGTTCAGTTTCTCTCTGCTAGTTTAATTATTCCTCATTTAGCTTGATCTAATGGTAAATTTCATATTGAATTAAGTCACAAGGTAAAAAGTCTGACTATGATAAATCTTAAATTGTGCATTTAAATCTTTTTTTTAATTATTTTTTTTATTGATATTTTACTTCCCCCATCCCTACAGATGATTAAGATAATATGCTTCACTGAACAATTGTTGTTCTCTTGTTGGAGCTTATCTCAAAAGAAAACATGACATTTAAGGGATATTATCTAGCCAGTCTTTACTGAATCGTGATCTGGGATATGGCCTTCAAATCTAATCCATTGGATGCATCTTGTTTAAAAAGAGACTTTAAACTTTGTCAGAACCAAACTGCTTCTTTACAAGATAACTCCTCTGCTATTTGATTACTAATCTGTTCAATTCTTGCTTTGTAATTGTTATGCCCCAAAGCACTCTTTCTGTGTCGGATGTTCTAAGACTAGTCTTGGCTCTTTTTGCTCCTCTGAAGGATTTGAGCAACGCGGCTCGTCCTCCAGCCAAGGCCCGGCCTCCTACTTCACACCTATTCAGCCATCGGAGTGCAAGGAGAAGGTGGACATCCTGGACCTGCTTCACAAGGCCAAAATAGACTTGAAGCCTCTTCTTTCCACCCTGTCTGTCAACAAAGCTCGGCTACGGGAAAGCAGTGAGTAAAATATACCGTGACACTATCTGTAAATATGCTTGTACAATTACTATTGGGCAATATGGCTCAATTTTGAGCATGATTGATTGAATATTAGGAATGATTGCGAGATTACGTGTTGACTGTAGTACACAATGAAACTTGATGATTGCACCAACCATAGCTCTACGTTTAAAAATAAAACCGCCCTGTGCAATATTATCTGGCCATGAAAGTTAATTGTCAGTCCACGTTCTTGGTACTTAGTATGAATGCAGAATCTCTGCCAACTTTATGACCAAAATTAAATATTTGTCCTTTTATGCACAGTTGTAAATTGTATGAAATCAGCGTTCGGGTTTTTAGACTGATCCATATATTTGATAGCTTATGGAACTGATCTTTCTGATTTGCTTTCCGTAGTCTCTCCCAATACCAGTGATACCAAACCAATGGATTCATTGCAAACCAGTTACGGGTGACCAGATGTTTGCTGAACGATAATCTAAAAATATACTGTGTCCTTTTAAATCTCATCAAAAATACATTCTATGGTATTCTCCTAATTGGTATTTATATGTGCTTCTATTGCACAAACTTGTATTTGCTTTAATCTGTGCCTTGTTTTAACCTCTGTCCTCAGCTAACTGTGGAGCGGTGCTCTCGCTGGAGGAAGTGGAGGGAGAAATGAAGGGAATGAAGCTCTGCCCAGAACCACAGGTCCGGAAAGTGGCGCCTCCTCAAAGAGGCAATGGCACGCCCTTTATGGCGCAACATTTGGAGGAAGCCTTAACTGGGGGCCCCAGCGCCCGTCCACACTCGCGTGACACAGATATGTCTGCCTTTAACAAACTCGTCAGCAGCATGAAGGCAAGTGGAACTCTGCCAACTCACCCCAAAACAAGCACAAACAGCGTAAGTATTTGGTTTTTAATCTATTTTGTGACGTGGGCAATTACTGGATACGGAGACGAGATGCATGTTTTTAGTGCGGCCATTCATACAAATGCACCTCATTGTGATGCTGCATTCAAGCGTTTTCTATGTAACAATCAAGCACAGTTTGAAAATGTCATTGACAAACGAGACAATGATGGGCATAAATTTGTTTAAATGTTTTGGAGGTTATTCTTTTTCTTTTTTTTTTTTTTGGTGTTCGAATGCTGCAAGTGTCTTTTTATGCAAGTAGGTCAGTTTCTGAATTTGATAGTGCTTTTCTTTTTATATACTGAGGCAAAAATGTCAAGTTATTGTACTAATTCTCATTAAGGAACACAAGTGTAAAAATGTGTCTGTATCCAAAATCATACCTGACTTGCATGAGGGACATTTGGATTCTGACTTGTACAAATCCATCTCCGTTGGCATTCAGTGGCGCAGTTTAAAGTAGTTCCACCAAATTCTGTAACATGTCCATATATTCATGGGGTTCACTGATTCTTAATACCAGTTTCTATGCCTGCTTTGACTACATGACTTACTGAGATGGGTTCGTAGAGGGAGATGGTGTTTTTGACTGCATTGCACCCGTCACATTTTCTCCGTGTTCAATGCAGCAACCTTCAGATCCGGCGGTTGTGACTATGTCTGAAGGCCACGGGCCCCCTCAGCAGCAGAAAAATATATTTCAGGTATGTTGACTATCCTCTCAGGCTAATGCTGTTAAAGGTACAGGCTAAAGGTGTTTCAATTTACAGTGGAAAAGTTTTAAGAGTCTGGCTGTTTTACTACAGGCCTCTGGCTCTGAGTGTGCGGTGTCATACAGAGGGCATCAACTGAAATGCCGGCGAAGGGAATTACATCATTTTAAACTTTTTTTCCTCTGACGTATAACTGTAGGATGTCAGAAAATATCCACACCACAGGAAACAATACTTTCTGACTAAAAATAACTTGAGTCCGGCAACCCTAATGCGAACTGTAATTAAGGAGTGTACGTTGAATGACTTGGAATTTAACTATTCTGTTTCATCTCCATCAAACGTATTCTGTGAATACTAGAGGCCTCCAGGAGAAATGTATAGTCGATGCCTCAGAAGAGATTGAGTTTTAGGGGCAGCTGGGGTTTTGAAACACAGACCAGAACATGAAGATGGACTGTGGACGTGTGTGCCAATTATTGGAGGAAGTTTAAGGGAGCGAAACAAATTCTCTAGCCCATATTTTATGGAGGAAATGAGTGTATGTATGTTTGTATTATAGGCACTCTTAGGAGGTTCTGCTCGTAGTCGCTCTCCTACACTCCTCAGTAATCTGTTGGCCAACTCTGAGGGACCAACGAGCACTGCCCCGCTACATGGACTACTACACAAGGGCCCGTCACCCCCCCTCTTTCCACAAAGGGCCCCCTCACCTGACTACTTCAACAGTCGGATGCATCCTCCAGCAGGTAATTTATTCAGAAAAGTGATGTGTTGCAGTAAAGACATCTACACAATAGCTTAGAATGGGAAACAATGTACACTTTATGCATTGACTTTCTCTCAACAAATACGAAGAAGAAATGAACCCTTAAGTATTTGGACTTTTGTGGGAACCTAGGTACTGCCTCAAACAATGATGCAACCTGAACTTTATTGATCATACGAGATTTACCCGATTTGTGAGATGTAACAGAAATTTTAATTGACACAAATCTCAGAGGCTGTTTCGCTGGAGTGACGAAAGTAGTAAGGGCTCTATGTAGTTTTATTTTATTTTTTTCTGAGCAACTAAGATGGCTTTGCTGGGTCTATCGTCATTTACACATCAAATCTCAAGTTTAATGTCTTTTCTGCTGTTGGTTGAGCTGGATCATATATTTATCTCTCTCTTCCCTCGAGGTTTCACCGTTGGTCATCAGGCCATGCTGCCGCCGCACTATGCTGAGGTCCACAGGTCTATGAGCCCTGGATCTGCAGCACCGCAACAGGTGACCTAAATGTCTGGACACAGTGAACTTGGATTATTAGCTTTATTGTTTATTGAATGAAAATATATTTCACACACAGTTGCTGTTGTATTAATATTTAATACTTTTTTGTAGTGTAAAATGCATACAAGCGCTCACTTTACGATTTTGTTTTATATTTACAGTGAAACAAAAGTCACAATGACTACCTAAATGCCAAGCCGCGTTATGAAAATGTGTATTTTGTTTGACCAGATAAGGATGCCTGTGAATCATGCAGACCTGGAAGCTCTGGCATTTCAACAAGACCTCGCTTTACATGCCCACCCTTCATTCCAGTCGGGCTACAAGCCTCCACAGGACAAATCCTTTCGAAATAGGTTAGTTTCTTAGAGGTAACCAGATGCTTAATAGTATCTAATGATAAATGAGTTTTATCAAAAAGATTTTTATTTGTGTCAAGAAACAATTGGGCCACGGGTTTGTTAATCTAAGTAATCGGAATAACAAATTACAATTTAGTGTAATCTAAGTTTATAAAAGCACTGATTCCAATTTTTTTTCTTGTTTGCTCTACTTATTATTCTATGTGTTGTCTTGAAAGTAGGCCCCATAACCCGATGACGTGCCTTATTTAGCGTTTTCTCGTTGCGTAAGGCTGATAGGCTTGTGATCCACAGACTGCAGCGTGTGAATCACTCCCCTGGTCCCGGCCCCCCGCCGGCTGAAAGACACTCCCCAGGCAATGCTGTCACCAGCATGGTGAGCGAAGACTTTATCCACCCAGCTGTCACTGACACAGACGTGTCTCGTGAAGTTGGACTTGAGTCTGTACTCTCAACACATATTGGTATTACTAGAATAAATGTTCTTAATTTGTCTTTTGTTCCTTACAGTTGTCCCCGTCATTCACACCTACATCTGTGATCCGCAAAATGTATGCAACAAAAGAGAAAGGCAGAGATGAACCCTCAAGTCGTTTGGAGATTAAGGAAGAGGCAGCAGGATACACTCGAGGTAGTACAAAGCGTTGACCTTTACCCACCACTTCCTGATTAGTAAATGTGTTTCAACACCGTAATATTGCAATTTGGGGTATGGGATTACAGACTGCAGCTCCCCAAATCTATACCTGGACGGGGTGGATGGTAATGCCGCCCAGTCTGGTGGCGTAAAGGCTGGTTCACAGACCTTACAAAGCAGGGACCATGAGCGCCTCAGGCCTGTCTCTGCTGGACAACATGTGCCCACCATGGTACCTCCGGGATCCTCCTCGTCTTTCCCGCGTCCCATCTATCCCGTACCACTGCTATCTCATGTACCTATGGTGCGCCCTCCTCCCCAGCTGCACCCCACTGTGGTTCAACGAATGCTGGCGCAGGGAATCCAGCCCCAGCAGCTGGGACCTGCTCTTGTGCAGGCAGGTTAGTGCTGGTTTGTTTGATTTATCCACACAGGGTTTTGTTTCATTGTGAATTGACCTGATGTTAAAACTTTGACCTTGATGAGCCTGATGGAAGTCTTAATTCTACACACCAGGTATATTTCCAACCCATGTTGACCTCGCCCAACTTCAAGGCTTGCCTCCTGCCCTGCTTGGACAACAGCTGTACCCTATGAGTGCAACAGGACATACACTTCTACCTCCTAGAGCAAATACTCAAATGCAGTTGGCAGTAATGCAGCAGCAACTTCAACAAAGACCAAGTGAGTGGAAGTCAAATATTACCATTCGGAATGTGCACGTGCTATAGGAACCATTTCATTGTCTCAGGTTTTGATTGCTGCTGCATATCGTTTTGACATGAATGGATTTTACATTTATATCTTTAGATCAGTACACATTTGTTTTTTTTTCCCCTTCACTTCTTTGATTAAATGGTCCTTTTTCGTCTGCAGTGCATCCAGGCATCTCTGGCCCGCAGTCACAGAGCCACGGCCCACACCGGACAAATGGCTCCCAGCAACACGGGGGCCCCAACCCCCCAGGCCTTGCCAAGTGGTTTGGCTCGGACGTGCTAGAACAGCCACTACCCTCCATGCCGGCCAAGGTCATAAGTGTTGATGAATTGGAGTTCCGACCATAAGAAAATCAAGATAATTTTTTTCTTTTTTCTTTGCCCATCTCCACCTCCTCGTTACCATAGAAATGTGAAGTTTGATTTGATAGACAGTGCACGGACCTGGACATTGTAACCTTGCCATGCTATGTCTTCAACCTTGAAGTCACTGTTTTTTGAAGAAGCGTATCAGCAGAAAAGGGAAGATGAATAATTGCGATATGTTTTGTGACTGAGTGGGAAATGTTTTTTTTGTTTTTTGTATTAAGCTCTGCGCAGTAAAATGTATAGCCCCAATTGTACAGACCGTGGGAAAGAATTGTATTCTCCATGTATATAGCTATCCTTTTTTCTTTTTGTTGGAAAGGGGAAGTTGAAACTATTCCGCAGTTCAACTGAAAATTTCGAGACAAAGTCCCCAAGAGCTGGTAGCATTCCTTTGTCTAGTCTAAATTTAATTTCACTCACTAAACTGCTCAAAAAAACGCTACTGCTAGTGAGAAATACGGAATTGATGAGTAGCTTCATTGTGTACTATCCGCTTTTGTGGCTAGTGGCCCTTTTCTGTAGATGTGATTGGCTGGAACATTTCAAGACAACTTCGGGGGATGCAGTGGACGTTGGTTGTGCCTTTCTTTGTGGTTTATTTTTCCTTCCTTAAACTGTATCCTCCTATCCAACCTGTCACTGGGGGATGGGGGGGCAACACGGCTCACAATGTCAATTTTTTTTGTTTGTTTTTTGTTAGGGTGGTTGGGATCGAGTTGGTTTATGTGCTATTAAGTTATAAAAAGCACAAATAGAATTGATAAATAAAATTGTTAAACACAATTTGCTGAATTGTTTTACATTTTTATTTTTTCATGTATTAATAGTGGCCTCTTTATTAGATATGTGGAATCAAAAACAAACAGCTCTGCCATAAATCTGCAAATGAAGACGTAGTCCCGTTTTGCTTTAGAAGAGAAATGCTAACCAAAACTATATAGAGCTCCCACCTCAATATTAAACATTTAAGTTCATGGCAGTTCTAGACATTAGATTGTGCTTTAAATGTGTACCTTGTTAAGTGACCACTGTGTAGATGTGAACTCAAACACACAACCAATGACGGCCTCCTTTTTTTCTACTGACTTTACTTACTAGTAAATGTGCTTGTAGAATGTGAGTAAACCACTTATCGCGTATGGCATGTCGGGATATTCGGTAATTATTCTTGTGCTACTTGAGTTACCTGCTTATTTGGTGAAAGTAGAGCTAAACTAAGATTTAACTTCCAGGCTAATGAGCAAAGCCCAGATATTACAGTATGTGGGTTAATTGATAATTAGGTGCAAGTTTCACAAGACCACTTGTTCACAGAATGATCATTTAGAACTTCTTGGGCCCAAATTTACCTTTATTGTTCATGTAACTTATTTTTTAATTAAATACATTTCCAAGGCCCAGTAACGGCTTTTTGTTGACTTGAGTGGTGTGCTGTTTTTTTTTCTTCAGCCCGTGCTGGTGCAATGGGTGTTATCGCTGGTGCAATGGGTGCTTCAGCCCGTGCTGGTGCAATGGGTGTTATCGCACGTTATAGTTCCCCACGGTTTAATAATTTTCACAAATGTCAAAGTTGCGTATGTACAGTAACGCTTGTGTCCCCGCGTGCGGGTCTTCACGTCTCACGGACACCTTTGTTCTTGTAGACGATCCGGAGTGTAACACCCCCCCCAGTGGCTCGTACAGTATGAGAACCCTCTACACGCGCACAGGGGGTGGGGGTGTCTTTATTTGTGGTCGGGTGGGGGAGGGGTTTCCCAAACCGACCAGGCAGGAAGAGACCTGCACGTTAAATGTCCCCCCGATGCCGGGACTCTTAACTTACCGCTCCGACAGCCATTACCACGAGACCCTCGTTTCAGACAAGACGCAGGTCGAATAAACCCCCTTGGAGAAAACATTTTTCAACAAAACAAACGCCCCCCCCCCCCCCTCAAGAAAACCAGGGTCAAAGTTCACAGGAAGCTGGGGGGCTGCCATTTTTTTCCCTGCTACTGCTAACGTTTAACGGTAGATGCTAAAGCGACGGGGAGGGGCGGTTGGTTTTGGGATTTTTTTCTAGCTAGCTGCCACCAACGGGTCGAAAAAAAGCGTCGTTTCTCCGACCTGTCGTCGCTAACAACCGTTGTTGTTGGATGCATTCGGCATGGAGAAGGTAGCGGAGCCGTCTTGGACTTCTTCGTACACCTACCAGGTGAGCAAGCACAGTGCGGAGATGCTACACAACCTGAACATTCAGAGGAAAGATGGAGGCAGGTTCTGCGATGTGATCTTGCGCGTCGGCGAGGAGAGCTTCCCCGCGCACAAAGCCGTGCTGGCCGCCTGCAGCGAGTATTTCGAGTCGGTCTTCAGCCGACAGGCGGAGGTCGACGGGGACAGCAGGGAGCTGGAGATGCACACCATCAGCCCCAAAGTTTTTAAAGACGTCTTGGACTTCGCCTACACCTCCAGGATCGTGGTGCGGCTGGAGTGCTTCCCCGAGTTGATGACAGCTGCCAAGTTTCTGCTGATGCGCTCGGTCATCGAGATCTGCCAGGAGGTCATCAAGCAGTCCAACGTGCAGATACTCGTCCCGACGCTGCGCGGTGGAGACGCCAGCCTTTTCCAGGCCGCGGGGGCCACGGAGCTGGGTTTCCCGGTGGCGCAGCAGGACGCCGTGAACGGAACGGGGATGCTGGTGAACGGGCAGAGCTTCGCCAACGGCGCACAGACGCACTTGGACGGCAGCGGAAACCCCGCCGCCGGGGTCGTGTTGTTGGAGGGCGGCGGCGGCGGGGACTCGTCGATGCCCGTTCTGGAGCCCGTCGATGGACTGTGCGCCGTCCCGTCCACGGACACGTTCCAGCACGACGCCAGCAAACGCAACCGGGGGAGACCCAAGAAAGCCGGCGGCGTTTCGGAGGTCGTGCACTTGCACAACAGCGTGCCGAAGGACATCGTGCTGTTTCCTTGCGGGACTTGCGGTAAAGCTTTCACGGAGGCGTCGCGGTTGAAGAACCACGAGGCGCAGCACGGCGCCCACGGCGGCGGCGACAGCCACAACGTAAACAGCGTGGCGGACAGCCTGTCGGCCGCGGGCATTTCCCTGATGGCGCACTCCGGTCTGATGGAGAACGGGCTGCTGCTCCACGGCGGGCTGACGCTGGACAACGTGCGCAAACGGGAGAGGACCAGGCGGCACGTCGGCTGTGACATTTGCGGTAAAGTTTTCCGCGACGTGTACCACCTGAACCGACACAAGCTCTCCCACTCCGGGGAGAAGCCGTACGCGTGTCACGTGTGCGGGCTCCGGTTCAAGCGCAAGGACAGGATGTCGTACCACGTGCGTTCCCACGACGGCTCGGTCGGCAAACCGTACGTGTGCCAAAGCTGCGGGAAAGGCTTTTCGCGGTGAGTTGAGATGTGTTTTTGAAAAGGAGGGAGGGGGGGGGGGGGGGGGGCGCTGCTGCTGCTGCTGCTGCTGCTGCTGCTGCTTCTAACAGGCGCAGCTACTTGTGTACCTGAGACGCAGGTAGAGGGAGTCGTTCAGCTACAGACAGCGACACAAGGGAGCGGGTTTGGTTCAGCTCTTTTGTGCAGAAAGCTGTCAGTCAGTGTTTGAGATGCACGGACACACGAAGCACCCGAAAGTAGTACATTAGTCAGGCTTTATCTACTGTGAGCCAAGAGTGTGGGAGAGAGAGAAGCGTTGTCCTGCACAAACCTATGGAGAAAAAAAAAGCTGCTGAACTGTTACTTAAGTGACTTGTCATCTGAGCCCGTTGACTTCAGCCCCTCACACCAGTTTCCCAGGCTGCGTGCTGTCAGGCTGCAGACTCACTGTCGCCATCTACTGCTCTGGAGGGTAAAATACATGCATGTAAATATGTCACAGGTACTTACAGGGGAATTGCTAAAAAATATATATTTTTAAATGCTACGGGAGATTGTGAACGTTTTTTTGCAACCTTTATGGTGACTAGATTCGTACTGCACAAATTAAGAGGACAAATGGTTATTTATTTATTTTTCTCAACAGACCCGACCACCTGAATGGACATATCAAACAGGTTCACACAACAGAGAGACCCCACAAGTGCCAGGTAACTCTAAATACATGCATATGTACATACATACATCAGCATCTCAGGGCGTCTTCGTGACATGTGAGAAAAGTTTAAAGACTGTTTGTTTCTGTATTTCAGATTTGCAATGCCTCGTTTGCTACAAGAGATCGCCTCCGTTCACATCTTGCATGCCATGAAGACAAAATCCCCTGCAAGGTCTGTGGCAAGTTTCTGCGGGCCGCCTACATGACGGACCACCTCAAGAAGCACAGCGAAGGGACGCACAACTACTGTGGCATTTGTAACAAAGGTAGTTATTTAAAATACATCAGCATGCACCACTCTCTTACAGGTTCGCCTGCTAATTCGTACTGCGCCTGAAACGCCGCCATCTCTTGTCCTAATATTCCGTTGGACTGGAAGTCGTCAACATTCGGAGAAAAATAACAGCCCTAATCCGCTTTTTGTATCGGGCTGACGATGTTGTGTTCCAATAGAAATAAAGCATGTCTGTCTGGAGTCATGCTATTGCAATTAATACACTTTTACTCCACATAGTTCTGTACTGCTCTGAAGGAAGTCTGTCATAAGTGTGCCATGACAGTAAAAGCCGAACCATAAGCTCTAGTTAAGTTTATCCGTGATCGATTTGTCTATTCAAATATGTATACATAGGATGTAAAATACATCCTAGCACGAAAGACAGAACCTGAAATGGAAAGTAGTATTTCTTTTTTGCCACCGGAGGAAGCATAAAGACCCCTGGCCGTTCCAAAAGTGTTGTCCGGGGTTTCTGTTGCACCTTTAGACGGCCTTACACTTTAATGGTGTCTATGAAAGTCTGTTCTTTGAGGATACGTTGCATACGTCGCAACACAATATTTTTAATTATCAATTTGTTTCCAGTCTGTGTCTGTAGACAAGCTGACATGAACATACCAAATGTGGAAACATTTGTGTGACGGTCGGCACCTACTTTGTACATTGAGTCTGGGTGCTACATGCTGAAAAGGCTTTTTCAGGCTTCTTCTTTTTGTGCTCGTAGATCATGCACACTAGAGTGCAATACCCTTTGCTTGTGGCCACTACTCCAAAAATTAACAAAACCTTTGTAATAATAATGGATGAAAGTGGATTAAAAAAAACATCAGAAGTCAATTAAATTCAAGACGGGAGAAAAGGTGAGGTAAAAATAAATCGATCAGTGGCTGGTGAAATATAGCGTGCTTATTTAGCTGCTGATGCACCAGTAAACCATCAAGGAGTCGAACAAGAATAAAAGTGTTGTGATAATTTTAAGAATATCTCAATACTGAGAGAATTAAACTCCCCCCTAAATTTATCATCATCGTCCAACTGGCTACTGACTGATCATCAAGCCCCCGACCTCTCCTCTCATAGTCAAGGCCTCGAGTCTGTCAAACAACTGCCTTGTTCTTGTCTTGTCCTTCTGGTCCCAGGTTTCTCCACTGCGTCCTACCTTAAGGTGCACATAAAGACGCACCACGGCTCCCCGCTCCCCCCCTCTGCCACAATGCACAGCTTCCCCGAGCCGAGGGGGGAGCTGCAGATGCACAACGGCGCCTCTTACCACATGGGACGCCAGTGCTCAGTGGAAGGCAAGCAGCCGCCCGCCCCCACCCCAAACTCATGTTTCTGGCTTTCGTTTGCTCTGCTGCTATTTGCAGAAACATGCTGCTGCATCGTTTGTCTGTGTTCAAAACGCAAGCACGCGTTCACTGCTGCTGCCGAGCTTTGCGCTCAAACAGTCTGTGCAATTTCATGTGCCGGTTGTCTTTCTCCTCGTTACCATGTCTTTTCATCCGGGGGGGGGGGGGGGTACAGAACCACAGTTTGAAGTTTCCCACACCCCCTATAAGGGTTAGGGTCGCTCAACTCGTGTCAAAGGTTAGAGTTGCTAATTGGCTGTATATAACAAGCAGGGCCTATCTTACCATAGAAAGTCACCTTGATAGTTATGTATTTTAGAATCAGAATACCGCTACTATCTGCACCTCTGTCACTAAAACACTACATTGCACAAAACGTGGCCCATTACGAGACTGGAAATTGGTACGAACATTTCAAGTACCTATCGTCACATTCACATAATTGAAGATGAAGAAGTTGCCTGGACCGCATGGTGGGCGATTCTCTTCCACATTACCACGTATGATACGCGGAGTGCTGCTACGTCACTTTTTGATGTGTGTGTCTGTCCAGCATGGCCATGGCATCGTATGGTGTACGTCTCTGCTTGGCCGCTCCATCAATGCACCGCGTTGCATGAGTGTCCCGACGTGTGCTCCCTTCGCCCAGGATTACTGCAAATGTGGTAGAACCAGTTGCATAGAGACAGTGCACATCAAACTGTGAGCCACAATTCACGTTAGGGGGGAGCCGTAATTATGTAAATTACGGCTGAATGTGGAACATTTGAAAAATGTGGTGGTGTCAAAGTTATTGATTATCATGAGAGCTGATTGAAACCATTAGCTACTGTGGTATAATGTTTCAATCAAAAAGTTTGTTGGTAATATATTTACCTTCTGGCCCGGCAGGCAAAAAGGCAAGTTGTGCCTTGAGGAGCGAATTAGGAGTTGGCAGTTTCCGTTTTAATCCAGGACGTTAAAATTAATGTTGGCTACCGTAGTGTTTTATCAGCAGGTTTGAGACGAGAGACGCCACCAATCGATTTTCCTTCATTAGATGTCAGAATATTCGTTATATTGTTCATGTGGCTCCTTTTGGGAAGCATCATTTCTTCTGCTAGCTCAGGTTATTTTGCTTGGCAAGAATTGTCATCTTCCTCAGATGGTTCATTTTGCAGAATAGCATTGTTGAAGTTGTGAGAGAACTAGTGGACCTTTATGATTGATTGTTGAGCCATTCTCTAGTGATCCTCCCATGAGTGTCACTACATAAACAGACCCCTGTTGCAGTAGTTTAAAAGGGTTTCCTTCACTGTGCTAACTGACTAGCTGATATCTGTCAGGTGACCATGTGCTGCTCAGGACAACAAGGTCCAGTAAAGCTAAAGGCTGTGGAATGTAAATACAAGTGGACTAAACTCTGCTTGATATTAGTTGAGCTGAGAACTTGGAAGTAGAGTTTGCAATCATCAATTTTAAAGATCCTGTTGAGGGATGAAACCCATCAGATAAATTTAGAAGCTGAAAACCTGATTCATCTTTGAAAATGGCCACGTCCTGAAGTGTGTACTGTCACTATTATTATCAAGTCTTCATTAAGTGTCATTTCAACATATGTGATTATACACAGTACGGGCTTTTCTCACCGGAATATTCTGTCTTAATGTCACAACAGACATTTAAACACCACACGTCACGAGATCCGCTGTGAGAAAGGTGTACACTGAGATGGATGATTTTGTATGTAGATTGTTGATAATATTGAAGATGAATGTATTTTGACAAATATCACTTGTTGTACTCCATTATTTCAGTAACCATTTATGTTGCGCGTCACTGTTCAGTGTCTGTTCAGGGATTCTGTGTTTACCGGAAGGCAAAAGAGGTTAACTGATTGATGATTGACTCGCTGACAGCTTTAGCGACGGCGCTCACTCAGCGTGGATCCATTTAAACGGGCTGAACTCTATTTTGCTTTTGTTTTACAAAAAGCACTTCAAGTTCTGTTGATGAAATGTAGGTAATTCTATCCGTATCGTTTCCGCCGGCCTGTTGTGTCTGCCCCCCCCCCCTTCCTTTCTCCCTGGCCGGGTGTCGTGTAGACCTGTGCGCCAGTCGCCAGCTGCGCCTCACCTCGTCTGAGGGAGGGGGTCGCTTTCATGGACACCCAGTTCTTACCCAGCCTGGCCCTCCAGCCTCGGGCCGCCAGCCCGAGCTGCTCGTGGGGAAGGCAGGTGGGGCTCCGTATTTCTGGGATTGTCGCTCTGGCGGGGCGCCTGGCTTCCCCGTCCATGGGCCTGCCGCAGGTCAGTATAGTCCAGCAGCAGGGGGGGGGGGGCATGAATTGCCGCAGAACGGTCAGTGGACACTGGGACTGAGATGGATGAGTGTTTAGTGTGATGCTCTAGCAAATCTTCTCTTTTTACTTTTATTAATTGCCACGATTTGTTCTACTTTTGTAGTTTGGTGACATTTCACTAAAGAGTGTTTTATTTTTTTAAACCAACTTTTAAAACCTTTTTTATAAGTAATTTTTCCTAATCCATGCTTACCCTTCCTCCCACCTCCCCCTTTGTTTCGCCCCCTGTCTCCCCCTCTTCTCTCCTATCCATGCGGTGCTTCCCACAGACGGGCAGGAAAACAGCGAGAAATGTCCTCATCTGGAATCAGACGAATCGGATCCTTCATTTGGGGAACTGTCCAACGGGGACGAGCTTAAGTCTCCGCAGAAACCCGACGAGCCGGAGCTGGAGATGCCCTCCTTGGCCTGCAACGGAGCCTCCGCTGAGGCCTTGGGCTCCCCGGAGCGATCTAAAGCCAGGGCGGATCCCGAGAAGAAGTTTACCTGTGGCACCTGCGGTCAGGCCTTTCGCACCAAGTCCTACCTCAACAAGCACCAGCACAGAGTCCACAAAGCCCAGAAGGCCCAGGGGGGGTCAGCGTCGGGCTCAAATGAGCTGTCTCCGTTCTCCCCGCAACAGAACATGTCCCTTCTCGAGTCTTTTGGCTTTCAGATAGTCCAGTCGGCGTTTGCGTCTTCACTGGTGGATGCTGAGGCCGGTCAAAGTGGAATAGACTTTGGAGGGAAGTGACATGCTTGCTAAAGTTCCTCTCCCCTTATTTGTAGGACAAAGCTGGGTCGTCCACAGAGGACGCTCTGTATTTGGGACTTTTTCTGTTTGTTACGTGACTCAATGTGTTTCCAATGTTTTGGCCGCAGACTGCCAGACGATTCCTACCTTTTCTACTTTTTCAGAGCATCAAAAGTGAGTGCACAGTGTTTAAATGTTCTTTCTAAAGAAACGACATGAAGGTTTAATTTCTCTTTATCTGTGGATCTGTTGAAGTTATGTTTGATATTCTTTCATTTGTTTTTGGCTTGTGTGTTCTTTTGAGCTTTCTTAGCTGCACAAATGTTTCTTGACAGCATCTTTTTTTAAAGAAATTCACTTGTCTGTTCGCCCGCTGTATTTGATGTACCCGGTGAATCGGCTCTTTTCTTCGGCTGTTTCAATGAACTTAATGCGCCACAATCCTTCGCTTAAGCTGGAAACTGTCTTTAACTCAGAGCAGCAAGAGGGTTGAATTCTGTACTCGTGTTGTTCTCTGCTTTCTTTTAAGATGGATTTTGTTTTGTCCACAGTTTTAATAGCAGGTTTTTTGAGACGCATTCCTAACAGGCCCACGGCATCATTCATGACTCATCTGGCACCTTGAAAGCCGTAAAAGACAATTTTATTATATTGTGAAGAAAATAACGGTATAGTGCTTGGTGGATTAACTAAATTACCCCAAGTTCATTAGATATTTATTATCATTGTTTGTAATGATTTATTATTTTATCACCATCTAGCTTAGCGGTTGTGAACTGATGTATAAGCTGGAGGGGTTTATTTAGATTCATTTGCATGGGAAAAGTTCTCAATCGTTGTTTGATTTGATTATCTGTACAAAAAAAGAACTATGCAGAGAAGAACCGTTATCACTAAGATGAAACCTGCCTTGAGCTTGTTAGGAATGAGAATCCCCCCCATGACAATGTTTGCAAGCCTTGTTTGTTTGGTTCTAAATAAACTGTACATTCAACAGGGACCAAGGTAAGGTATATATTTTAAAAAATGTAGATTATATATTTTATTAACTTATTCATGCCCTCAGTTTTGTGTACTTAAAAAAAAAAAAAAAAGGATTGTCAAACAAAAAACTTGTGATTTTTCTTGTTTGGATCTTTTTTTAACTAAATTATGATGAATTGATATGTTCCTCTGTGTGTGTTGTGCAAAGGTTTGGGCGGGGGGGGGTAAATGAAGGGGTCAAACCCTGACCCACCAGCCTCTGGACCTACTAATGCTTCTTTTAAAGACTCAAATAATGCAGCTCAATTTATTTCCCTGGTGTTGTTTCCTCTTCATCCACCGCACTTCTTGTATTGCTCACAAACCTCCTGTCCGATTCGCTTGTGCTGGTAGACGACGTGTCTTATGTTTGCACTAATCGCTATCCATCCCATAAAATGTGTTTGTCCAAAATGTTGAACCAAGGCATTCCTGTGAGGATGACCGAATACATCAGGTGGCTCCTCAAATCAATCCGGGGGGGCTCATCCACTTTTCTGCATTTGCTTCCTTTGATATTCAGCTCCATTTTTCACATCGTAATGAAAACATTTTACACGGCAAAACGATTCTTGCATCTTCAATGAGTGGACAGGATGTTACTTATTAGGAAACGTGTGAAGATCAAATCCCCAGCTGCTAGAATTCATTTGGTTTTGGTTAAAAAGATTTAAAAAAATACAATATAGATAACAAACATCCCCGTAGTCTTGTATATACCCAAATACAAAGTTATAACAAACTAAAATAATTCCAAAATTAAAATGTAATCATCTTGTATCTTATTGACCTCACACATATTTTGATTACCATCTTCTCCATCGTTTTTTTCCTTCCCCTCATCAATGATCAAACCGTGTGAGTGTGTTTCCTGCTCTGTTTATTTGTGTTTAATTTAGGCGGTTCAATTCAGTACATTCCTTTATTTATGATTATGTTGTGATTGTAACGAGTGTACATACCATTTGCAGTCTATAAATATATATACATACATATATATATATATATATATATATATATATATGAACCAACCAATATGATCAGTGTGTGTCATGGGTGGTCCTGTACATATATACATTGCTTTTGTCGAGGGATGTTAAGTTATGGCCGTTTGAATGAAAGTGTAAACGGGGCGTTCTGGCCTGCGAGCTGAGCCGGGGGCCGAATGTCCCTCACTGGTTGGGGGCAATAATGGTTCCACTGTCGCTCTGCTCTGGCAGCGCTCTCACTGCCAGCTGCAAAACTCACATCTTGACCAAGTTCCCTTTTTTTTTTTCATTCCCTTTTTTTGATCCACTCTGCACTAGTATTTACTCCTTAAAAGTGATAAGGCTTATTTTTGTTATTGTTTATTTCAAAACAAGTGGAAGATGCCGTAAGGAAGTAATGTTCCTTTGTTTGGTTTTGTTTCACTCGTGTTGGTACTCAAGTGTAAAAGTTGTTTTTGTTGAGTATTTAGGCCCCAATGTGTTTTCTTTCTGCTTTTGGTCCGTTGCAAAGTGCCTTCCAAATACTGATTGTGCACAGCAGTGGATTAAAAAAGGTCCTCTTTTCTAAAGGGTTAGAATTGTACAGAGTGACTTGCATTGACACTTTTGTATAAAAAAAAAAACACACAGAAAATGTACAATATGTTACCTTGGTATTTTCTCATCATACTCAACAAAATTGCTGATGAGCTACATGTTTTGTTATAACGTCTTTGGACATATTTCAATATAAGCATACTTTTCTATAGATATTTGTTTTTGTACTCTGTCATTGAGTCTCACCATTGTTGTTTGTACAGAGATGAGAATCAAATAAATTGCAATTGAAAAAGCTCCCAGCTCGTGATTGTATTGTGTACGGTTTAAATGACTAACAATAGTGTGCAGTGAAACTGACTGATTAAGTGTCATCTGAAGTGTACGAGATGTAAAGTATGAGCCGGGGAGGAGAGAATGTTTACTTTTGTCTTTTTTTTCTATTAAAGAAAAGAATCTTAAGGACCTCAGAAGCTTCTCTTCCCTTACGGGACGTTTATTTGGAAATACACAAATGCTAACACAGTGCAAAGACAGGTTGTTTTTTTTTATCACCGTCCAAAATAAATCTAATTACATCCTTCTTGTTTTTGATCAGGTTTGTTTCACGTTTGGTCAGAGGGATTTTTTTGAAGTTTAATTGTCCACCTAAGAAAGCAGGGGAGTGTATTAAAGCTACCATTCATTCATTCATTCAACTTCGATCGGGTCACAAGTTGTTAAAGCAAACAACTAGAGAACTGTTTCTACCACGTTTTAAGAAGATAAAAAAATTGACAGTTTCCAGATACAGTAGGAAAATGATAAATAAACTATAAAAAAAACATGTTAAAATGTGGTTGCAAGATCAACATCAGTCCTTTCTAACTCAACGGCCCGGTTCTTGAAATTCAGTTTGTTGAAGTCCTCCGTGATCTCGATCATGGTCTTTCCTTTGGTCTCAGGGACAAAAGTTATCAGAAATGCTGCACTCAAAAACGTGTACGCCACAAAAATCAGGAAGCAGAACTGACCGAGTCCATTCTGCAAAGAGACACGTAACAACCGAGGGTTAGATCAAAGGTTAAAGAGAAACAAAACCAATGGAATATTTTAAATAAGATGATACAGAGCAACTTTTCTCACCACAATATAGCCGAACAACATCGCCACGAGGAACATGCAAAGCCAGTTGACAGTCCCACTGATCACGTAAGCAGAAGGACGCCAGGCTTGTAGGAAGAGGTCGGCAGGAAGAGCCATAGACACTCCAGCTTTAATAAGGAAACAGGAATATGAATAATAATTATGATATATGTATTTGTGGATATGAAATAATTTCCTTTTGGGGCACAAGCAAACAAAAACTCACAAGGTCCAAGTCCATAAATGCAGATGACGCAAAAGATCAGGCCGATGTTCACATAAGGGAGCCATGAATTTAGATGCTGAATGAGAAGAGAAGAATGTACAATCGTATATCTGTGGTGTTGTCTTCCAGGGCTTAGTAGGGTGGTGTATTTGAGTGCATATACCTTGATGGATAGCGTGACAGTAAGTGCACACATGGTGACACCCATCAGTAAATAGCCATAGCCCATCAGCTTCTTTCTGCCAGCACGATCTATCAGGAAGGACTGAAACAGAGATGTCAAATAAAATATTTATATTATATATTTGTTATCATGCAGGACTACACATAACTAACTATATGTGTTTTATTGTTTAAAAATGTTAATTAAATTTTTCCAGCCTATGTACCAAAAAAGTACGCCAGAGTACTGGAAAGAAATCATAATAAATAAAAAATAAATAAAAAGCACAGAAAAAATTCCCCAAATCCCAGAAATCCACCAATCAGATCAGGCTACAACAGTTCTCATTAGCTCGTGTTTTGCGCTGCTTTGGTTTCTTCTTTCTGGCGTGTCAGTTCATCATACAGCTCCATGCTACTATGAACCGATACTTACACACAGTGTTACAGTGATGAGCTCTGTGGCACCGAGACCAATGGACAAGTAATGCATCTGATCTTCCGGCACTCCAGACTCACGGAAGATGTCGAAGGCGTAAAAATAAAGCTGGATGACAGAGTTAAATATTTTAATCCATTGAACTATATGACGCCGAAAATTAAATATGTTGTGTTTAAAAATTACTCAGTTGCTATTTTACGTTAGTAATAATTTATTAGGGGGAAAGCTGAGATGAACGTACCGCGTTGATGCCACAGAGTTGAACTCCAGCACAGGGTATGACGAGAGTCAGTAGCTGCCATCTCACACAACGAGAGCTCAGAACATCCCTCACAGTCTTTGCCTTCTCTCCCAGTGTGCTGTCTCTCTCTTTCTGCATGTCATCCAGCTCCAACTTGAGGTTATCCTCCTGCCACAGCCACTGCAAGGCTTTTTACATGCAAAATGCACACGTATCATACACAAGGTTCATGGTTCTTTAACCTCTGTGCTTAACCTGAAGCGCTACTTAACACAATTATGAAGCGTAAAACAGAATGGGGCAAATCATTTGTAGCTTGATGAGATTTATGATACAAAGTGCCGGAAGAAGAAACCATTATTAGAGACCAGAGGTTTTTTTTTTCACAGTAAGGTAAGTTAAGGACACATTGTGTCTAAACTTGCAATAATGACTTTTCAAATGGCATGATAGGGTGGATGAGGAGATACAAGGTCTGCTGTGTCCTCTCACCTTTTTTGCTACCTTCAGAGTCTCCTTTGTCGATGTAAAGGTATCGAGGTGTCTCGGGGAAGAAAAGCAGAGCCACAAACTGCAGTATTGCAGGAATACCACTGATTGCTAAGAGGTATGGCCACATGTCTTCTGTTCCCATCAGCTCCCTAAACAGAGTGGAAAACAAATTGAATCTGATATAGGAGCAAATTTGCACTTATTATACAGTAACTAAGTTACCTGCCAACCTGCCAACCTGCCTAATTAGTGAGATCAAATATGACATGTTATTGAACTTAAGTTGGAAATGACAAAGGTATTTGATGGGGTATTTTTCTGATGAGTTTGTCTTGGCTTTTTCTTGTTATAATTACTAAAGTTCATACTAGAAAAAGTCAAGTCTTACTTGATGCCAATTATTTGACCCATGACTTTTCCAAATCCAACAAAGATGGAGCCTGTGAGAGTCATGACACCTCTGAGTTTCTTTGGAGAGCACTCCCCGAGGTACATGAGGTGCACACTCAAGCCCAGACCTGTGGGGAAAAAACAGATGAAGACCATTTAGAATAAGAACTTGAGAAAAACTATTTAAAAAAAACATATTTTCACTTCACATTGTAGAACATACCAACATTGTATCCATACAGAAATCTCCCCAGCAAGATCATCTCAAAAGATTGGGCCATGCGACTGAAGAGCATGAGGAGAGCAGCGACGACAGCCACAACATTGTTGAACAAGAGGGCTTTTTTCCTGCAAAAGGAAAAGAAACACCAAATATTTGCACTTCTGTACCACTTGTTGATGCAACATCTGCTTTCTAGTGAAACTGTCATTCAGGAAATGCACAAGTTTGTACTTTCCAGCCATGCTTCAGATAAGAAGATTGACAACGCTCGCTCCCCGCCACTAGCCACAAGTTAGCTTAGCGTAGCACAAACGCTGGAAATGGAGGTAAACTGCCAACCTGGCTCCGTCCCAAAGGTGACCCTCCCACACCCTGCCTCCCCTTCTGGAGCTAAAAGCAAACTACTTCCACGAGGGTCGTGTGCCAGGCTGTTTCTTGGCCAGAAAGGCCTTTTTGGGTTATAGGGTGAGGTGTCTCACCTGCCGTAGGTGACAGGAAGGCTGCCGCTGTGAATGGCCCCGGCCCAAGCTCCAAGACTCAGCACAGCCACCATGAAGGACCAAATGAGCTGGTTTGTAGAGTCATCCACCGGGCTTCCGTACCTCAACAGCCACGTCTGGTTCACAAAACTCTGAATATGCTGCGCAAAGGTCACAGAGGTCAGATAAATTAGCTATCACGGTGCAAAATGCATGCATGGATCATTTTTCAGGAAGTTCTCTGACTCTCTGACTTTTGTTCCTTCAAGACTGTTACACAATGTTTTACAACTCATCATTGTCCTGCAGCCTTGTGACCCCGTTCTCAAAACAGTCTCATTTCTAAATTACAATCACTTATCAGCGAAACAAAACAACACACTTCAGGCACTATGTGGTTACAATAAAATAGCAATTTGACAGGATCCCAATAGAACGTAATATTGACCATGTTAAACGATCTACTCAGCAGATGGCTCATTCTGGAGGGGAAGAAAACAGGATCTGATACTTTTATCTACACTGACTGTGTGCAGACACCACTAAAAATAATGAAGAAGAGAAACAAAGTGTGTAAAGGGAGAGGCTTGCATTTCGGTTCACACAGCAAAACTTATATCTACATGCATCCTTTGCTTTCAACTAATAGAAATCTCACCACTGCCGGAGAAGCGATGACAGAAACTTGAATCCCATACTGGAAGGACCCTCCAATTCCCAACACCAGCGACAGCAGATAAAGCCTCCAGTGCTGCAGCTGAAATGTTAAGTGGACATTGTATAAACAGCAGAAACCTTTTTCTTTTTCAAACCAAACATGTTTCCTCTCAGGTCGAATTCTGTGGCTCTGATGAGTTTTATTTCCCTGCCCACCAGAGACATAAACACAGCTCTAGAATTATATAGAATTATAAGGTAAGATGACAATTGAATCAAAATAAACAAACACAGCATCAGAATATATATATTTTTTAAATCTCTTTTACAGGTACTTTGACTTAAGTGAAATGTTTACAGCAGGACATTTACTTGTAGTGTAGTTGTAGTTTTATTTTTAAGTTAAAAATAATACATCTAGCACTGCATATATTACCTTACTGAAATGTGTTTCTTACTAATTGACTTTCTAGTATTTAAAAAATACTGTGAATCACAAGTAATGACAACCTTTTTTCTTGTAACAAAGTTTTCCTACCTTTCTTGATTCCATTTTTTTGTGCTTGCTCTTCAGATGCTGAGGAAGCAGGACTGGACAACTTTATTTAAAGGGTGCCGAAGTTACACAGCAGGGTTGTCCATTTGTGTTGTTGGGAAATCATAATGTTCATGACGCGTTTCAAAGGGATGACTAAACTCTACACTAGATTCAACCTGGTCTGTCTGGTTTTGTCTTGTGATTATTATGAGAAAGGGGGGCAGGAAAGTTAAACATTGCTGGGAGGAAGTCTTGAACCCCCCCCAAACATTCGTTTTGGACTATAAGTATGTGAGATTATGAGAGGAAAAGGCAGTTACATGCAGATCACCTGTGTGGATAAGACGATTACTCGCAGCATAATAAAAAGTGTGTTCAGTTCATACAACCTTGCTTTATACTTTATTACATATTTAAATATAGAACAGTCATATATAGAAAAAACACATCCAGTGATTTTAGATATGAAGATCAACGTATTCATTGAGGGAAGTATAAATCATCCTGTTGAGAAGGTTGCATAATGTCCCCCCTTGCTCTGGAGGAGCTTTGACAAACATGGGAAAATAATGAACATTTTATTTTATAACACCTTTCAAGGGTGCTTCACCACACAATGAAGGTGCATTATAAAACCAAAAATATACATTAAACATCAGAAAAAGTCCTTAAATATGCATTGATTTTCAATAGTGGTCAAACATAAAGATAGAAAAAACAATATATATATATATATATTTTTTTTTTTTTTAAATATATATATACATTACAATGGCCAACTGAACAGAACGTTTTTTAAACACTTTTTAAAATGTGACACTGATTCGGCTGATCTGATACTGAGGAGTTTGGAGCTCGAATGGCCAAAGCATCATCCCTCTCTACATTAACCTCTGAGAGGTCTTGGAGCAGCTTGAGCAGATGTCGAGCATTTGTGACAATCTTTTCACTGCTGTGGGCCGGAAAACAACCCTTATTAAGTCATTATGACATCATCATAGTTAGCGCAGCCCTGTCAGATTACTTTCCCTAATGTAAGACTATATAATATTTCGATGTGTGATGGGGAAGAGGAGCATGTGGTCTCACCAAAACCAACAGTAAGGACAAATACATTTCTTTCACACTATTGACTATTGACAAATTTTATTGACTTATTATTAGTGTGTAGAAGGCACCTTTTGATGGTCACATAAAAAAATCCAACACGAAGGGGGGTTTTCATACAAGGCATTTATTGGCCCAGAGTTAGATCATTAAAACAAAAACATCAGTATTCAACACAAAAAATTGCACTCATTCCAGCAATAAAAAACTATAGATTTCAGGCATTGCCAAACATACAAATACTCAACATGAAACCTTTTCTTATGATTGAGGGTTTCCCACTAATGCATGCGGTTTATATTCGGTAAGGTGCTCATTTATATTACTTTCCATGATCTATGATTTGGTTCACCACCTGCCTCTCAGCAAAGACGTCAGTACTCTGTAAGTCATTGAACTGTAAGGTCTGCTGTTCCGTTTCCTCTGACCGTTGACCCCAAAATGAGTGGGAAAAGCAAGGACCTGCTGATGTGTTTTCAGAAGGAGTATATCACTGATCTTCTGCCATTATACAGTAGTTTTAGTTAATTTGGTCTCATGTCTATCAGTGACAAAAAGCAGCAAAACATAAGTGCAATAAGTGCATGACAAAATTCTCTCGATTCTCTCGAAGAAAAAAAAAATCAAAGGGGTGAAAATAGAGTCAAGCCACTTTCTGTGATGTGAAACCTCCGTTCACCACGTCTTCCCGCTCAAGCAGATCTGGTCACGTTGAGGCCTTTAGTGAAAGTGTCTCCTTGTGTCTTTCGACAGGAAGAGTCTGTCTACAAGGCCGTGGAAAGACTGACTTCACCCAGCTGATACAGAGGTTTATCTGGCGACACACACTTTTCCTCCTGGCCTTTGAAGTTGAGCTTGTTGAATTCACTTGTGATGGCTGACAACGACTTCCCCTTGGTCTCTGGCAGAAAGAAGCCGACAAACAACGCCGACAGCAGGCAGACTGCTCCGAAAGGCACAAAGCAGTACTCTCTCACCTCGCTCTGTAGAGGAAAGGAAACAGAAAGCTCTGAGGCCCATGTATGAAGTTATTTAAATCACTGCACAAAATGTCTGATTGTTTGCTTTAATATCAACCGACTCCAGGCCCGCATATGTGTTTTCTATTTTTCTTAAATACGCAGATTTACAGAATTGGAATGAATGAACTGAAAGCATAGTCCTCAAATTCCATATCCAGGACAGTTCAGTGGGGTCAGAGATAAAGCCGTGACCATCGGGCCAAAAAGTCTCTTATTTCCTCAGTTTCAAACTGTGAACTCTGGGAGGTGCTGCAGGGTGACTTTTCATATTCAAAGGGGTCCTTCATATTCCATTCTAACATACCTGTTAGCTGGTTGACCCCTTCTCATGCTAAGTTGTTGAAAGATGTTTTATGTAAAATAAATGCACCATTAAAATGTGATATCTTTGCATGGTTTGCTGTTTATTAGCTGGCATGACAAGACGACAACTGGAGCAGTATGCACCAGTAATCCCCTGCAAGAGGAGCAAACCAGTATGTTTTGAATCTAATTTTCGTTTTTTGACTAATTGTATTATCAACGTGGTAGTTGAATGTACTCTTCGTCTTTAAATGGTTTAAGCACATTCATGCTGGCTCATTGTCGTTGCACGTTGAAGTGTTAGACTGACCACTAGAAATGGAAAGATCATCCCAATGATGAAAAGGTTGAGCCACATCATTGAGCCGGCGATCATGTAGGCTGCTGGCCGAGCAGTCTGATTGAAGATCTCTGTCGGCAAAACACCAGTCACCCCAGCTGAGAAAATACAGTAAAAAACATCCTATTGATGAGGCTTCATCGTCACGTCCTTCAAAACAAAATGGAACTGATTTTTTATCATTGCATCATGCTTTGTCATGTTGTTTTGTTTAAGACTTTTTTTTACCTAAATAAAACTTACCTGGTCCCAAACCAAAGCTGATAATGTAGGTGAAGATGCAGGTCATACTTATGTACGGCATCCAGGGTGTATAGTGCTGTTTGCAGAAAAGAAGAAAACAAACCAGATCACTTTCATGGTTTTATAGACTCGACTTCACTGTAGAAATCTCACAAAATAATCAGAATTATTAGTTTATTTGTCTTTGTTACCTTGCAATGATAAATGAAGGATTTATCTTCAGAAAAGTTAAGTATTTTGGTTATTGTGTAAGTGAATTAATTCATGATACCTCATACAACAGAGCAATTGTGAAGACAACCGCCCAGACGGTCATGAGGATGTAGCCTCCCATCAGCATGAACCGCCGACCTTTGCGCTCCACCAGCAGGTTCTGAAATACATAAACTATAGACGTCAGGCTCTGTTCTTCTATAACAGGATCACATTACACCCGAGGTGCACAAAGCCCCGGCAGCCGCCGCCGAACAAATACAAATCAGGAACTTCCTTGGAACCTCTTAAAGTCCTGGTTGCCAAGTAACCTCTGGAGACTGCCCTTTCTCAGAATTCTGTTTCTGTAATAAAAAAAGCGTGTAACTAATCCTTTAGGCTGTTTACAGTATCAATGGCATACTATTCATTCTAAGCACGAGGTCAAATTGAGTATGAGGTGTTCTCCAAACGCCAGGACGAGCAATGATGTGCAACGTCAGAGATTATGAACCGAGCTGAAAGCTGATGATGTGTCACTTGGTGAAGTTTTAATGTGCTGTCTGGAACACAGTTAAGTGATGTCGCATGGTGGCCTCGCTTAAGAATTCGCCTGTACGAACAGTCGGCTGGTAATAAATACTTATTGCTAGTTTAGTAGACAGTTTGCATTAGCATTACGTTATAGCTACTCAGGAATACTCGCATCCTATTGTACATCGTTCATGTTGTGTTTGAGTAACATCACATGTCAACTGTTACATCAAATATAAGATCTGTTGTAGATAAACTAGTACATTGAACTGTTGTTAGTACTAAGTCTCTGTTAAAGCCTTGAGAGGAATGTAAACAACAGTCTCTTTGACATCAGCCGCTTACGTAACATGTCCTCTGATAATGGATACTTACACACAATATACACGCTGATAATTCACATGTACCAGTGCCAATTGTGATGTATTGGATTCTATCATCAGCTACTCCTGCCTCTTTGAAAATGTATGATGCATAGAAGTAAATCTGAAAGAAAAAGTAAAAAAGAAAATATTACTGCTGCAGAGCATCATTAAAAGTGCTTGAATTGTTAATAAGAGGATTGAACCAGCATCTAATCAACTATGTTAATACCCTGCCCCATTCCTTCCAACCTGCCAAGCATGTGGTAAAAGCCTTGAAACTTATTTATTTAGTCACAATGTTTTAATGAGAAGGCAAAATGTTGCAGCTCTAAAAATAAGTACAGACCCATTACTCTCACATACAAAGAAAAACAATATGTTACAGTATTCTAAGCACATTTCAGCAAAGTGCTTCATCACCGATCTACATTATTAATACGATTTGCATGCATATAAAGAAAGCTACACACGACACAAGCCACTGATGGATCGTCTCAAATTTCTAATCAACCCTCTGTCGTCTCAGAGGCCGAAAGAGCATCGGATCCTGCAGCTCGGCATCCGTGACACTGATCCTCGTGGATTATGTATTAATTCGTATTGTTTTTCCCTACCGAGTCATTACCACAGAGCTGCATGGCACTGCTGATGACCATGACGGAGATGAGCTGCCAGCGCACTGAGCGATCAGTGAAAAGCTCCCAGGGTCGACGGGCCCTCATGCCTTTGGTCTCAGCCTGTTCCTGCAGCATCTCGTCCAGCTCACTGCTCTGGACCTCACAGCCTCGCAGCCGTCGCAGAGCTGACAAAGAAAGAAATGTTTGTTTTTAATTAAATGCCCTGAGCTCTCCAGCTCACTGGCTACGATGTATTGTTCTTTAGTTTTATTTCATTTAAAAGAAAGAACATTTAGTAGATGTGGGGAGATACTGAAGTAAAAGTGCATACGACAATGTAAAAATACTTTACATAACATGTAAAAGCCCTAAATAAATGTCTCATTCTTCAAATTAGAAGTGCAGATACAACAATGTGTTTGAAGCATTTTAAGGTTGGAGCTATTTTCTATTACTTCATACACACTTACTTATGGTAGTTACAAAGGGTTACAAAGAAATTTGTTGGAGGAAATGTAAAAGAACTGATTTTGCTACACAAATCGTACTTTTTTCTACTTTAAAGTGTGCCTACAGAAGTTACTTTCCACCACTGGCGCGACATATTACAGTATCCACCATCAATACAAGCCTCCTTGTCCCCCCTGTCGATCAGCAGGTATCTGGGGCTCTCGGGGAACCACGGCAGGGTCAGGAGCTGGACCAGGCCAGGAATGGCATTACTAGCAAGAAGATACTGCCAACACGACTCGCTGCCCAGAATCTCTCTGTAAATAAATAATCCAGGCTGTTATACTGTGGATGTAAATTGAGTCTACAGCAGAAATGTATGGTACGACAAATGAAAAAAGGCCGACAGTGTCCACACCTGAGTCCGACCACCTGTCCTAACACAACACCAAATGCTGTGAAAACAGCTGAAGACAAGGAGATGGCCCCTCGTAAGTCCTTTGGTGCACTTTCTCCAAAATACATGGGTTGCACATTCATGCTGATCCCTGGAAAAAACACACACATTGGCATTCTGTGAAGTTTTTCTTTCTGTTGAACATTTTTCTTATATGTGAGTGAAAACACGTCGAACGTTTAGTGACACAAATGACATACCGGCATTTATTCCCACCAGGACACGTGCGATGATGATCATCTCAAAAGACTTGGCAGCTCTACTTGTCACAGCTAAGAGTGCTCCAGTCATTAGGAAAACGTTGTTCAACAACAGGCAGTTCTTCCTTTGGGTTTGGATGAGAGGACAAGTAAATGTAGTAAATGTAGTTTGCAAGCAGGATATGTAGAATATGAATGAATATGTGTTTCTTTGAGGTTTAAAATTCATTCAAGGGTCACATGCATGTGCAGCCGTAGCAGAGGAAAAATAAATGGCCGCTCTCTGCATCTATTTATATGTGCGTCCATTTCAACAGGTCAATGATACACTCTGAGTGGGAACATTTCAATGTGTTAAAACATTAGCACACAGCAGCATGATGCAGCGTCGTATAATACCTCCCGTAGCGTATGGTCATTGGTCCCGCTATGAGGGACCCCGCAAAGCCCCCCAACGAGAAGATGGAGACGATAATTGACCAGATCAGTGTCACCTGGTAGTCCTTCAACTGGATGTCCCACCGCTCCAAGAATGTCTCATTGACAAAGGTCTGAATAAACTGTGTGAAAAGACAAGACGGTCAACCATTGCGGTTTCACTGAGATCGAGAACCGCTCAACGGTCAAAGCTGGCACTTATTACCTCAGTTCCCTTGTCTGTGTTTTGCACTTTGACTGTGTAAAAGCTTTCAGGCTCAATCTGAATATTCCAAATGATCAGAAGAAGACCGTTGAAAAAGATGTAAGTTGACGATGGAGGTTTGTGCTCTTTACTTGTGAGTGCAGCTGCTTGTCAATGAGGATGCTGCATTCAGAATTAGATTCAATGAATACTAAAATTTGTACGTGTTACAATGAGATTGACTCATAGACACAAGGATGTTAATTCTTGCTTGTGCCAACGGAGGATTTTATTTTACGCTTTCAATATTTTCATACATTTATTTTTTAACTGTATCTTACACTATAGACCTGTGTTTATTGTTATACAACCACTATGTGATATTTCTTTGAAAAATACACACACACACACAATATATTAGAAATGAGACAAAACGTACAGTTGCAGGAGCATTCATTATTGCGAGGTTGTAGCCATATTGAAGAGTTCCTCCAAAGGCTGCAGAAGCAACCATTAGCACCAATTTCAAAGAAATTCTCTGTTTATACAAACAGATAGACACATATTAGATTGCACACATTTGACTTGTCAAGTTGCCCATCAATTTTCTAAAATCACAGCATTTCCTCTATTTGATATCTGGATTTCCTGTAACATATAAGGCAAGATGAAGGAGAGACATGGTAACAATTACACTTGCAACATATGATGATGTGACATCTGCAAAGATTGCCTGATATTCTTTCACTTACAAATAATCTGCAGAATTAGTCTTCTGTTATTGGGCACACAGTTTTCTAAGGGTCATCGCTGGTAAAACAAGCAGATCTACTCATACAAGTAACCAATATTATGATCTAAAATGACTCAGTAACAAGTAACAGTCCTGCACTAAAATCAAGAACTCAATTAAAAGTACCAAAAAGTATTCATAATATAGAATGAATCATTTCTAAATAATACATAAATCTATATATGACATTACTGTTAGCATTAATGTGTTCTTTATTGCTATGACAGTGCACACTATTATTACTTTATGTATTAACATACAATAATAAATAAAAGGGAGTGCAGAGTACATTTGTGTGTGAATTGTGGCGCAGAGGAAGAATAAAACAGTGTTGAGTGAAAATATTAGTATATTATTATTATTATTATTATTATATATATTAAAAGTATAGTAAGGTAGGCACAGTACTTGAGGAACTTTACTCATTAACAACCCACCACTGAGGTGGACGCTGTTTTCATCTGAAAATGCAACGTCGTTTGAAAAATACTGTCAAATTAAAAAACAAAGGATTTCTTAGGAATTATACAGGCACCAAGTAATCCAGCATTTCAACAAGAATTCCCTATAATGCCACTAGTCTACACAGCAAACACGCCTTGTTGATTAAACTCCAGATTAGATTCCTTATTGAAAATAGAATGTGCTTATTTACCTTATTCGCACCGGCAGCCGACATTGTTATTTTAAGGAGGTCGTTTTAAAAAAAATTAAAAGAAAGTGACTACATGATATCAGACCGCAAACCCACACAGCTCGACCCGTCCACTTAACTAGCGACCTCCTTCCACACCGGGACGAGCACGCGCGGGCACACGCGTGCGCGTGGCCGGCTTTTTGATTGGCTGCAGTTGCGGAATCAGCGGTCGTGTGAGGCGACGTCTGACACGTTTCATACAAAGACTCCAACAAAGATTTACTCACTCTGCGTGACGAAATGGACGCAAATGAAATCAATCATTTGCATCCTCGTGACGTATTTACAAAAGAACTTCGTTACGCATCCACGTGGTGCACAATGACGGAAATAATCCTTGAATTCCATAATTACAATTAATTGAAGATGTCCATCGGAAGGTCAGGTCGAAGTAATAACAGTTAGGCACATTATTAATGAAGCACCTTTCTTAAGACGTATTATGTGCTTTTCAACAAAAACTAGATAAAGAGAGAGAGAGAGAGAGCAAACAATATGAAGCAAGAGGCCATATATTCCAATTTGAATCCAAACCCCTCACTGGACCCTGATGGTTCATTGGCACCTCCTATTGTTCTGCAGGGTGCACAAATAATACAAAAGTAACTGAGCGTGAGAGTTGAGGATGTCTTCGCCAGGTGGTGCTCATGCGTTAGTTTCTAAACAACCAAACCAGCCGGCTTTGAGGGAGGACCATTCCATTTAAATCTTTATTTCTTCACCATGACAATTTGGGAATATCTTTACGGCATTCAATACTGTCACTTTTTAAGTTTCACCGTGTATTATTATATGAACTGTTGGGCACAATTTCTGATATGATATACAATGACAATATGTTTGTTAAGCCCCATTCTGTCTGCGTTAGCTTGTTGGTTCCAAATACTTTGAAGATTGTTCCTTCTTGGTTTAAAGCCGATGAGTAACAGTAGAATAGGGCTGCTGACCGGCGATTTAATGGAAACAACAGGGATGGATTTAATGTAGAAATCAATGTTAGCCCATTGTATACTATTCTTAGCACTTCTCAAGACAAGACATTTTATCTCCTTACGATCTAAGGTTTATAATCCGTTCTTACAGGAACACTTATGTTCCATCATTTTTTTAATTGTCTTCTGTTTCAGTCAACAGATGATGTTCTACTTGATCTTTATATTTGTAACGCGGCTCAATCAGTTTGACACTGGAATCCCTTTTATTTATGTTTCCAGCAAATAGACAGTATATCACAGAGTGCAGTGAGTAACGGTGTGCGCTCCATGGTGACTCCAAGGAGTAGCGGTGGGAAAGAGGCGCGGCTTTGCAAAAGGTCAATTCGAAGGTCAAGAGGGGCTTTTGCAAATCACCTGGCGGCTGTAGCATCCGTGTATGTGAACAGCTTTTCTATCCAACCTTCCCACAGTGTTCACAAGCAACACGCCAGTAAGACGCAGGCTGAAAAAAAAGAGGGCAGAAAAAAATATTACATGTTCTCTTTATGATTAAGGGTCCGAGTCTGTTTCAGTCTGTAAAATAACAGTCAAAGTGCGTCATGTTAAGACGTTTCATATTTAATTAAAAAAAACATACAATGCCTATAATAGTAACAATTAAAACAATAACATAAATTGTTTCAATAAAGGTGAAGATGAAATCTTTACAATAAAACAATCACAAAGATAAATCATAATCATCAATAATCATATACTTTATGTTACTTTGTTATGTTACAATTTAAGTGTTGATATAGTTATAGGTTTATGGGTACATTATATTATTTTTTGCTTTTAGTTATGGAGCAAGAAGACACACTACCTGAATAAATCACCTTATATATTGAATAAAAAGTGTCGCGTTTAGGTCACAATGAGATGACGCCCCCTTCGCTCACCCCTCCCCTCTCTGTTTATAATTGGTTCGCGTTTGACAGGATTACACAGGTTTCCTCAATTGAACAGACATCGGACATCCAGCTGAAGACTCCCTTGCTTTTGGCCCTCCCAAAAAAGCAAAGAAAAGAAAAGCAAAGCGAAAACAATAACAACAAAAACACTGGACAACAATCACTTCTGTCCGCCGGCCCATCGGATGCGTGTGAGCGCGCGGAGCCGCCGGGTCTGCTGTGTGATCGCCGGGCTCATGGTCGCAATGTGGTTTCTTAACACTCGGCCGCATTTCGGAGAAGCTGCACGTCAACGCTGATTAGTTCAGAGCGTCAAGTCGTCATGATGACTCGGATTTTCTGGGATACCATTTTTCTCATAAGCGGTGAGTAGGACACTTTGCAGGAAAAAACAGATTTGCATTTTGCGTTGTCTTGCTCTGAAAACATAAAGTTCCCCGGTGTTGTCCCCTGTTTGGATCTTTTGTTTGTTAATTCGCTGGATCATTCCATGATTTGCAAGTATAACACTCCTGAATGTGTTTCTTCAATCACTGCTCCTCCATGTGAACCTCACTGTGGTTGGTGGTGTTCTTCACTTAATCAAACTAAAGTGTAATTTTAATCGGTTTCTTTATTATAAATTGTTATTGTCTGAAATCATAATTTCTTTCTTTTTGTTTTTTTTAATAAACACGTCTTCTGTGTGCGCTGTAAGGATTCTAACTAGTTGTGATTGCATGTCTTCACAGGACCTGCTGTGTGTATTTATAGTGCTTTGGACTCATCCTTTTAGTGAATGCTTGACCCTGTTACTATTGTTGTGTAGTTGCTCAATGAAGCATCGATATCACGCATGATCATAGCTGCACAGGGGCAGACTAGTGGCAGTAACCCTCAGGTTGTTCATCCAGCACGGTATGTAATAGCTGGGTCCCCTTGAAAGACAATTACAATAATATTTATTTTTTATATTCCTATAGGTACTTTTAGTATGTCTATGGTACTCGATGGTGAGTTTACAGTGAACTCTTTTGTACTATTGTTATGATATTCCAACAGGGATATGTTGTTATTTCTATATATAACCAGCAGTTTATTTCCCACTCTGCAGGTACCCTCTTTACATTCGGAGCAGGGCCGAGCAATTCAACAATTATTGAAGCCGGCGTTTCCATCGATACGAACTCCACTGGTGCAACAAACGCAAGCAGCTCGGCAACAACCGGCAGCAGAAGCGCGACCACCACAACCGTTGCGCCCACTAAAACAAGTAACGTCCCCGCGGTTAAAAGTAAGTCTCGGCCCAGTTTGTGTCAAAAAGCAACTGGATGGTTCAAGCTCGTTGTCAAACCATCTCGCACAAAAATAAGCCTGTATTTCCTCCTCCCAAATCCCCTGAGGAGCTTTATCCACTCTCGCTGCAGTGTTGCTTCCACGGCCGGTGGGCTTACTCTGATGTTGTATTCCTCCGGCGACTTGTTTATTTCTATATTTTTCAAATTAGGACCATGTCATATGTTAACAGCTGTCCCCCCTCCCTCCTTCTCTACAGGTTCCCTCTTTACATTTGGACCGAGCAGCTTGAAAACGACTGAAGCCAGTATTTCCATTGATGCAAACTCCACCGGTGCTCCGAACGCCAACCGCTCCGCAGCAAACGGCGGCGGAGTCACAACCACCGTCCATCCTGTCAAGAGTAAGTCTCAGCGACAGAGGAGAGAGTTTGCCCTCGCCAATCACTGTCGCCCCTCATCCGTTCTCACTTCAGCGTCGGCTCCACAGCCGCAGTCCTCAAAGCCCCCCCCCCCCGTCGAGGTTCCCGTCGCCCTGCCGTGCACCGACTCATGAGGCCGGCCCGGCACTCGCCGATAATCGATTCGCTTGGCGTGAGTGAGGGCGTGAATTGAGCTAAATTCAAGATCATGAGCGGCACACGGCGATGTCAGATAAGCGGCGCGCCTTGAATTCTGGTCTGAAAAGGCCTTCATTTACGCGCCCTAAAAGCTGAGTTCTGTTTTGATGCTCCTCTCGTTCCACTGGATGAAATCCTATGGAAAAGAGATCGGGGTTGGTAGGCAGATGCCTCAGGGACAACAGAGGGCTTTCACAGAGTCTGAAAGAAGGAGACAATAGGCTGGAATCCAAAAAGCCTCTTTACCGTTGGAATGGAGTGTGTGTGACTGTAATGCAGCTATCTGTCTGCGTGTTTGTCCTCCTCCCCACCCTGCAACACTGTGCATCTGTTTCTACTGCTTGGGGGAACACTGCCTTCTGTTTGAGTCCGTTATTTAGGAATTTTTCTGACTGTACAGCTTGCGTGGAAGAAATGTCCTGTTTTTTTGGGTTGTTTTCTTTTTCTGGGTGTTCCCTTTAATCGGATACTCTTGTTTGGTTGTTTTGTCAGAGTGAAAACTGAGATGGTTGCTCTAAAAAAGAAAGAAAGAAAGTCCGGTTTCATTTCTGCTAGATGGATCTGCTTAATAATATGGGTTGGTGGACATGTTTTGTAACGTCCCGCCGGGACTTTTCTTGACTCTTAATTGTCCCTCCCAGGTACAGTGAGAGAAATAAGCCACCACAAATCCACATGCAGCTGATGACAAAAGGCTTCAGCCTGACGCTGGTGGCGTGGGCGTCAGCTTTAGGATTTAGTGCACGCCATTGTATAAGGTCTCCGCGGGCTTATGTATGTTTTTTCTTTTATAAAACCAATTATGATATTCACCTGTCTCATGTTTTGTTTTTGGACAAATTCGTCCTTCATGTGACCCACCTAAACATCAATAGATGCTTTCAGTGGGGAACATCAGCGATGATCATTCAAAAGTCTTCCGTAAATCTCTGAAATGTCAGCAACATCTCGTCTTGCATCCTCACAGAGTTTGTGGCGGCGGCTGTTCGGTCTCATTTTGACGACTGTCCGGACTCCCACAGACACTTCTGCTTCCACGGCACATGTCGCTTCCTGATATTAGAGGAGGCGCCTGCATGCGTGTGAGTCCTCGCTGTCTACCATGAAAATGCCAAGTGTTGTTGTTCACTTTAGAATGTCGGAACTGGGAATACTGCGAACACGCGGATAAGCAGTGGGCACCACTCGGTACCTTAAATGATTGCAATGAATTAAGTCTTTATATAGTAACTTGATAAAAACATAATACATATCTAGACATTAATTAAAGTTCACGTGAAGCTACCCCCCTTGGATTTTCCCTGCTTATGTGTGGATCTTTTATTAGTCATTTTCAATCATCTGAAAAAGAATACTTAAGCGGTTTTCTTTCTCAGGTACATGACATCAACATAGTGAAATTGAATTAAATTGGATTTTTATAAACAAACTACAAGTGTTGGGATTCCTCAACAATTCTGCCTGTTATTGGATCTCTACTAATTAGCTGCTAATACTTTGATAACCTGATTTTATATTGTTGCAGGTGTCACCCGGGCTTTGTCGGGATGAGGTGTGAGCATGCAGACCTGCTCGCTGTGGTAGCAACTAATCACAGAAAACAGACGGTGGCCACTGTGCTGGTGTTGTGTGTGATCGGGTGTGTTTTCATCATGGTGTTGTGTACTCTTTTACAGTGAGTAGCATTTTGTGGCATATCTTTATTTTTTTAACAAATTATATAATTCATGTTTTCTGGGACTGTGGCTAATAAACTGTTTGCGTTATGCAGCAATGTGAGACTTGTGTCTCTAAGGGGCGACGCGATGACCATGTCGAGGACTTTCAGGGTTTTTATGATTTTGAGTTTTCCCTTGTGCAGTTGCTGGTGGACGCATGAATGCCGCAGGCGGAGCCGCGCGCATCACTACTACATCGCCGAGAAGCACGGAGCATCCGGCCATCCTTCTGAGAGTGGTACTTTATTTATGAAAGTTCACCGTATTTCTCATTTACTTTGCAACTTCCATGCTCTTTCTCTCAGTGCCGAGCCCATTTGAACCTTAACCACAGGTCAAAAATACATTGTTTGACTATAAAATTTAGATATTAACTATATTAATTTGGAGAAGAAATGGAGCTTCGAGGAATCAACTGTCAATCAGATGTTGGAAACTCCAAGACGGATGGGATTTGTTGACAACAATGGAGATGTACAATAATTTCAGCCCTTTTATTTAACACTCTTTGATCCTCAACAAACCAACCTGTTTGTTGTTTTCCTTTCAGTGGTTTGAGAAGACAGATTGGCGGAACCGGCGCCGCTTGCATCACGGCGCGTTTTAGTTTTACTCATCCGGCCTACAAATCATCCAGAGGGGTAAACTGGCGTTCAGATCAAGCGCACCTGGCAAGCGGCGAAGAAGCATTGCCGTCATTATGGTAGAGGTAGGCCTGCTGGTTAGATGCTCGATGGCAGTTTTCTTTTCTTTTCTTTTTTTTTTCCCCCACCAACCGGCACTGTGGACCGAAAGCCCCGTAGGGACGTGTTCACTTCCGCTCTGTGGAAACACGCAGAACTGCAACAGTTTGAAGCTCTGAGGTGGAAGCCGCCTCCACGTCCTCCACAGGAGGAGCTCCGCGTGCCGAACTTTGTTCATGGAGGTGCAAGGAAATATATCCGAGGCCATTAATCATCCTGCGTGGATGGAAAAGTGTTTATTTTGATCTGCGGGACAATAGTTCATTTAAGTCGTAAGACGCCAATTCCTATCTTTTGTCTTTTACTAACTTTGACCACTTTTAATGAGAATTCTACAATCACACAGGACATTTATTGGAAATGATGGTGGGAGGGAAAACTGAGGGAACTCACTTCACACAACAGAAGTAGGAATTGTGAGATGGACTGACAACCGCTAATGGATAAAAATCCAAGGATTCGAACAATAGTTAAACACACAAAACGTATAATTGTTCCAATATGATTTTTGACGGTTTGATAACTCCAGCGTTGCTACTGAAGCTGAAATATTTGTCAGTTTTTACTTTTTATTCCTGAGCTGTATTTGAACGCGTCCATGCATACGAGGTGTTTTCTTTTGCAAGCTATAACTCTCTGGACACACGCACACGCTGGGTGTCACATTATTCCACAGTCCTATTATATTGTTTCACTTCTCTGCAAGCTTTGCTAGCTGCTCATACAAAAAAACTGCACTTATTGTATAATGTAGTGAATTGAAAAGTGTCCACTTAATGAGAGATGCCAAATACACTTTCTAAGTATGCCTGAATGAGCACTGAATGAAAGGGGCACGCAGTTTGTTCACGTCCACCGAATCACGCCCTAATATCACAGTTTCTACTTTTAAAGAACACTAAACGCGTTTAATTTCAAGTGGTGTGTTATAGCATTGCCTCAGCTTTTGAAGTCATACACCTTAAAGAGAGAAAGCGCCTTCGAGGGTTCATTTAAAGCGTAATATTTAATAATCTTAGTAGTAATAATCGGGAAGGGAATACAAAAAGGTGAATGCAAATTGACTGGTATATAAAGTGTGTGTGCGCTTTGTGAGATAAGACGGAACAAAAAAGAATAAAGAATGAATGTGATGGTATATGCCCAAAATACTCTGAGGGGGTGTTATACTTGTCTTTGTTTACAGAATGTGAATATTTTTACATTCAGGAAATGTTATTGTTTTGCACTTATGTGTAAATAAGAAAAAGAAAAAAGACACTGAAATGTTAAATGTGTATATATGTGTCAATACAAAAAGGTGATCTTTTCATGCATTAACCGATTACTTTGCCAGAATTTATGTTTTCACAGTTGGAAAGTATTTACTATTTGTGATTGTTTTCCAATAAGAAATTAAAAATGACCGTGCATGTGCGCCTACTTTTCTATTCATGTGCTTATTAACTGCTGCTCCGTCTCCCGATTCATCGTGTGACCTTCTTTTCACATCTGGTGCTCTTCCTCGCTCTTTAAATACCCTGATTTTCTGTCTCTCTGCTCCTATTTTTCTCTTCCACTGAATATCTCAAGACACAAAAATGGCAACTCTGAACCCGGGGGACACAACTGCAACAAAGACCCCATCCCTCCAGAGTGCTTTTATAGCTGAAGGAAATGTTTTAGCCCTCTTCCATATTGCCATTCAGTTTATTTGTCTTTCAGAGTCAACGGAATCTACACCTATTCATGTTCAAGCCTTTGTTGGATGTGCAGGACTGCGTCTGTTCATCTTGTTTAAAATGCCCATTGCGTGCCGTTGGGATGAGATATTCCCTCATGACATGATGCTCCTTCCCTCTCGCTCTTCTTATGAGGAGCTTCGTTTTGATTTACGATCCCATTATGTCTGCAATAGGATTTCTGTGGAGCTCTTTAGAGCCGTCGGCTGAGCTACTAAACCAGCTTTGAAATAAGCAGCTCTGCTGGGCGCTTTCCTAAAGACACACAATAGCCTTTAACATACAAAGGAGAGCAAGGGGAAACAAATAGCCTTTTTCCTCCCAGTTGATTCAAAGAAAAATGAATGTCGTCAAATCAGAACTTGTTAAAGACGGAGTAGCTTTACATTTTGTGACACTAGGTGGAAGGATGTGTTTTTAACGTCAGGAAATTCTCTTTACATGTGAGTTGGACCCGTGTCAATCCTTATTTCCCATAAGTGGAGCAGCTCTGCTTTGAATTGCAATAACATTTGGGTTCTTCTCCCTCTGCTTGCCTCTTGTTCTGTCCCTTCTGATCCTCAGCCCAACATTCACAGTATCTGCCTCTGACCAGATGGTTTGAAATAAGAGTATTTACAAAAGCATTAGGGCTAAGCAACCCTGCCTTGTACTCTTTGCTGCTAAGCACTGAAACAAATCAAGACGAAAGCTCAGAGCTTTATTTAAAGGGTCAGTCCACCCAAATCACATGAAAAGCTACTATTACACTGCAGGCTGAGCATCTAGGGCATCTGAAATGACTTAATTTCATACATGTTTCAATTATCCTTATTTGAACAGATGACTAAAGTTTTTTTAGATAAACTACCTCATGTGGCTAAAGCCTTGTATAGGTAGAGCTGACCTTTATTCTTTTACTTTGTACCAAGAATGAGGACTAAACATTGTTTACAGTGGAATCGCATTGGGAGTCCAGTAAGGATGAACATTTACATTAGCCAATAACCTTCAATGTATATATGTTTGTGTTATACATCAACACAGATTGGAAACAAATAATTGTTCAATTTAAACCTCAAATTATGACAACCGTACCTTTCCTTGTCCTGGGATTTTAAACATATTCTCACTCTCTCACAAATGACCGAGGCCAAACAAATAATTTGTGGAGATCTTTTACTAGAAAAGAGGACAGGTAAAGACCTTAATGCTCCAGGTATTGTTTATTATACCAAGGATAGATAAATAGTTCTAATATTCATTGCTTCTACTTTATTGACAAAGCGGTAACAATCTCCTTCCCTGACGAGCTGAACAGCTTCTACGCTCGCTTCGACGAGGACAACCAGGAGGTGGACATCTAGGCTCAGCTCACCGCAGACCACCAGCCTCTCACACTCCCCCACGACGTGTGCGCTGCACTGAGCCGGATCAACGCACATAAGGCTGCTGGCCCGGATGGCTTCCCCGGGCGCCTGCTCAAGAACTGTGCTGTGCAGCTGACTGCGGTCCCGACTGACATCTTTAACCTGTCACTGGCTCAGGCAGCTGCCCACTCAACCCTCATCCTCCACACCGGTGTCCCACAGGGCTGTGTGCTGAGGCCCCTCCTCTATTCCCTCTTTGGCAGAGAACAGTAGAGTGTATACTGCAGCAGTGTGTGTGTGTGTGTGCGTGAATTAAAAAAAAAAAGTATAGAATCTATTTTATATTTGAATATTTAATATGCAGTGCTAAATCAAAATTCTTGACCAAAATAGCCAGGGGTATTTAAAGAGAGATCCTAAGTGGTTTACAGCCCTCTCAGGTAGCTTTTAGGGTCCATGACTTTTCGGCATTACAGCATTTGCTGCTGAAGCAGCGACGGCAGCTCCTCCAGGGAGCGGAGCCGATGCTCTGCAGGAACAGACGCTGTGTTGTGCTGGTTGCATCGGTCTAAAAGGAGCCCGTGAATGCCCACAGACTTAGAGGCGAGGTAATCATTCACATAGTGGTCCCCAACATGAGCTACATTAGCAGCTAGCACTCCGCATTTCTGCAGTGCCTGTTTAAAGATGGCTGGATTGGGCTTCGCTATGCCTGCTTCCTCTGAAGTAATCAAAAACTTGAAGTGAGAACGCAGGCCGCAAACGTGAAGGATCTCTTCTAGACGGCTGTCAAAGTTTGATACCACCCCCAGCTCCAGTCCTAGAGAAGAACATGTCTCCAGGGTCTTCTTTGAGTCTGGAAATACCTAAAATCATGAAACATTAATGAGGGGATTTTCTGTGCTTCTTCATTCACGACTATAAACATTAATATGAAGAGCAGACAGTAATGCACAACAAAATGCTTTGCAAAAAGACAATTTAACACGATGACTAACCTATTAAAAATAAGCATTTATTTGATGTGTATGCCACGTGTCGTCAGTAATTCACCTCCCAGTTCTCTGCCTTGCAGAAGTTCTGATAAAGGTTGTGAGCCATCGCATTTAGCAGGGCTGGGTCCTGAACCGTGCACTGGGAGAAAGTGTCCCGCACCACGGCCACCCACCAAGACCGTCCATCCAGGCCCTGAGAGACGCCGTAGTTTGGGTATCTGCTGGAATGGTGTCGGTATGCCTGGCGGAAAGCAGCTTCAACCTCCACAGGACTGATGTTCAGGCCCACTCGTTCTGCCTCCTTGCAATACTGCTCCCCTACAGACGCACGCACCTTCAGCAGGGTGTCTTTCACATCCCATAACACCCAGCGCAGAGTAGCTCGCATCGCACCTAGACGCACAGACATGAGACCGATTAGTGTCAAAGCAAAACTTGAGAGAAGATATGAAATGAGTGAACAGGATGTTTCTTTTGGATATGACCTAGATGACAGCATGCGTCTAAAATGGTTGAGTAGTCACTATATAGTGTATTGCACTATAATTGTCCTGTTACAATATAGTGCCTAGTTAAAAAAATTAATTCTACATAGTAAAGTTATAATTATGTCATAGGAAAAGCCCTGGTTTTGATATATCAAGTACCAATAAAAATGATAAAGGTTCAAATGCATTCCATTCTGCAAAAGGTGATGTGTAATAAAGTTTTCTTAAGAGATATTGAAGACACAATATTACAACTGTAAGCTCAATAATAGGACGGTACCGTGATGAAACTTCAATGCTGGTGTCACTATTGACACTTCTAACCCAATGAATAGGATGCATCTGCATTACATGCATTGAAAATAGCTCAACACGCCATCTGCTGTTTAAAATCAGAATCCTCCAATGCCAATTTGGACTTTGCAAATGAAAAGAGAAAATTGTGTTAACATCCTCTAAATGTCTGGAGACGTCATTGAACAACCCCTTTAAGTTGTTTCACCGTCCCAGTAATAGCAGTCTGACAGTAGACGAGCATTCACTAAAACACCACCAAGACACAGGAGCAACTAGCGTTACATATAATTGCTTTCGTGACTTAAGCCCCAGTGAAGCGGACAACGCTGTGCTCTGCTAAACGTTACAGATGATCAAACAAGGTTCATTTCAAATCCCTGCCAACCCTCATCATTACACACAAGCAACGTTACGACACTTGACGTTACCGACTGGCTATCGCCACGGTCGTCTTGGTTACAAGTTCTGAGCAGAATAAAAAATATATCTGGTTTACGTTACGTAAAATCTTCGTGTGCTTTGTACCATCATGATACGATATTTTATGTTATTAGCTGCGTTTACATTCGTTACGTGTTTAGATATTTAGCTGCTTGCCAGCTTTTGCACAGAGGGCATAGTAACAGTTAGCTTAGCAGCTAGCTAAGCTGTCTTCTTCGCTGGTCCTTTTTACGGCAGCTGTCACCGTCGTCGTTTACCTCTTTCGAAGTCCATTCCCCTTGTTTGATTTACCTTTTCAACCCTCCCCCAAATCAGTCAAATTAGCTTATTCCACACCGATTTTTCCAACAAAACGAATGTCCGCTAACAGTTTCCCCCGTGGTGGCTTTAAATATAGCTAGCTGTGCAGTAGCAGAAGCCGCATTGCGTTTATACCTCCGGTGCAGCTGGCGGCGGTATGTTCAAAAGGGAGCTGCCATAAATGACGTCTCTCAGCGATGTACGCATGCGCAAAGGACACCGCGCATGTGGAGCGAAAGCTGCTGAAAACAGACTCTTCCTGTCAAATAGTTTTAATAGATGTAAGGGAGCTGACCTTCTATCATTAAAGTTGCTAAAGAAAAAGGAACGTCCTGATTGCTAACGTAATGGCTACTCCGGCTAACCGGATGTTTCGGAGGTTAGAGGGTCTGTTTTGTGTGTACAAACCGTCTGGAGTCCACTGGAAACTGGTTCGGGACAGCATCGAGACCAATCTTCTTAAAGGTGAACACACAGCGTATCTTTAACATTGTACCCCCTGGGGCGTTATTGTCCTGCCCTTTAGCTGCCCATTAACATTTGCATGCATAACATTTAATAACGAGACTCCTCGATCTCTCACCTTGGATTCCCTGTGCATCACTGTGTCCTATTGTCACCTCTGCGTGCTCCGTGTAGGTTTAAACGCCGCACCGCGCCCCCCACTTCCGCAGGAGGTGCGCTTCTTGGCGCACCCTGTCAGTGAGACCGAAGCACCCAAGGGACTCACTCTGTCTGCGGCGACTGTGCCAGCCTTGGCCCAGCACCCTCTGGGTATGTGTTCTCTGCAACATGGTTCGACCTGCTCACCAGCTTGTTGTGCAGACGCGTCACCACACCAGGGCCTCTCATGTAATGCCCTCTGCTCTCACGACTCATGATGGATATTTGTTAATGCAGTACTAAAAAAAAGACTTTCATGTGTAGTTTATTTTATTAAATAAGTTACATTGACTGCAAGGTCACCAAGTAGCCTACGCTATTAACACCACATGCTCATAACGAATGCTTGTTGAGGGATTAGTATGAGGGGCCAAGTCAAATTTTACTTACAATACAAATATTTTTAAAGGGAATCAACGGTTTGCTTCTTCTCACAAATAATCCTGATCAGTTCAAATAAATAAAAAACTTGAATGTAGTTCTAAGTGTTTTCAAAGTACTCTTGTTTTTCAGGTTTAACATTTGGAATTTTTTTTTGTTGTTGTTGTAGATGTTATAATAAACCGTGTTCTGTCTTTGTGAATTGAATGTATACAAGGCATTCAAATGTATTTCCTCTGTATGTTTTAGTGTCTGGACCTGAATTCCAGCGTGTGCGAGTTGGAGTAGGACATCGCCTGGACGCGTTCTCTTCGGGTGTTCTGGGTATGATTTTAAACCTTAACTTTGTTTCAGACCCTGTTTTGTTTACATAACCAAGTCTTTCAATATTCACAATGTTTTTTTTTAGTTCTCGGTGTCGGGAATGGGAACAAGGCTCTGAATGATCTCTACGGAACACGAGTCACAAGGGTAATTTAACATTTCTGCTGGTTTTACATCGGATGCAATGAGGACACAATATTCACAGGTTAAATGCCATTTGAGATTTACAGGATTACACATTGGAGGGCGAATTTGGGACGGCAACAGATGATTTCTCTCACAAAGGCAGCGTTGTGGAAAGGTCCACTTACGGTATGACAGCTTACTTTTTTTTTACCCGTTTCAAGAGCTGAGTCTGTTACAAATTCAAACGGAATTGTATCTAAAGCAACGCCTTTATCAGAAATAATTGTTTCAGTTAGATCACTACTGATATTCAATAATGTCTCGATGCCATTCGCTCCGTTTTATTGCACCTTTTTAAATGATTGCATTATTAAATCTAGCATTCTAATAGTTGCATACAATAGTTGCCTTTGCTACATTTACAGCTTTCAAATGGAGGACACTATTTATTCATCACTGGATGAACTAAATGTAACCTTACTTCAGTCAGTTTCTCACCCTTAAATATTGTTGTGTTCAATAGGTCACATCACACAGGACAAGCTGGACAAAGTGTTAGCGATGCTGGAGGGAGCCAATCAAAAGGCATTGTTGATGTAAATAAACCTCATCTTTTTACATTTCTATAAACATAAAATGTATATATACTTAAGTTCCTTTTCATTGATTGTTTTGCACTGTGCTGTACTTCTGCATGCACACATGATCAGTCCACAAAGCTATTTTCAGAAAAGTTGTTATTTGTATATGAGATGACTTTGACTCTTTTCGTATAAAGGTATTCCAAAGTGGACATGCGCTCACAGGAGGCCTATGAGATGGCTGTGCACGGGTTACTGGGCCCGGAGGGGAAATCACAGCCTATTTTGACCGGCTTGCGTTGCGTTCACTTCCAGCCCCCCAACTTTACTTTAGGTAAATAACCTTGAATTGAGCACACAGGAAACCCCATTCAATAATTTGAAACATTTAGGGATACTGACTGATATTTACGTCTCTGTTGTTACAGAGGTGCAGTGCTTGAATGAAACTCAGCGATATTTGTGCAAAGTCGTGCATGAAATAGGACTCGAGCTGCGCAGCACTGCAGTGTGTAAAGGAGTTAGACGGACGAGAGACGGACCCTTCACCCTGCGGGATGCTCTGATCCATCACCAGTGGACTGCTTCTGATGTCACACAGGCCGTGAGACAATACCACTCCTCAAAAAAAAATACCAGGTATTCTCATAAACCGATCCAGACGCCAGCATGTCGACCCCCAGAAGAGAGTACGACAACAGCCAATGAAATGGAACTGGCGACAAAGCAGGAGAAGGTGCAGTGAATGACTCGTCGCTGTGAGGATCAGTTAATGCAAGTCACAGACGTGCTCTGCGCCTGAACGTCATGTGGAAGAGAGGCGGGAGGAACGCCAACCCTGCCTTCTAGAGGAGACTGTTATAAAATTGCACAGAACTCAATATTACATTTTTTTTGTTTTATCCGCTGGATGCACAAAGACACTTTCTGCATCTCATAAGTGACTTTCAACTGAGTTACAGGTACAATGTCCCGATGTTGTGCATGCAATAAAAAAACATATTCCTAAAATGACATCTAGTTTGTTCTTTACTAAATAAAGAAATAATTTGACAAACATTTTTGTGTGTTCTGTTTGGTCATTTGAGGATATGTCTGTAATCACCCCAGAAGTGTTCGTGGTTTCCTGTGATACAAATTATGGGGAAAATGGGACTTTCTTTGGAAAACAGATGGACACTTGTCGACACATGTTCATGGTGAACAAAGTGACAATGTTTACATGTTGCAGTCTAAAACTGAACTATTTGAATGACTAACCACACAATTCTTCCTGTGGGTGAAAGGGGGATTTGGTCTAATGGTCCGTGTCTTGATGGTGCTGCTCTAGTGTTTTTTTCCCACAACAGCTTCTTTTGAATGTTATGAAGTTATTGCAGTTTTACCATTGTTGTCGTGCTCTTCATACCACTGAAGGACCTGTTACCATGGGAACACTTTCACGGGACACAAACAAACTATCTGAGCATGCAGGCGTCATTCTGAAGGTTTGAGCATGAGGAATGGCATTAGGACAATTTAATAGAAGGCATTAAATCACACACTTTAGAAGGAAATACAAATAAACATAAAAAATAACTTGTAGATTTAAAGCCTGGTAGTTATTTTAATACATTTGTCTTTCATTATAGATGCATGATTTCTATTTACGATTGTCTGGTTGCTGTGATAACTGCTGTGATGCTAATGGAATTCATTAAGAACAGATGGCAAACATACAATATCAAAAGAAAATGTAATTATTGTCACTGCAATAAAGAGCTTTAACGATAAAAACATGCTTTTGTTCACAGGATTATTGCACAACTTACTTGGAAACACTGAAAAAACATGTTGGCAGATTGTTGATAATATTAATGTGGTGCCATGCTCTGTACTTTCTATATTAAATATGCGTGTTACGCTTCAGCAACTGCAAAATATTAAGGAACATACATAATACCTACACACTTATAATATATATTTGTTTTACGAAAGTAACACCAAGAATTTTTAGAAGACATCCATCCATCCATCGTCAGACCGCTTATCCTGCACACAGGGTCGCGGGGGGGCTGGAGTCCATCCCAGCCAACTTCGGGCAATAGACAGGGTACACCCTGGATTGGTCGCCAGCCAATCGCAGGGCAACACAGAGACACACAACCATTCACACTCACACTCACACAACTACGGGCAATTTAAAGTCCCCAATTAACCTGATCCCCAGAGCATGTCTTTGGACTGTGGGAGGAAGCCGGAGAACCCGGAGAGAACCCACGCAGACACGGGGAGAACATGCAGACTCCACACAGAAAGGCCACTGGGCGGAATCGAACCCAGGACCTTCTTGCTGTGAGGCAACAGTGCTAACCACCACGCCACCGTGCCGCCCTTTTTAGAAGACATAATAAAAGAAATACTAATATATAAAGTATAATAAATACAGACAAAGGTATACAGTAAGTACATTAAAACATGAGGAGCCCATCTGTAAATGCTTAATTTTCAGTATATTTTGTGGCAGTAATGTCTTACTCTTACATTTGAATATTATTCTGTGGTTCCCGAACTTCCAATAATTTATTTGCAATATTTCTTTCATTCGAGTACCCCCTGACCCTGAATTTATTAGGGGGGAAACAAGGGGCGAAAAAGCACTTGTTGCAGCATTTGAGAGTTTACAGCAGTTTTAATTTGAATATTGAATTTGGTTTATTGAACTTATATTTACATTATTATTCAACTCATTATATAATCAATATCTGAGGAATGTCTATATATATATATGTGAGAGAGAGAGAATTTAAAAATAAAACTGGTAATAAACTGAGTGGTTAGAGTAGCAGATTTAGCTGTCATGCACGTTCTCTGGAATGCCGGTGCGGTGTGTTCGCTGTGCAGGTTTCTTCCACTTTCCATCTTGTTCAGCAACATCTTGACTTTGTCTTTTGTTGAGGCTCTTTACGTAAGACCATGTTATCTTCTCTTGTTTCATCTTTTTGACTCAACATCCTGCCAATAACCAAACAACAGCACAATCGGTTGCATTAGCGACGCAGAATATTAACGAATGTTCTTAAGGTTAAGGGTGTGATATATGGCGCGAGACAAAGATCATGTATTACCTGGCCACGGTTTCCAAACACTGAACCACATTTTCACCTGTGGCAGCGCTACACTCCATGAACTCAAATTTGTATTCCTGTGGAAGTAAAGCAGCTTTCCTTAGTGTGACTGTAAAAGTGAATTATGGCCTCAAATTCTGAGCAATGAGTGCGCAAGGAAGTAATATCCCAGATCCATACCGCAGCAAGAATATCCGCCTCTTGACTTTTCACCTGCCGCTCTGCACCATCACTTTTATTGCCAACAAGTATAATGGTCACACCTTCTGCAGCCGCTTCCTGCAAAATTGTTTGGACAATAATTCAAACAACTCTCTACAGACCAATTGGACTCTGTAGTCTAGATTGACATGTTTCAGAGCGTTAAGTCCCGTTCTTAAGCTTTAATTTGATTTTATCTTCAAAAACATACTGTAAGGTAAGACTGAATGCAATATACATCACACACATCAATATTGCAGTATTGCAATATTGATGTGTGTGTGATGTCAATTGCATTGCATTCAAAACAGTAGCACACACACACACACACACACACACACACATTTATATACATTGCTTTTGCTTACGATAAATGTGTATATATATATATATATATATATATATATATATATATATATTGCATTTGGTTACTATAAATGTGTGTGTGTATATATATATATATATATATATATATATATATATATACATATATATATATATATATATGTATATATATATATATATACATATATATATGTATATATATATATATACATATATATATGTATATATGAATATATGCTTTGTGTTTGGGCATATACCTCTAGTCTCTTTGAGAACTTTGGGAAACCTATTCTTGAATTTGAAATATGAAAAAAGTGACAGTGACAACATACCCGAATACATCTTTCCCAGTAGCTGACTGCAAAAAAACTCTGAGAGCAAGTGATGTCGTACATCAGGAGAAATGCGTGGGCCTTGTGGAAGGTCTGTTTCGTGATGCTGTGAAACCTTTGAAGGATAAACAACAACAAACAAATGTCATCAGATTACAGGCTGCCCAGTGATTTGACAACTTTTATCCTGTATCCTCTAAATGTACTCACATCATTACATTTTTATGAGATGTCCTTTTATTTTCATTTTACTGACTAACATCTGTCCATGAATGGGAGCCTGTTCTTGACTGTAGGTTAACATTAGTTTACATAACAAATGATACTACCAGCTGATTACAGACTGGCCTGAGGGAGACTTCTCCGGTGTTTGGAGCTCATTGTCAGCACATGTTCAGGACAATTGCTGCCGGTGATATCTCATATTCAAAGCATCTGTGACTGTTCCCAGCTCACTGCTTAGAGCCTCGGATGCTGCGCTCACATGGGGTAACAAAAAGAAAACCACCAGACAGGCAAAGTGCCTCTATGTAAATGCTAAACACGTGAAAACCGGCCTGTCACGATAACACCTTCATTAGTTAGTTGTGAAGCACATGGAACCAGCAAATTCATATTTTCTTCCGTAAAGACAGCTAGATGGACTTGAATGTACCTCAGCAGGGACAGAACGAGGGACCCCGAAACACCACGCTGGATGTGGTTCGACCAGTTGTTATGTTCCATTGCAAATATCTCTCAATAAGCATGAAAATGCATTCACTGCAGAACCAAGTGCTTTTTCTAATAGTGATTTTTAATTACACCATCAATGATTGGTAAAAAAAATGCCCAATTAATGCACTGTAAAAGGAATGAGGATACTCACCTCTCTTGACCCGCTGTATCCCACAGCTGCAGCACCACAGGTTTTCCTTCCACGAGCACGGTCCACATACAGTAATCCAGTCCTACAAAAGGCCCCAGTGAAACATTATTCTGTATATTTGCATATATTTGGGTGAATATGATGAAAGGATGAAGATTGGGCTCTTACCAACGGAGGCGGGTAAATCTAAAGAAAACTTTCCACTTTGCGCTCTTTTCATGAATGAGGATTTTCCCACACTGCTGTCTCCAACCATCATCACGTTGTAAGCCTTTGATCGCAGATCTGATCGTTCTTCTGCAAACAAGATCACTCTGGTCACAGCTTCTTCATTTCAACTTCCCCTCTCATTATCTCTGGCTGTTATGTGCAAGTATGAACATCCTCTTTACCCAGAGAAAACATTTGACTTTGGAACCCGGCATACTGTTGAGCTGCAGTCACTGGTTCAGGCGTCTTCTCACTTTGGAACAGACAACCAAACGTGGTTCAAATTAAACAGCACAAAATATGTCAAATTGAGCCCAGTTTTGAGTCTCCAAAGAGTTCGATTCTCTAGCAGACCACACATTTTGTTTTTAAGCACACTTCTCACCCTAGGAAATGCACACTTATTAACTTACTAATTCAAAAGCCTGCGAACACACATTCCACTTCACATGCCAACAACTGTGCAAACAATGATAAAAAGCAGTTTAACGTTATCTTGCTCTATCCATTGGTCTGTGTGTTAAAAGTTCAACTGATGGGAGGGAAATTTGCCAAAATGGTGATCTCATTTTTAAAGCTGGTTCCATTGACCATCAGATTAATCATATCACATTCGTCTCTCTCTCAGATTCACAGATGAAACCTGATCAAATGAATTATACTGTGAGCATTTTAACATTTGGCCCTGGTTGGTGTGAATAAAGCAGCTTCTCCTGCAGTAACCCAACAGACAGCGAGCCGGACAAGACTCGTTTACGTCTCTCAAACGTACCTGACAGGCGTCGCGTCATCTCCTTCCTTTGAGCTGCTGAGGTTGGCTAATTGCTTCTTGTGACTTTGGTCAACCTGAACAGACAACATCTCGTTAATGAGGCGAGGGAAGGGGAGAGTCCGCTTTGATCTTTGCAGATTTCAATCAATGGGGTTTAGATTATAAGCATATGTGGATTTGACAGGTTTACAATTTCATAGAAAAGAAAAGTCAAATGCATTTACTTTCATACTGAATACAACCTAAGAAAGGTATTTCTGAAAAAGCAACTAGTGAAACATTTGTCCTTTCTCTTTCGTTAAGGTAATAAAAGCAAGCAGAATACTCAGACACACCCTGTATCAGATCAAGAAGTAAGATGTGTGAGTTTGTGTTCTACTTTTCATCATGTACAACTGTTTGTAAGGACCGCATGTTCCTCATTTTGGTTCATTGGGTCATTTTGTTTTTATTGCAACATGCACTTCAGTGTGCAAGAAAATGAATGTGAATGGGAAGTACAACGCAACACTTACTTACTGTACAAAAGAAACCAAAATGTCCGTTGATAATCGCTCACTTCATCACCTGAGCCCAAAGGCTTAAAAATACAACATAAATATATGAAAATGATTGGATTGCAAAAGAAAAAGTGCCCGTAGCTGTTTACCTTTGAACTTTCTTCTCTCAGCTCTTCAGTCTCGATGGGATTTTCTTCTCTGATACTTCTGACATCTCTCTCATTTTGTGTATCTTTCATTTTGTCTACTCTTGCAGTTTGGGTTTCATGGCTTTGGTGTGACTTTCGGTTAGATCCCATTTTCCTTCTTCTTCCACCAAATGCTGATTCTGCTATTAAACCATCTTTAGGAGGAGTGGATGGTTCTGCTGAGAGATAACTGGGAGCAGCTTGATGCTCTGTTTCCAACATCCGGCCTTGAGAAACAGGATTTTCTTCAAATGTCCGGTGGGGCGGAGGTTTGTGAGACTCACTAGTGTGGCTGGACTCTGTTGTTTCAGTGCCACCGTCTTTGTCTGCTGCGTCAACTTGTAGCTCATCTTTTTTGCTTGAGGAACTTTCAATCCTTACATCTGCAACATTAGTCACAGTCTCCGTTACTCTGTCACTCACGTCCTGCGTTTGATGCGAGTCTTCTTGTTTGCTTCCTGTTCTGAGATTCCTGCGAGTGGAGCCCATTTTTCTTCTCCTGTTTTTTGGATCCAAACATGGACCCGCGTTCTCCATGTCCGGATCCCTACTGGGAGCTGCTTCCTCCGCGTTGTCTGGCTCCAGCTCCATTGCTTGAGTAGTGATGTGCTCTTCTGCAGCTCCTCGTTCGGTCCCGGACTTCACTGTTTCCAAATCTGCCACAACACAAGCTTCTGTTGAAATCAAAGCAATGTCCTTCGTTATGTCTACATTCTCTACTCTTTCCTCATCATTTCGGGTACTCTTTGTGGGCTCGCACGCAGTCACAGAGGCCGCCCCTGTCATACTATAGTTTGGTGTGTCTTTACTACTTGACAGCCTTGGATTTGTCGTGTTTAGCACCTCAGTGGGTGATGTATAATGGGACGGCTCCCCACTGACAGCTGCGTTTCCCTTATGGTGCTTCGCATCAGCTGCAACAAACTCAACAGGATCAACAACTTCTTCACTGAGGGAGGCCGATTGCTCGGGAGGGAGAGCCTTTGAAGTATCTTTGAATAAGCCTATTAGCTTTTTCTCCTCCGCGCGAGCTTCATTGGTTTCCTGCTGCTCTTTATAGACGACACTCGGTGGCAGTTTGGCATTTTCACTCTGCGACACCTCCGCAGTTGAAATCGTTGTTAACTCCTCCACTTTTTCCATTCTGTCAAGATTCCCAGTGTCGGCTTCTGGGTCACTTTCTTGGGTTTGTGCTCTCTTCTCCCGACGTTTCCCACTGAACTGTGTCTGGCGAGTGGAGCCCATCTTTCTCCTCTTCTGTGTGGATCTTCCATGCAAAATTACAATGTCATCTGAATTATTAGGTTCTTGCATCCCTTGCAGGCTGGAAGTGCCACTTTGCTCAGACACATCTACAGTTGTCTCGGCTTGCTTGAGGCCAAAGTCACATGGGTCCAAAGTGGGTGGAGCAGAAAACAGTTCAACTTTAGGGATCTCCTTTGAAACATTAGTTTCTTGGGATTCATGTTCTTTCTTTGTCTGATTTATCGATTTGTGTGAATGCCAAGTTCCTGTGACGGGTTGTTTTTGTCCCTCGTTTATAGACAACTTGTCTTCTAAAGGTGAAAATTCTGCTTGCTCAACAGTGCATTCAGTTTCATTGTGTTCCTCAGGGCGTCTTTCTGTGCTTATCTCCAGTGCAACAGAAGACTCTCTGTTGTCTTTTTCGGTCACACAACACACTTTAGGAAGTTCTTTGTCGGACGTCTGTCTGAAATTTGAATGTTCAACTATCTGGCGATCTACTGCTGAACTAGAACTAGTTAAGTCAATGCTAACTCGATTGTCATCTTGTGCATTTCCTTTAACTTGATCACTTACACCTTCAGTCTGAGTCATGTCAAATGTATCTGTTTCTTTAAGGAACGTCTCCATTGACCTTTCTTGAACTTCCAAATCTTTTTTTAAAGCCATTTCTGTTTCTTCATGGGTTTCATAATCTCTGGTATTTCCAACAACATCCACTGTAGGTTCCTGGTCTGATTCAGCACCAGAGTCTTTGACATGAGGTCTTACTTTGTTTCTACGGCTAGACCCCATTTTTCTTCGGTGTCCAATGGAGTGGAAGCTGGAGGCTTTTTGCAGATGTTGGGGGTCTGAAGGAACGTTGATTTCTGATTGCAGGGTTTGTAAAGACAATCCACTCTCCTCCACAGAGATTGGAGAACCATCAGTATTTGTCACTGCCAATTTATACAGGTATACTGGGTCATCCCTGACATTTGATTGGTCAATCTCCAGATGAGCTGTTGTCAAACTTGACTGTAATCCCAAACTATTGAGATCCGGGATGCCAACAAGTGCGTCATCTTGTGCATTTCCTTTAACTTCTTCACTAACACCTTCAGTCTGAGTCAGGTCAAATGTGTCCGTTTCTTTAAGCAACGTCTCCATAGATTTTTCCTGCACTTCAGTCTTTATTTCTAAAGCCATTTCTGTTCCTTCTTGGGTTTCATTATCTCTGGTATTTCCAACAACATCCACTGTAGGTTCCTGGTCTGATTCAGCACCAGAGTCTTTGACATGAGGTCTTCCTTTGCTTTTACGGCTAGACCCCATTTTTCTTCGGTGTCCAATGGAGTGGAAGCTGGAGTCTTTTTGCAGAAGTTGGGGGTCTGAAGGAACGTTGATTTCTGATTGCAGGGTTTGTAAAGACGATCCACTCTCCTCCAGAGAGATTGGAGAACCATCAGTATTTGTCACTGCCAACTTATACAGGTATGTGTCACTGACTTCAGTTTGGTCCATCAATTTGGAATTAACATCACCTGTGACTTTAGGTAAGTTAGAGTTGTCGTCTTGTCCCTCATTTGTGTGCACCTCCTCTTTCTGTGGTGACAAACTGTCTTGTTGTACACTACATTCAGGTTCTGTAGGCTCTCTGCTGCTGAGTTCTTCTGTGGTTTTCTCCGGTGGGAAAGAAGACTCCATATCTTCACGCAGCAAATATTTGTCTGGTAAACTTCCATCTGGCCTGAACGGTTCTGTGTCCTCGGCTCCTTCCTCGTTTTCTTTTTCTGTTACAGAACACAGATTGGGAGGTTCTTCATCTGGGTCATCCCTGACATTTGATTGGTCAATCTCCAGATGAGCTGTTGTCAAACTTGACTGTAAACCCAAACTATTGAGATCCGCGATGCCAACAAGTGTGTCATCTTGTGCATTTCCTTTAACTTCTTCACTAACACCTTCAGTCTGAGTCAGGTCAAATGTGTCCGTTTCTTTAAGCAACGTCTCCATAGATTTTTCCTGCACTTCAGTCTTTATTTCTAAAGCCATTTCTGTTCCTTCTTGGGTTTCATTATCTCTGGTATTTCCAACAACATCCACTGTAGGTTCCTGGTCTGATTCAGCACCAGAGTCTTTGACATGAGGTCTTCCTTTGCTTTTACGGCTAGACCCCATTTTTCTTCGGTGTCCAATGGAGTGGAAGCTGGAGTCTTTTTGCAGAAGTTGGGGGTCTGAAGGAACGTTGATTTCTGATTGCAGGGTTTGTAAAGACGATCCACTCTCCTCCAGAGAGATTGGAGAACCATCAGTATTTGTCACTGCCAACTTATACAGGTATGTGTCACTGACTTCAGTTTGGTCCATCAATTTGGAATTAACATCACCTGTGACTTTAGGTAAGTTAGAGTTGTCGTCTTGTCCCTCATTTGTGTGCACCTCCTCTTTCTGTGGTGACAAACTGTCTTGTTGTACACTACATTCAGGTTCTGTAGGCTCTCTGCTGCTGAGTTCTTCTGTGGTTTTCTTCCGTGGGAAAGAAGACTTCATATCTTCACGCAGCGACATATTTGTCTGGTAAACTTCCATCTGGCCTGAACGGTTCTGTGTCCTCGGCTCCTTCCTCGTTTTCTTTTTCTGTTACAGAACACAGATTGGGAGGTTCTTCATCTGGGTCATCCCTGACATTTGACTTGGTCAATCTCCAGGATTGAGCTGTTGTTCAAACTTGGACTGTAATCACAAACTATTGAGATCCGGGATGCCAACAAGTGCGTCATCTTGTGCATTTCCTTTAACTTCTTCACTAACACCTTCAGTCTGAGTCAGGTCAAATGTGTCCGTTTCTTTAAGCAACGTCTCCATAGAATTTTCCTGCACTTCAGTCTTTATTTCTATAGCCATTTCTGTTCCTTCTTGGGTTTCATTATCTCTGGTATTTCCAACAACATCCACTGTAGGTTCCTGGTCTGATTCAGCACCAGAGTCTTTGACATAAGGTCTTCCTTTGCTTTTACGGCTAGACCCCATTTTTCTTCGGTGTCCAATGGAGTGGAAGCTGGAGTCTTTTTGCAGAAGTTGGGGGTCTGAAGGAACGTTGATTTCTGATTGCAGGGTTTGTAAAGACGATCCACTCTCCTCCAGAGAGATTGGAGAACCATCAGTATTTGTCACTGCCAACTTATACAGGTATGTGTCACTGACTTCAGTTTGGTCCATCAATTTGGAATTAACATCACCTGTGACTTTAGGTAAGTTAGAGTTGTCGTCTTGTCCCTCATTTGTGTGCACCTCCTCTTTCTGTGGTGACAAACTGTCTTGTTGTACACTACATTCAGGTTCTGTAGGCTCTCTGCTGCTGAGTTCTTCTGTGGTTTTCTCCGGTGGGAAAGAAGACTCCATATCTTCACGCAGCAAATATTTGTCTGGTAAACTTCCATCTGGCCTGAACGGTTCTGTGTCCTCGGCTCCTTCCTCGTTTTCTTTTTCTGTTACAGAACACAGATTGGGAGGTTCTTCATCTCGGTCATCCCTGACATTTGATTGGTCAATCTCCAGATGAGCTGTTGTCAAACTTGACTGTAAACCCAAACTATTGAGATCCGCGATGCCAACAAGTGTGTCATCTTGTGCATTTCCTTTAACTTCTTCACTAACACCTTCAGTCTGAGTCAGGTCAAATGTGTCCGTTTCTTTAAGCAACGTCTCCATAGATTTTTCCTGCACTTCAGTCTTTATTTCTAAAGCCATTTCTGTTCCTTCTTGGGTTTCATTATCTCTGGTATTTCCAACAACATCCACTGTAGGTTCCTGGTCTGATTCAGCACCAGAGTCTTTGACATGAGGTCTTCCTTTGCTTTTACGGCTAGACCCCATTTTTCTTCGGTGTCCAATGGAGTGGAAGCTGGAGTCTTTTTGCAGAAGTTGGGGGTCTGAAGGAACGTTGATTTCTGATTGCAGGGTTTGTAAAGACGATCCACTCTCCTCCAGGAGTTCTTCGTTCTCCTGATAACCTGTTTGCTCATCACTGGGGTTTGTATCACCCTCAAATACGTGAAAAGTGTCCACTCTGTCTGTGTCGCTGATTTGTGTTTTCTTGATATCACAAACATCATAATCCTCATTTCTCTGATCTGACGTCTCAAAAATATTTTCCTTTTTTGGATGTTCTTCCTGTGTGTTGTCTGAGTTTGAATTGTCCCTGTTGATTGGAGAATCAAGAGCATTTGTCACTTTCATCTCATATTGGTATGTGTCACTGACTTCAGTTTGGTCCATCGTCTTTCCGGAAATAATTTCAGACTTGTCTGTGGCATCATGAGTCACATTCTCAGGCGAGAAATCAATTTGAGGCTTTTCTTGATTTTCTGTTGGCTGCAGTTTGTTTACAGCAGCCTCTGAATGATCACCAGCTGTGACTTTAGGTAAGTTGTCTTGTCCCTCATTTGGCTCAACATCCTGTTCCTCCACTGTGCCTTCAACCTCAAATACCTGTCTGAGCGCAGGGTCATCTCTCTCTATGTCGCTGCTCTGAGGTTTGCGGGTATCATAAACATGATCATTGTCACTTTTGCCATCATGGACCACACTTTCAGACGAGTAAGCGATCTCATGCATACCCATTAGCTTAATCTCATTTTCATGCCCTTTGTTTACAGCGTCTTCTAAATGAGCCTGTGCAACTTCAGATAAATGTAAATACTCATTTTGTTCCACCTCTGCAGGCATTTCCACTTTAGGTGATGAAATTGTTCCTTGAAGACTGCATTCATTTGCAGTGTTTTCTGCTGTATGGATGCTTTCTGTGGTGATCTCCGTTGTGCTAGAAATGAACATCTCTGTGTTGTCATCTCTTTGCTCTTCTGTTACAGAACACACATTGGGAAGTTTTTCTTCTGGTATTTTCTTGCCACTTGATGAGTCAATCAGTTGCTGATCTGTTTGACACGTCACATCACTCGCCAACTCAGAGACGCGACACCTACATTTTCTTTGACTTCCTCAGAGTGACTGATGTCTGATTTTTGCGTTTCGTTTTCACCTATGGAAATGAAACTTTCCAGGTCCACCTCCGGGCGGTTTGTTACAATAGCATGCTGAGCCCCAGAAGCAGAATCCAGTAACACGTCTGCCTGCCTCTCAGGCTGTAGAGCGGCCCCCCTGCTTGAATGCTCTACTTCCTCTGTGGATTCAGAGTTCTGGTGTGAATCAGTCACAGACTCCTGAACATTTTTCACTCTGTGCCTTTGACTAGAGCCCAATTTCCTTGTGTTCCCCAAAGGATCAGGAGAAGGCGACCGTTGGGTTTCACGTTGTGCTTTGTGTGAATTAGCCGTTTCATTTAATGATTCAGTTTCTTCAGGAATGTGGCATTGAGCTACAGAGGTACTGTCGGTAACGTCGGTATTAAACGTTACATTTTGATTTAGCGCACGGCGGCGTGAACCAAGCCTTTTTTTTCTTCGACGACATGTCTTATCGTCTATTTTAACACCTGAGAATCACGTTTATTACCAATCATCATCAGATAACAGTTCATGGACACCATATTACTTCAAACTAACAAAACATGCAAAATCACTTTTTACATTACTACCATACCTCTAGCGACGAGCGTTTTGGTTTATTACTTGATACTTTTAGACAAGTTTTTCCACCCACTACATAACTGCTGTAACCCCACATGCACTTACCACCCAAGCCTCCGTCCTCGCACATCAAGACTCTGCTTCGTAATGTTAGAATAGCAACTAGGAAATAAGTTCACAAGGGAGGAAGTGTTCTACTGCAACTATGACAGAACTTCCTGTGTCGGTTACACTGGCTCTATCAACCGGGAGAAAACACTCACAACTCTATGAGCTGAAAAATAAATAAACTTACACATTTACATTTCAAGCAATTGTATTGGTTCATGAGATTCTTAAAAAAAAAAAAAATAGTCACCTTGGAAAACCATTTATTGAACAAGTTGTTCATCTGCAGCACAAATTGTCAGCTGAGAGTCAAGCAAAGTTGAATAGAGTAGATGCTTTTTTTGCAAAAGTGACATGGGTAAAACACAGGATTAGCTTTTGGGCTTAAAGAATAGTCTGCAAATTACAGTGCCAATATTTACCAACATTTGCTGCCAGTCTGATTTATATCACTGGTAGAACGTATGTTCTACAAGTGGATCACCATGAATCCCATTACCGGTAATATGAGACTCAATCAAGAATTTTAAAAAAGCAAACAAAAATAAAATAAAAACATTACATGAGCTTTAATTCAACAGTTTAAAAAAACAAGGTAATGTTAAACTAAATCCAGTATCCCATCTCAAAACATGCAGGAGGAAATATAATTTGCTTTAGCAGAGAAAGACTAGAGTCCTTTGTTGTTAATCCAACAGACTGGCAATACACAATATGTAACTTGACGAACCCAGGAAGAAAAAGAAAAACAGGACTATAAAAATTAGAATTTCCCCAAACGTAGCGAGATCCACAGATGATCGTTTGAGGTCTTCATTTTCTGTCGTTGGACCGGGAGCGACTGTAAAACAAAAAGTTGGTAAGTGAAAAACTGATTTATAAAAATAAAAAAAACCGACATCTCAGGTGCAGTATGATAATACTCAAACTTGCCTCCTGGACCTTGAGATTGATCGTGGGCACTTCTTGTCTCTGGAGAGAGAACGTTGTCTCCCTCGGTCTCTTGAGAGAGACCTGCTGAACAAAACAAAAACAATAACTTCAGAAATATTTATCATCAAACACATGGTTTTAATAAAAACCGTTACAAGCTTACCTGCTGCGACTGCGGCTCCTCCTCCTAGTGTACGTTGGTAAAAAAAAAAAACGAAGCAAAAATAAAAATTAGCAATGATTTTTGCCCTCCTTGTATTAATGAAACCGTTGGTATTCTTGACCCTTAGACATGGATTACACGCGGAAACCTGGCACACGTAGTGCTAAAGGACCATCTGCATCCATGAACTGCATCAATTCATTTTAAAATTAAACTTTGTCCAATGCGCACCATTTGTGGAGCCAGATTACAGAATATAGAACAAAATCAGGGGTCGACATTAAGGCTCGCCTTAGACACAGCTACTTTTATTTTACAAATTAAATAAGAAACTGGAATAACATGTTCTTAGATAATCTGCCTCCTGCAAAGATGCTATAAAACCACTGGAGGTCTTCATCCAATAATGTGTTAGTTATTTACACAGGCGCTATGGTTAAAGTAAATTGCTCTACACAGTGAACCTGACCAGAGACGTTGTGCTTACTTTCAGTTCAAAGAAAGCACAATGAACAAATTAGTTATGAGGATTTAAATAAAATAAAAAATAAAAAGATTAAAAAAAGATTGCTTCAAAACATTAAAAATCAAGCAATCAGTCACCTAAGACGGCTTAATGTCGAACCATGAAAGTGCAGTCTATCGCCCAATTACATAGTGAACATCAGATGTGGTTCATTTTGCAAATAAAGATAGAACACCACAACTTTGACCTTTAGACTTTTGCAGCTTCGCACTGAACTTGCTCGGAAATACTCAACTGCTGAGCGAAAACCGTCAAGCACCTTTGAAAGCTAGATTAAGCATAAAAACTACAAAGAGCAGTATAAATGCAACTTACTATTTTGGGGCATTTGGACAAGATAGATATGACGCAAGGAAGCCAGACTGATGGTGAGGTAAGTCGAATTGCAGAGAGGATTTGCCACATGATGCAAATGTTGGCGATATGAAGCTGCTTGGTGGCTGGTGGGAACGGGTAGTTGTAGATATTCCCTGCCTTTTGGGGGGGGAGGATGGGTAGGCATGTAAGCCAAGGGCTGTTCCCGTTGGTACAGTAGTTGTGTGGAGAATAGAGGGAGTAAAGACGCTGACGGTTGATAATGTGAAGTGGGCCGCTGTCGATTGGATTAAGGTTGGAGGTAGAGGAGGAGGATGTCGCGAACTGCATGCTCAGGAACCAAAAGGTTGGTGGAACCTGACGACTGGCGGTGCGCCTTGGTCATTTGACAACACCAGCCAAGCTGATTGTGGCTCCCTGGTCAGCAGTCACATGATGCTGAAAGAAGACTAGTTGACTGACTCAGATGGTGAGAAGCGTGGTGGTGACTCTGCAACGGGGTTCAGTTTTATTAATAGATGGCAACTGAACTCAGAAAGAAAAACAAAATGTACAGCTGCAGAATGTAATTCTACAAATTACCTATAAAATGTTGGATGATATTAAGTGCAAACTTTGCCTCTTAAAATGACTAGGAAAAAAATATCCCTCTAGCAGATCATAAATAGTCATCTGCTGATTTAAGGGGTCGAATTCAACAAGGGTTTAAAAAAAAAAAAGTGTCACTGTGGTTAATTATATGGTTGATTCTTTTAAACACACAAGAGTGATATTAATCCATCAGCAGCCAGATCCACAGACTATTCACGATATAAATTAATTTTATTGTTTGTCTTTTTTAAATCCCGCTTACTTCATTTTGGCTGAAAAGGTTGACTTAGCTTTAATATGTCTCAGATTTAAAGCTACAATATTTGTCACTGTGGGAGGCTGTTAGATAAAAACAGCTTTGCCAAAACAATTAAGATTTTGATGGGAGGAAAATAAATACTTTGTGTGTTGAGTTTAAATAGGATTTGTCATTTGTGCTTTGAAAACAAAAACTGTGCAAACAAGACCGTTAACAAATAAGTCAAAATAGAGAATGGTTAGGCAGACATACCTGCGCCTGACGGGAGGACTACTACGTCGCCTTACGTCATCGCGAGGCCGTCTACCCCAGGATGGAGGATGACCGCGGCTCCTTGAGCGCTTCTCCCCATTGGACAGCTCAACACGCACCCGACAGCCACACATGTGTCTAAAAATACATTTTTAAAAGTAACCACATGAGCGGAAAACAAAACATGCACTTCTAATAGATTACTATAACAAAAATGTGCAGACAATTACCTTCCATCCAGTTCTTTCACAGCATCGTTGGCATCTCTGGGATCTTCAAACTCTACAAAAGCAAAGCCTGGAGGGTTCCTGGCAACCCAAACGCTCCTTAAAGGACCATAGTACCCAAAAGCACTTTCCAACTCCGTCTTGTTTCCATTGTTTCCTAGATTCCCAACATAAACCTTGCAGTCAAGGGGGAATTGGTCAGTTTGACCTAAAAGAACAGGAAGAAAAAGAAAAAAAGAGGGGCATGTTAAAACGAACATCACGATAACTCACTTTGCAGCATTCAGTTTCAAAACAGCAAGATGAATATACAATATTGAAATTCAAAACTTCAACAATCTGCAAGGCCAACATTTACCTTATTCAAATGAGTCATATAAATAACGTCTTTCCATTTAGTTAGTTTTTTTAACTAGGCTAAAACATTGAGGGGATTTTAATGCTTTTCATTAGGACTGATTTTTGGCATATTTTGGAATTAAGTACATTCGTCACAAGAGATAGTAACCATAATAATTCAAAAATAACTGGAATTAATGCAATTCATTGAAGAAGGCCAATCTGATCCGACACAGCACTTAATGCAGTATTTTTTTAGTGGGCACGGAACTAAACATGGAGGAGCAGCATTCATCTTTTCTGGAACAAATTCACAGAAACCCGTCTGTTGAGACTCAGCCACCCCAAATCAAGATGGAGTTCTGTTTGCTGCTGCCTTTATTGAACCCAAACCTTGATCAAAATCATTGCCGTCAGCATTATATAAATTCAATGTAATAAATTTAAGGGATTATTTAACAGCGGCGAAGAGTTGCATGACATTAGTAAGATCTTGGACGATCTGTAAAGATAGCGGCAAATTCTTATACATCTACATTTGTTTCGAGTGAGACACTACAGGGGAGGGGAAATGTCGGATACTGTTGGGGAGAAACTAGATTTCCGACAAAATGATTTACGATTGAGTAGATGGCTGTTTTGACCGATCATTAATCTGTGATTGGTAAATTATTAATTCTGCAGTAATTATATACCAATGTACACCTACTAGATTTGATTCAGTCCAATTGAGTTAAATAATTGATTATAACCAGTACGTTGGCGTTACACCTCAGCTAAAGAATCTCCTGGAGGAAATAACCTTGTAGTAGTTTGAGCTGGACCAAGAACTTTTGTAACAATGGGAACTTACTCATTTTACCAGATTAAAATATCTTCTTGGGAGTCCTACGAGCAGAGGAGTCTGAAAGGAGAGACAATCGGAAATAATGTCAAATTAGAGCAACACAGAGCTGAACTTTGTAAAATGAATGTCAACTGAATTGAACGTGCATTGATCTGGGTCTCTGTGTTTGACTAATTACCAACCTTACATCGATAGCTCAACATAGTTTAATAAAAAGTGGTATCTATGAGCTGTTCGTGTAACCCAAACACTTGTTCTACATGCAACTGAAACCTGAACTGTACCCTGGCAAAGAAATACTAAAAAAAGCTCTAGCTGATGTCAAGAGCTGAATAAATTGGTTGGTTATTGGCTCTATCGTTTTACTCAAATGCTAACGCTAGCTAGCAACCAAAAAGTATCTGGAATGTGTTAGCTTGTGCGTCACAACGCACCAGGTACCGCTGTTAAGTACCGTTTCATGCACTAAATCAGATAACAACGCACATGTTTTGTCTAAACAACACGTTCACTAAACGCACACACACCCGATACGTTCACATCCAACTTTGTTAACGCAAACAGTTACCACATTTATATGTTGCCAAGATTCCCAACCCCCGCGTACATTAGCGCTAGCTTTGTTAGCAGAAGGCGTTAGCATTAGCAAGCGTATTTAGCATAACCAACACGACAGAAACCAATATTATGTGCACCTGAGGCCATTAGCACATTAACCAGCCATGCGTGACACCGCGCTGAGATATTCAAGTCGGTCGATATATTTATGACACGTAACTCACCCCTTTTATATTCGCAGCTCGATAAAACCGTTGGCAGCAGACACGCCGTGCGTTTCAAACTGCTAGCTTAACTCATTGTGTCCAAGGCACCACCCACACGTAGATATAGACCGACACGCCACATCCGGTTTGGGAGAAACTGAGAAATGGTGATAAAATATATCAAATCTAGTTTATGCATATTACTGTTATAGCTATAGAAAACGCAATGATTGGGAATAGCTTTGTACAGAAGGTTCCGATGAGCCTTTAGCAGAGGCAACGTGGTACGTTAGTGAGATTTGTGTTAAGCAGGAGGACGTCAGCTAATTCAAGGGTGGAAGAGTGACGTGACGAAAAGTAAAATACAGATATGTAATGACTGTATAGGATGTTATTCGCAAGGAATCATCAATACCTTGAATATGAAATGTGAATTGTCGCTAAGAAAACGAGACAACACTGCACATGCTGATTTCATACATGGGAAGCGGTCGACTTTAATAGAGTAGGACGACAGTGGTTGGTTGTCACCAGCAGTCGGGGCACTAACGAAACTCAGACTACGTCATCGGCCGGAAATGTCCGTATAAGAGGGACGAGTTCCGGTTCCGGGGACGGAGCGAATAAAAAATGGTTTTCTGTGCTACCGTCGGATGTGCTGGTGAGGAAAACGTGGCTAACTAAGATAATCCCTGGTGTACACTGCAGGACGAGCAGCTCTGTGTGTGTCAACAGGAATCAGGAACATTTATTTACAAAGTATGTTGGACTTGACACGGCTGGTGGTGCGTATTGGACAATAGGACAACAAGACAAATAAGCAGTGCAGGAAATATAACATTCAATTTACAATTAAATAAAGAATGAAATATAGAAGAATGTCCAATTGTAATTAAAATAAACTGCACAGGCCAACAGATAAACAGTCGTAAATGATTAGTGCACAACAACTTCACGGTGGTAATGTAAATGCAATGTGCGATCATTTAATCAAGAAAAGCATGCAGGATTGTATATATGTATATACATGACTTTACAAAAACACTTCCACTTCCGTTTCAGCCCGTCAAAAGCATGTCCAACAACACAACAAGCAAAACTTGTTATTTCAGTTCTTGACAGCAAATCCGGATTGGGTTCCTCTGGAGTCGGTCTCCAATAATGAAATGGCTTCTGTTAGGAATTCAAGCGCTTTGCACCATCGGCTGCGGTGAAAGGGAGGGATGCTGAGCCTTTGTTCTGGAAGGGTTTTAACTCCACACCTCCATCAGTTCCACAAATGTGGAATGTAGGTGTGACATCACAGCCTCAAAAACTGTGCAAAAATCCTGTCCGGTTGTTGTACAGTTTTGCACGCTGTAGTGCAAACTTCAGCGTTGCACTGATGGTATATAAATGTTTATCATCAGTACATTATTGCACTATATATGTTCTCCCACTGAGTTGCTCGTGGGCTCACACATTTGATGTCCAGTTTATGAAGAAGAGAAAAGTACACTGTGTTCTTTTGGTACTCAGACCTCAATTGCTTAGTTGTCTGCTTAGATAACTTGATAGTTATCTGCCTGTTCCAATTTCTTTACTCTGTATCTTTCCATGTATGTTCTTGTTTAAATCATACATAAATATTACTTGGACATCACAAGATGTTTTTTTACAGGAAGCATTTTTACCCTGATGATTGCAGAGCAGCTGTGTGTGCAAACCAAGACCATTTGGTCGATGCTTATCTGCACACAGTTGCAGAGCCGGTCTGCTGACATTGAAAAAATGATGGTTGAGTATTTTATCTTAACTTGTTTTTACCAACATCTGGTTTCAAATCTCCATAATAATGTGGGGTCCTTGTAATGGCACTAGTTTTGCGCTTGATTAGTTAATATTAAGTCATTTTTCCCCCCATACTTCCTGTGCTGATGTATATTTAAACTGCTGTACTATTACTGAGGCGGTTAAGGCAGGGCCCGTCCTCCACGGCCTCTGATTGGCTAATACTCGTTGCGGATTGCAGTGGTGAGGCTCAAGCGTTTGATCGTTTGGTGGAGACTTTTTTCTTCTGTCGATGTTCTATTATTACAAACCAATTGTCAATGCAAATGCCGCCACCTACTGGAGTGGAGCGGACACACTTATTACACTAAAGTGTTCCAGCCCCAACCCATTAGCTTTTAACTAAAGTATTTCCACAACTGTGTCTTCTTTGTAATGTGTTCACAACATCACCTGAAAAATACTTCTGGATCATCTCCACTAAAACTATTTAAAACAGTATTTTTTTCAAGGGACAACATAGCAAAATGTTCTGACTAAAATGTGGAATAAGCAACCCACTATTGAAGTGATAGAATTATGTGGTATATCGCGCAGCCGGGAGTCTATAAATCAGTCAGAGAAAGAAAGTTTGAGTCATTTTGTCTGGAAGCTATAGCGAGATACTGTAAGTGTATTAAATGCACACCGAACATTGATAAACACAAGAAAAAGAAGAAAAATGTCTTGGGGTCCTTTGTCATGTTTAAGATGTTAGTTTAACCCAAAAAGAGATTTTCAATATCGACTTCACACTTTTAATTCAAACACTGTTATTACAAAAAGGTAACATACCTTTCAAACCAAACATTTCCAATCCAAATTTATTTAGAGCAAATCCTAGTCTCGTGCTTCTTCCCCGCCACATAAAGCATCTCACCAGCCCCCTGGTGCATCTTGTGCCCCTTTGTGAGGGC